GATTTCGAATTTGGCGCTAATTTTAATCGAAGACAACCGGGGACGTCCCCGGTTGGGAGGTTGTCCCCGGTTGGAAGGTGTGTAAACAAACAATTGTCCCCGTTTGACACCTTTCACGCACGCACCCTTACTCTCTCACACACACACACACACACACACACACACAAATAGTAGCATAAATTCGTATATATAAATACCACCGAACACGGATCATCCTCAAAACGCATCATCGGCGTTTCCGAGATCAAGCTCAATACACATTCTGATAAAATTATCAAGAAAATCTGCAATCGGCGCTTACATTATTTTTTCCGTGATGTTTTGAGATACTGCAGGAGAATTAATTTTTTGATTTTATTATTCTTACGTCAATCAATAACACTGACCACAGTACTAACCAAGAGTCAAGGTGACTAATTAAGCATGCATAATTAATGGACAGGTAGAAAATAAAAAGAACCCGAGTTCTCTTTATGATTCCCTGGTGTAAACGGGATGATTTCTTGGCTTAATCAAATCAAGCCATCTCATATCGATTTATTAAATTATTCAACCATGTAGATTTCCCCCCAAGTTCTTTTTAAGTTTTTCCCTCACAGAGAACAGTTTTAAGAAAGTTCATCATAAGAAAGATCATGTTCCGAAATGAATGACAATAAGGCAGCAAGACTTTGGTTTATTTTAACTTCTTGTCATATCGCAAGTGAGTATTTTTAAGGTCTTCCGTCTTCACGGAAGACCTTATAGTGATTCTACTGTTTCTTATTATTATTATTATTATTATTCTTTTTTTTGACAAAATTTTGTGCACGCGATTTCTCGAAAAGTATTCAGTCGTTTTCAATGAAACTTTCAGGAAAAATCAGTCATTGTATGAACTTTGTTCATCACAAGGAAAATTTGGAAAATTCCATTTTGGTTCCAAGTTACGGGCAATTTCCTGATTTTAAAATGAAATTTTGTCGCCCCTTTTTCTCAAGAATGGCTAATGATATGAACTGGAGACTTATTGGAGAGCATAGAACGTGACTTCTAAATTTGCAGAATCGCATTTTCGTTCGTCGTCGGCACTTCCGGTCGATTACGGAAGTGATCAAAGAAATCGTAAAATTTCAACTTTCTTTTTTTAAATCAATACTTACATCACATTATTGCATCTCTTTTGTAGTTTCGAAATATGTTGGTCCCACCGGAAACAAAAACGTCAGCTTCCGGTTATAAGAGAAAAACTACATAATTTGAGTATTTTTCTTTCCCATTAATATCCTTTGTAGATAAAGTATTTGAAATGAATTTTAAATATTTTATTTAGACTGCATATATCTAGAGTAACGTCAAATATCTTTGTAAAATTCACTTCCGGTCGCGTGTTTTCCTGTCCTCAAAATGAGAAGTTGTCTGAGCAAGATCTCGGAAACGCTGAGAGATTAAGACACCAAAGTTATATGGGCAACAGACCTTAAGATGTAGGCAAAACCATTTGGGTTAAGAGCGTCAGCCGTCACTTCCGGTCGTAACAGGAAGTGATCAAAGAAATCGAAAATTTCAACTTTTCTTTTTTTAATTAAAAATTGCATCACTTTATTGCATCTTTTTCTCAGATTCGAAAGATGTTGGTCCCACCGGAAATAAAAACGACAACTTCCGGTTATAAGAGAAAAACTACATAATTTGAATATTTTTCTTTCCCATCAATATCCTTTGTAGATAAAGTATTTGAAATGAATTTTAAATATGTTATTTAGACTACAAATATCTAGAGTAACATCAAATATCTTTGTAAAATTCACTCCGGGTCGCGTGTTTTCCTGTCCTCAAAATGAGAAGTTGTCTGAGCAAGATCTCGGAAACGGTGAGAGATTAAGACACCAAACTTATTTGAACAACAGACCTTAAGATGAAGGCAAAACCATTTGGGTTAAGAGCGTCAGCCGTCACTTCCGGTCGTAACAGGAAGTGATCAAAGAAATCGAAAATTTCAACTTTTCTTTTTTTAATTAAAAATTGCATCACTTTATTGCATCTTTTTCTCAGATTCGAAAGATGTTGGTCCCACCGGAAATAAAAACGTCAACTTCTGGTTTTAGGAGATAAACTACGTTATTTTGATATTTAACATTCTCATAAATATTGCTTATCGATAAAGTACTTGAAATAATTTTATGTATGTTGAAGATACTGCAAATGTCTAGAGAAGAGTCAGAGATTTTATAAAATTCACTTTCGGTCGCGTGTTTACCTGTCCTCAAAATTAGAATTTGTTCTAACAATATTGCTCGGCCACAATAAAGGACTGAAGTCTAAAACTTTCAGGACTGATAGTCAGTCATCAGTTTATTTGAATCGTGAGAAAATCTTGTATCGCCGTTACTTCCGATCGTGACAGGAAGTGATGCAAAAAGGTGAATGGTTAATGGTTAGCACGTTGGATTTTCACGCTGACGACCAGGGTTAAATCTCCAGGATGTCTGAATTTCTTTTATCACTTTTTAAGCTTGAATTTTCGTTTTTATTTTCAGAATTGGACGGAAGACCTCTCATTGCTCGCAATGAGTTTCTAGTTTGTCTTATATTTTTCACAAAAAGGACAAAAATTGAAATTATGAAACATTTCACTTATTTTGTTGCATTGTTGAAGTAACTGTCTCGCCGAAAAATTTTTTATCACGATATATCACGATTTAAAAAAAAAATATCACGATGATATCATGATATTTTTTCACATAATTTTTACTACGATTTTAAATGAATTTCCATGATTTTTCTAACAAAGATAGTATGAAAACAAAACTTTTTCATTTTGTTTTTCTGTTATTAAAGCATGGTTGGATGCTAGGATGTCATTGTTTTTCTTAGATTCCCGTAATTGTAATTCTCGAGTTTGAACAAAAAATTAATTATTTCCCGAATTTACAATTACATACTAAATACCGGTAGTTTAGTTTCCGTATCACATTTACGTATTGCGCAAAAAAAAAAAAAAAAAAAAAAAAAAAAAAAAAAAAAAAATCAAAACAAAAAAAAAACACTTATAAACAACAACAACAAAAATCACAATATACAGGTATACCGATAAAATCGCACATCCCTAACCGCGACTATGAATAACAATAATTTTGATTTTTTTTCTTAATGTTTGAAACCTAGGGAAAAAACATTTGGATTCTATGAATTACAGAATTATACATATAATGATTTTTTAGTGACAAGACTACACTTAACTGTAATGTATTAGAAAAATTACTTTTTATGTTTTTCGTTACATACATATTTCCTACAATAAATATTTGGCATATTGATAGACATAATAAATAATTAAATTAATTTTAAAAAATAAAGTTATTGAAATTAACGAAGATAATAAATGACAGAAAAAAATAATTAAGATAGGTTAATCCAACGGTACACGTATGTCAAATAAGTTGACTGGTATAATATCAATGAAATTAATCGGTATGTCAATGAAGCTGACGTTGTAATGTAGAAAAAAAATGCCCTCTGTGAGTTCATTTACGTCAAAAACAACTCGTGTTTGACATCGGGGTATGGAAATTTTTCAGAAATACACGATATTGCTTATGAATTAAACAAAAGACAGAATTTTGTTTAAAAATTCCTTCAGTATAATCCAACAGCAGATTCAATTTTTATAGATGCAGAGCGTTAATGAAAACCAATATATCAAACGGATATATTTCTGTCATTGATGTATAATGCTGTTAATATGAAATTGAGTTTTATTTTTAACGCCAATCCAATGTATTAGAAAAAAATATACAATATTAACATTATGAAAATAATGCATATATATTGTTTGAATAACACTGAACATTTTCACGCCAAGAAAACCAATGTCAACCACAGCTGCGCCTCGGTTGACAGTGGTTTTCGATGTTACCCTTACCAATGCAAAATTTGTTATATTATTATACTGAAAATATTAAACTACATGTATACAATTATTACTATTTTTTAGGTCAATACAATGATTTGGCCACCTGAAGAGCACAATTTACTGAGTCCGAAGGGCGAGGTGAATATTGTACTTCAAGGGTCTAATTATCGTATGGACTAAAAAAAATGGCAATGATTGTTTTATTATATCATTCAATGATAAATGGCACAAACTAGTTCAATAAACCTTACCATCTTTCTTACATGTAATTGTTTACATTCGTCGAATTCCTGGCGAACACCGTGAGAGAAGTACGTATTAATTCGGAGTTTCTTGATCTTTTTTCGTCCATTGTAGAAACAAATAAATGTTATGTTCACCTGGTAGTTCAGGTATAAGTTAACACAATTTTTCATAACTAATTACATCAATTTGGAAATTATAGATCTACTTTTTGTCGTTCATCTGGAATTAGGTCTCGTGCAGGTGAACATAACTTATATATGAGTTCTACAATGTTGCATCTCATTAAATCAGAGAGCCAGGAATTATACAGTCATATACATGTAATACAAATACATAAAACGGTGAACCGTGCGCGCATAGATTCCGCGCAGTCAAAATTTTTATTTGAAATACCTCCCGTCGTCAAGAAGTGTTAACTTTTGCTATGTTCTATCAAGCTGGAGGGCGTGGTTTCATCACTCAAAGGGTAATAGCATTTTTTTTTTTACCAAATGTTTCTCGATGAATCAGATTAAACTAATTCACATGGAAGTACGTCAAAATGTAAAATGGATGGAAATGCATTGCCACCGTTGCAAAACTCTTCCAATAAAATATGACGTGTCAATCAATATATCAAAAAAAACTTTTTCCCCTTTGCACTGTATCATAACTCACAGGAGACGTGCATCTTTTTATTTTTCACAATATTAATACTTATATTTGCAATATTTTACCACTTTATACTTAAAAGCTCTTTAATCCATTTTCTTTATTTTCTAAGCCAAATTATCATTGTGACACCTCGCTTTGTGTTTCGTTGACATGCATGAAATGTAATTTGTTTTGCAAGGTGTAACATAAGGAAAACAAGAAGGGAATGTACATACATGATAATTATATTACAGTCCTATCCATTTCCCCTGTCTTGGCAAATGATGTTCACTTGACGTACATAGAGGATGACGTCACTCTAATCACAGGAGTATCTCCAAAAGTTGGCTCCAACGTCAATTTCGGAATTTACTCACATTGGTGTCTAGGAAATATCAACAAATGCTCGAGTGGTATAACTATCTCTTTCTTTCTCAAACCGAGGCCAGCAAATGAAACCTCATCGGAGGTTGTCGTTATAACATCTGGGGGACATTCGTACCTTTCTGAAGGGTTTTACCTGAAGCAAAGATACGGCGATCAGTATGAATTTGGGATTTCTAAATCGGAAAAAGTATGGAAACAGAGTTTCCGACTTCTCCCAAATCTGTGGAGCAACATCTTCGCCTCCTGGAACGACAGTGCAGGGTTGCAGATCTACGTAGACAAACATCTTCTGAAAAAGGATGTACCCGAAAAGAGAGAATACGAAGGAGACAGTTTCGACCCCTTTTCCGAGATTGTTATCGGACAGAATACAGAGGGAAACGCCATTGTAGACCAAGACTTGTTTGATGTCCAGGATATTGTCATTTATGATTCCGCGAAAACCATTGAGGATTACCCTATAGGTGACAACGATTTCTATTATCACATATTATATTTCATAAACAATATTGAAAAAAAAAAGAAAATTAAAACAGAAATTTTCATTTATGCCGGTAACAATCATTTGTAAAACAATTTTTACAAAAAAAAACAAAAAAACAAAAAAAAAAAAAAAAACAAACAAACAAACAAACAACAAGGCCAAAATAAAAAATATCTTTGTTTCCCTTAACGCGACCGACCCAATTGAAACGCGCCGACTGGAAAGTTTTTTTCATAAGATTATTCCAATAATTTTTTTTATGTTTATCAACTTTTATAAAATAGAATTCCATCAAAATCCGTTTTTATCAGAAATTCTGATTTTATTCTGTGATTGTCAAGCGTTTGTTGGAAATAAAATGGCGCCCACAATATGTGGTCACGGAGGGTTAGTTCGTGTTTTAAAAGAAAGGTGACGTATCAACCTTATGCCTTTAGCATATAAGAATCCTACACTCTTGAAACACTTTGTTAATAAAGTGTAATATACAATGACCTATGAAGAGTGTGTTGGTTGTATTTACTAACCTGTCTTAAAATTAAGGTACGTAAGACCCGTAGGCCCTCCTCATGACACCCCTCATGTGCAGACAAGGGCCCACATTGTGAACACACCAATCAATTTTACTGCGTTTTATTTAATTTGAGCTTTGATCTTATAAACAGTTCATCAATGTTCCTTAATCCTATATTTACAATATGGGACAAATTAAAGGAGTTGTAATTATGTCTGCATATTTCATCCTAATATAGAATTCAAACGTCCTTTCTCCATGCCTTTTATTCATGGGTTAAACTTCAAGACTTTGACGTTGTGTATGACATTTTATCATTTTTAAATATGGTTTGTCTCAATTAAATAGTGTTAACATACTTTTTCCAAATAGATTTGAAATTATGATACAAGCTCTGTGTATTTTTCTTCAAGGCTCTTGAAGATTGGTTGTTCCTTTGATTTGAATTCCTTTGATAATTATTGGGACAACAGCATTTATTTAAACATTTGTCTAGTGAAGGGCTCCAAATTTAGAGTTGTACGCGGCACTTTAGGCCATTGAGCTGTAAGGGATCTTTTTTGTGCCAGTATCTACTGCGACATTGGACCTAATTTTTTTGGTCTCACTTAAAGAACAGGTCTCAACGTCCCCCATTGGGATTTGAACCTGCAACTTAGAAATACTCCTTACTTCGAGACTCCACAACGAAATGCTCTGGAACCACTGCATATTTTGAAGCCCTGAAAAACTACGTATACACTCTGATGTCCAGTCTTTGCGTACCCGAGAATCTTTTAAACAGATGTATTCAATTTCAACAAATTTACTCTGGTATGAGATATTTCGATTGAATACTAGTAATAGCTGTGAATAAATTCATCTTAAATGTTGAGTCTAAACGGCATCTGTATGGTATTCTAGCTGTTAACAATTCGCTCTCTTTTTTAAAGTATCATTCCATTCAATTTTATGTATTTTCAAAGCTGCTGTCAAAAAAAATTATTTGCCTACCTACCTACCCAACTTGGGATTTTTGGGTCGGGTTAGGGGAAACAAGATATTTTTAATGATGGCCCAACAAAACATTAATAAGTTATAAAACTCTGATAATAATCCATTAATTGCAGATGATAACAGTTATTACCTAGGATGTCGACTACAAACAACAGATGAGGGTTCATATCTAGATTTGTCAGCATCTAAAACTGCAGTTAACGACTGCAGGGCACATTGCGAAAGTCCTGTTATAGAAATAAGCCCAACTAAAAAGTGCAGATGCTTGAGTCTTGGTGTTTTAGAGTTGGCTGTCACAGACGAACGATGTACTTCCGGGTCAGAGGTCGGTAAACTATATTCCGTGTCGGGATGGACAACAAAGCACGACTATCGCATGTCGGTTACAGTAGAACCACTTCATAATCGTTCATATACCAAACCATTTGAAACTGTTCGCATTGAAATTGAAACAAACTTTCAAATTTTACAAAATTTTCAAGTTCAATTTGGAGATGGTGTAAGATTAAACACAAAACAAAAGGTTTTAAGTCATTTTTGGAATTCTCAAGGTGTTTTCAATATCAGTGTTTCCGCATCCATTGGTAAAATATCGTTGACAGAAAATATATCCTTTGAGGTGAAAAATGTGGATGAAGGAATACCTCCAGAAATGACAGTTGTATCGGCGACTCATTCGAAATCTCAATTATCAGCTGAATATGAACTATTAGTATTCGATAATTACGACACAAAATGTACATTGTCATTCGGAGACGAAAATTACTTCAGTAGACAACCCCAACATGGTTACCTTTCCGCAACACATGTAAACCATACGTATACCTATTATGGGCAATACCTCATCAATTTCAACTGCTCAAATAACTACGGAGAAACAACAAATTCGACTGCATTTATTTCCGAGTTATTTGACATTCCATTTTTATACCACAACAGAGAAGACTCTTTTTTGTTCAGAATACACGGTCAGAAAAAGTACCTGGAGACTCTTACTGTTCTTCGCAATCAAGAACAAAGACTGGAATCCACAGTTGAGACAATTGGAATTCTGGTTAAATCCTCAGATTTATTACCATACGAAAACCTAATCACCATTAAAAGTGGAGACAGGACCCTTATTAATCGTATCTTCTATGTACAACATCTAGTAGAAGAGGCAACAATAACACCAGTAAAAAGAAATAATGCCTGGCATCTTACAACGAATATAACTGTTCAAATCCCTGCCGGATTGGAAACATTTATAAATTGTTCCTTTGGTGTTGGTGAAAACTTTATGTTTTACGTTGCTCAATCAGAACAATCACTTGGGATGATGTTTGAAGTGGAGTATCCTTCTCTCGGATACTATCCTCTCATTGTGGACTTGTCCAATGACATTAGTGTATCGCGCGCCGAAGACCTGATATCGGTCGAGGTTCCTATAGTATCCATGAAACTGACCACAAGTCAATTAATAGACAAAACTCTCCCAGTGGTATTAAATGTGGATCTGAATGATAAAATGTTAGGGCCAGATAAAGTAGATTTCATAATTCGACACGATGACGGATATACTGATGACATCAGCTACAGAAGTCCGACACAGAGTTTCACAACTTTTCAAAATAAACATATATATGAACACTGGGGGATATACACGATCTGTGTAACAGCAAAAAATCAAATAAGCGAGGTCTTCCAGTGTGTTGTAGTCCAAGTTGGACAGAATCTTACGCATGTAGACTTACAGACTTCCACATATGGTCGTGTTTTCATGAATACCTATGCAAAAGTTAACATCACTAGTTATACTGGATCCGATGTTACATACGAAGTAGATTTTGGTGATGAAAAATTTACATTTACAGATCGTCAATTGGAAAATGGAACTGTTACAGGAGGGGGAAGTGATTCAAATACAAATGATAAAAGTTTAGAATCAAACAGTACATTGACAAATGCAACATCTCTGGAAGATTCCAAAAACAGCACAGATATTTTAGGAAGGGTCGTCACTGCGATTATTGATGTCATTTCTACAACTATGTCAACACCATCTAAATCACTGACAGAAGGAACAACACCGACCCCTACAAAAAGTCCTATTCGCAAGAAAAAGTTTGTAGAGTCACCAAAATTCTTTGCTGTTCGAGGTTCAGATGAGGTCATAACTGTTGGTCACTTATATTCAAAAAGCGGAAGATATCGTGTGAAAGTAAAAGTGATGAATGCTTTCTCCACGGTAAAGGCGGAACTTTGTCAAAGAATAATAGTTGATGACGTGGACGATAAGAACTGTGAAAAGCCAAAAATAGATTTTGCAAACATCCAGTCTACCTTTGCACGTCCCATACAAAGAATTCGCTCTGAAGAATTCAACATTACAGTTACGTCAGAATCCTCTTGCGTATCGAGTGGCCAGTTCACGTATTCTTGGAAAGCTGAGAAATTCAACAAAGGAAAAAAGGAACCAATCAAGGAAGTTTGTTCTATGGAATCTACCGACAATGTTTTGGTTATTCCGGCAGTATATTTATCTTATGGTCTCTATCGACTAACAGTCTCTGTGGCGCCAATCGGTCATAGTCTCAGAGTAGCAGAAAAGTCTGTATTCCTTTCTATTGAAGCTTCAAATCCCTACGCCGAAATAGCTGGAGAAAAAGAAACCGATTTCCTTATATACGCCAATGCTGTTTTTGATTTGAATCCTTCTCGTGATCCAGATTTGGTTACAAACAACACAGCTGGGTTAGAGTATGATCTACTCTGCATAGCAAGCGACGACTTTAAAGAGGCAAATGGTCTTCCATTCCAGCAGATAGAATCACGATCGACAATGATTTACCAAGATATAATTTTCAAAGAGACTACAACCAATCCTATAAGGCTGTACGATTATAAGGACTGCTTTATAAATGTTGAAAATATGACAAATTCCATTTCAGTCTTTGATGGACGCTTGTCTTTTCCAGCAATATATTTCGCTTCAGAGGAGTTTGTATTCAAATTGTTTGTTTCAAAAGAAGGTCGAATGAATACTACGACGCAAAGAGTGAAGATCAAATTGACCAACTCCACGGACATTTCTGGCCAGTTAAAAGCCATGGAAAGCATCAAGGACGCTGGTAGTTTACTGAGGGCTGTTGCCGTAGTGTCTGGAGAGTTTCTGTCTGGCGGGGTTAGTAGCTGTCGATGCATTGCTTGCTTACATATGCTATTTATGAGTTATCGTAACAAAATTCGTATATAACTCAGTTATATATGCCATTTACGAGGGTCATTCAAAAAGTTCGTAGACTTTTGTCATAACATTTTTATTTAATGTGATATTATAACCAAAATTTGTAGACATACTTTAACAATAAATCCAAGTTATTTGAATTAAAAAATTCAACTATACTAGTATCTTGATAAATATCCAAATTGTTTAAACTTTAAAACTGCGAAAATAGGGTTACGGAGCACGGTCAAAATTGAGTAATTCTCTAACAATACACTTAATTATGCCAATATTTATATCTCTAACAAATGACGCTTAAACGAAATAAAATTTAAACGTTCAAATATACTTTTGTTTTATAATGTTAAGTACCAAATTGTAACGTTTGAGAGAAATTAATTTCAGGAGACAGATAGACCTCTTTGAAAAAAGCGAAAAAAGGTGAGGTTAAAGGACGTCACAGAGCAGCAAGTAGCGATATAATTTTGTTTCGCACTCCGGAAACCTCTAAATAAACTCTTGAAATGCTGGAAAAACCAAGAAATATAGCAGAAGTGAGTCGTGCATTTGTATATTAATGGTAAAGCCAGTGTTCGGGTGCTAGAGATTTTGACATCGGATAAGGTACGGTCTGTGAGGAAACAGATTTTCATTAAAGATCTGGTCAAAAGACTTAGTAATGTCATTGAAAGTGATATGTGGCATCATTGTTTTGGAACTTATAAAAGCAGAGTTACACAGTAAAGAATTTGAAAAGACTGACAAACTAACTTATGCTACTCGAACAATTGTTAGCAAACTATGTGTCAAGTATTATGGAGGCCTTTTTAATGAGTTAATAAGGCGCTACAAACCTTGTGAGAAATGTCAAATGACGAGGGAGAGTAATAGAGTAACTTTTACGACTTTTTTTGACAATACAATTTAGTTAAGAGTGCTCCGTGGTGACACAGCATGCTGAATTCAAATTAAATAATATGAGTTCTATGGAATTAAATGGAATGAAACTTAACACAACGACAAAATAAATATGTTTGCACTTGAAAATGCGTTGATTATAAATCTTGTAAAACTTATATCAGGCGATATTGTCTACGTATTTTTTGAATGACATGAACTTGAATTAAAATTATTTTAAAAGTAGATAGAAGAACATGTTGACGTGTTCTCTTCACTTTCCTATTTAAAAAAATATTTGGAAAAAAGTTTGAAACAAACTAGCAAATTTGTTGTAAAACTATTACAAAGTTTCAAGTTGATATATATGTATACAACATACACATTCAACGTCTGAAACAAAGGATTACTAAGAATTGATGTTATTGATTAGGGTAATGACACCAGTGACGACAAAGAAGAAGAATTGACAGAGGTAAGGATTTTACTTTACAAAATGTAATTTCAAATACACAAGTAAATGTTATTGTTTTTATTCTTTAGAACTAATGCCTGATACTTTTTTTATACGCATCTTTGAACTTTCATAATTTTATTCTCTAGGTCCGTGCATTTATGACAAATTTGATCGATAAATTGGCTGATAAGGCAGAGAATCTTGACCAGTGCAAAGGAATGGCAAGTGCAGTGGCTGATCTAACGTCAAATCCTGACCAGACCAGTTCTACCGCTAGGGTAACAATTAATTTAATTTTAACCATGAATATATACTAGTATACGTTGAAAATAATGATTGGTTTGATTTGACAATGTTATTCATTTTTCAGGCGTCTGGAGGCAGTGCTGTCAATAAAAGTATGAGTACGATGAAAGGCAAATTTGGAAACGCCAATTATGATGCTGTAAAAGATGCCTCAGCAAGTAGGTCTACACATAAAAATCTTTTGATGTACATGGATTTCTAAAGGAACAATGTATTTCAAAGGATTTAACATAATACTGTTTTATGTTTTCCATAGGCGCTGTATCCGGAATGAGCAATTTGTTACCAGTGGAAGATAAAGCGGAAGTAGCAGCAAAGAATCGTAGAAAGAAGCGAGAAGCATCTCAGAATCCCTCACCACTCATAGGAGACGGCAACACTCAAGAACTCGACTCATATGACCTTATAATGAAGGAAGAAGACGCAAATCTTCATCGATTCTTTGACGATTTGTATGAATTCGTGTTCATATTCAAAAAGGCCTTCCGGCGAGCCGTTAAAAATTTCTTTGAAATAATGTGGATCAACAAGGAAGCAACTTTGACCGACGCAGAGAAGTTTTTTCGGAATGTTATAATCGAATGGGAACCATTTGACGTCGAGAAATATTTGCTAAAGTATTGTAGACATGAAAAATCCGAACTTGATAAAGAAAAATTACGGGCAGTATGTATAATATTCTTCCTTCTTTAATTTGTTTTAAATTCGAAATTTTTATCTCAACATCAAACAAATGTTTTGCAATTTTTTGCCGAACATTGAGCCCGATATCTCTTGCACATTTAGGATAAAGATGTTGCAACTGCTAGCACTGGAGCTGTTGATTCTATATCGGGACTTTTGCTGAATAAGATGGAAGCATCCAGAAGACGTAGACGAAGAAGATCGCTTCCAGGAAATGGAACACAAGAGGAAGCGGAAATAGAGGGAGAGGACAACCTCGAACAAGAATGTGCAATAAATGCCCCAGGAATGGGACTTGGTTTAAAAAACATAGATCCTGATAAACCAGGTTTGCACTTTAAAGAATCATCTAGATAGACGTTTACAGAAATTAAAACTTAATTTAGATTAGCGATCGATGTCAGTGAAGTAATTAATACCTCACACTGGTTTTAGTTTTATACAGATTTTAAAACATGAATGTTAAAAGAAAACACGAACGATAAATCTAACAAAAAGACTTTAAATCATATTATTGTCGTTTTTTTAGGCCCAGCACAAATGTCCTCAAGTTTTGGAAGTTTTGAGATACCAGAAGGAGTTATACCAAAGTCAGCAGATGGCGAGGGAGTTGGCACTACTGTAAGCGCGTCTTTATCAAACTCTGTTTTTTCTCAAATTCATTGGTTAAAATTTCTATAAAATATTTTTTTTATTTTATAGCTCGTCACCACCAAGAATAATCCAAAGACCTGGGGCTCTAACTCCAATGGAATTCAATCTTCTGTCCTATCCCTAGATCTGTCCGGAAGTGGCGGAGGAAGTAAAATGAAAGTAAACAACACGAAGGCACCGATGAGACTTATGATTCAGGGTGAAAATCAAAATGTTACATTCCATTCTTGATTTCAGATATCGGTTTTAAGCCTGTTAATTTAGATTTAATAAACATAAAATGATGAATAAATTGAATTATATTATACGGTATATGAACATCAGTCTATGCGGGTAATGCTTCATTCTGTAATTCTACTTTAAAAAGGCAAAGCGGAAGATGTGCCAGAGCCAAGCCAATGGATGTTGTGCGTTCCAAGGGGTGTTTCTCCGTTAGATGCAACTCAGTGGAATAATCATCCCATACCAATTACCGAGAATGACACAGCACTTCACTTCCTGTTGTGGCCTGATAATAAAGGAGACAGATTCAATGTCTATTTTAAGCACGAAAATCCACCAAATGCTACTCATTATGACTTCAAGACTTCAATGCCTCACGATCCCAGCGATTTCCCGGGTGTTAAAGATCCGCAAGTGTTAAATCAACTGATTCATACATTCTACCCTCCACAAAATATGACAAAATTGAATGGTTCCTACTGGGTTAGCATTGGCATCGCAAGTAAGAGATATTTATGTCCTCAAGTTAATATATAAATGCGAGTAGTCCTAGAGACGTGATTTTAGCATACTACATTTTTTGCTTCGTGTAGAAACTGACGTCGATTTTGGAAACAGTGAGACGTGTTTGAACTACTCAACACAAAGTTTTGTGCCGAGTTGTAAATTCTGGGATGAAGAAACAGAGACATGGAAAGGAGATGGCTGCAAGGTACTTACCAAAATTTATTAAAATGGTCACTGATACGAGAAATTATGTTAGTAGTATACGTTCTAAATTGCCTCTTTGTCTAGAACGTCCTCATTTGCTTTATACTTTATTTGGATTAAAAGTAATGAATTCGTTGCAGGTTGGTAATGGTACCACAAAGTGGAATACCGAATGCTTGTGTACACATCTGACTTCTTTTGGTGGAGATTTTGCAGTACCTCCCAACACGATTGACTTTTCCAATGTCTGGGCCAAATTTGCCAATTTGAACGAGAATGCTGCTGTTTTCTCCACTGTCGTAGCCCTTATTGGTGTTTACATTATTTTGCTGATCTGGTCCCGGTATATGGATAAGAGGGATATTATAAAGGTATCAAAGAAGATTTATTCAGGATTTGTAAAGAGTTACGAACAAATTTATGCTGCAAAAGAACCAAACTATTATTACTTGTATATTATGCTCAATGCATGGACCTTTTTCCCCGTTTGGGCAATTGTACTGTATTCAGGGTTATTTTCGCCCTGTTTTTTGGGCCAGTTTTAAATTCACACAAACACAGTTTTGTCAACAAAATCTTGTGTCTTTTTGAATTAATTTGCCCTCTTGTGACGAAGGCGAAAATTTCCCTGTAACCAGTATTTACTCAACCCATTGGTATATTTCTACAATGGAGATTACTTACAACCCTTTTTGTAGCAAATAATGTGAAGTTGTAGTACATGAAGCGTTATACAACCATTTTTCGTCACCACAATCAATCAGAGGTTCGCTATGGTGTTTTGGCATCTAATAGAGAAATAAAAATCTCTGTGTGAGAGTGATTAAACTTAGAGCAATAATGGCAGAGAAATACATATAATTTCAATATTTGTTATTTAATTCTATCCTCATTAATAACAAGTAAGTGTTCTCTAAATCAGTTTTTGTTTATTTATTGTTTAACGTCCCTCTCGAGAATTTTTCACTCTTATGGAGACGCCACCACTTGTCGGTGGAGAGCTACAAATTTTGACCTATACTCGGCACTGAGGGCCATTGAGCAGTGAGGGATCTTTTTCGTGCCAGCACCTACTGCCACACGGGACCTCGGTTTATACGGTCTCATCAGAAGGACCGGTCTCTACGTCCCACAGTGGGATTCGAACCCGCGACGTAAGGATCAACTCCTTACTCCGCGACTCTTCTCTAGATCAGTAAAACCTTTATTACTACACATGATTACTACATTCAATAATTAGTTGAATGAAATACATATTTAACATTGACATTTAAAATTTTGGTATCAGTGGGGCGCAACACCATTAGAAGATAATCTTCCTTCGGATAATTATCACTACCAGATGACAGTGCAGACAGGAGTTCGTAAAAACGCATCTACAACATCCAAAGTCAGCTTCATAGTCTCAGGGGAGAATGGCGATAGTGGTGTAAGAAGGTTATATGATGGTCATAGAAAGGTAGGTAATTAGGATTTCAGGCAGTTGACCTAGGGCAAATAAGCTCACACAATTTCTACCTTTGCATATTTTTTTTTTTTAAAAACTCTTGAAACTTTATAAAAGAATTTAGTGCAAGTCTTGATTTAAAACATTTTACATATTTTTTTTCTTTCAGGAACTAGAGAGTGGAAGTATTCTTAACTATATCTGTAGTGTTGAGAGGCCTCTTGGGCCTCTAACTTTCATGAGGATCTGGCACGACAACAGTGGCAAAGGGAAAAAGAAAAGTTGGTTTCTGGATCAAGTTCAGATAACAGATCTTCAGACTGGTGACAGGTACATAGAAGGCTACAAAATAATGAATCAATAAACTTAAGATTTTGCGTGTTATATCCCTTTAATTTATAAACATGTTATTCTTATGAATTTTTATCGAATCGAAACAAGGTATATTACATCACACATTACATCACATGGAACAAGGTAAACTAATTTCAAGTCAAACTCAGATGAAAAATGATTTACAACACAAAGTCTTTGAATTTTAAATTCGTCTTTGAATTTTTTTTTCTAGATACATATTCCTGTGTGACAGATGGCTAGCGTTGGAGCAGGATGACGGAATGGTAGACAGGATCCTTCCTGTGGCGGGTTTGGAAGATCTAGTGGCGTTCAAACAACTCTTCAACACTAATGTCCGCAAAAAACTCTCCAATGAACATCTTTGGTTTTCTGTCTTCTCCAGACCCACGAAAAGCAGTTTCACACGCGCACAACGTATTTCCTGTTGCATGTCACTCCTGTTCATGACGATGATTACAAATGCTATGTGGTTCAAATCTGATGATAATGCCAAACAATCACAAGCTCTTAAAGTTGGCCCATTGTCATTTACTGTTCAGCAGGTACGTTGTAATTAGATGCTTAGTAACATCGTTATAAATTTAAAAAGGTTGATAGTGGATCAACAATTTTCCTTCCTTTACAGTTCTTTGTGAGTTTTGCCAGTACAATGCTAGTGTTTCCTGTGAACTTCATCCTTATCACATTCTTTAAAAAATGTCGTCCAAAACAAAATGCCGTGATAGGCAGGCATCAACAACAACCCAAGCGTGGTAAATGGAAAAACGTCACAAACGGGTCACAAATCTGGGGCAATGCGGCAATGCCTAGTCGCTGGAAGAGATTCAAGGATTACATTTCAGATCTCGTGAATTTCAAGCAAAAGGCTAAATATGGAGCAGAAGATGATGATCCAGACGAGGATGAAGCACCCAAAACACGAATTGTTGGTGTCCCAGAAGATGAAAAGGAGAAAAAGAAGAAGAAAAAGAAGCCTGGAACTCTTCCACATTGGTGTCTCTATATTGCTTGGGTTTGTAAGTATTTACATTGTATTTTGATGTCATATTTTATTCATATTAAAGTATATTATTATATAAAATCAACTCATATTTATTTGAGCTGATTTTACGTTTTATATTTTTTTCTGCCAAAGAAGGCTAATCTTGATTTACTTTTTCTACTAGTGTGTTTCCTAAGTATCACCACGGCTGGATTCTTCACCATCCTCTACAGTTTAGAATGGGGCAAAGAGAAGGCAAACGAGTGGCTTACAACCTTCCTTTTGTCATTCTTCCAATCTGTTATAGTTGTTCAACCAATAAAGGTATACTTCTGTTATGAAAAACTTTTTATATATTTGTTGTACAAATCTAAACCCGAAAATTTGGACAAATCTGTAAAAAATTGAGTTAAAAACTTTTGTTTTTTTTTTTCACAGGTTATGTTTCTCGTGGCTTTTATAGCCTGTATATTAAAGAAGCCTGCATTAGATGAAGAGGACACAAATGAAGATTTGAACAACGTGATAGCAGCCCACGACGAGGAATTCATCGGAAAAGACAATGGGACAATAGAAGGTTTGATTAATTAACAAATACCATTTTACTTTACTTATTTATTTACTTTTTTTGCAGTAGTATCCGTATCCGAAAAAAACCCTTTCTTGTGAATACTTTATGACAAGAAGATATAGCAGACACATGTGAATATATGTGGATAATATTTGGCTATCCTTACTTATTTCAGAAATTGCAGCAAAGCGAAAAGAGGCAAACGCAGAATTTCAGCCTCCAGACCCCGCCACGCTAGAGGAGGCGAGACAACAACGGCTTCTGGAAATTAAAATGGAAGAAGTTTTGAAGGAATTGACTGCTTATATATTTTTTGTTATTATTCTATTCTTTTTGTCTTACCAGCAAAGGGACTCGGCCTCTTTCACGTATGCAACGAATCTCAAAAACACATTTACCCACAATTTTGAATCGGTAAATATTATTTTATTCTCTTAAGTAACAATAACAATAAAAGAAATCTAGTACTTTTTATAATAAAAATAATTAAGACAGCAATTTGTCTCCAAATTCTGGTTTTGGTCTTCAGATTTCTACAGTTGATCAGTATTGGGTTTGGCTTGAAACCAAATTCATTCCCTCCCTGTATGCTACTCATTACCACAACGGAACCAGAATTAGGCGCTGGTGGGAGAAGAGGTGTATCAAAGACATGACATCAAGGCGTGTCGGTATTCCTCGCCTACGTCAGCTCCGCGTTAAACCTGGTACATAGTCTATTAAACATTTGAATTGAACAGAATAATCTTTCATCAATTCCAAAGCAAGATTGTGATATTTTGAAGTTTCATTGTTTAACAATGCCAGCATTGGCATGTGCAGTCAACATTGACATGTGCAGTCGACATTGACATGGGCAGTCAACACTGACATGTACAGTCAACATTGACATGTGCAAACACTACATCTTATTTCTAAATATCAAAATTACTTCTTAATGTCTACAAAAGAACATAAATTTCCAAGTCTAAATTAAAAATTTAATGTTGAGTTCTACTTTATTTTTTCAATAGACACATGCAAAGTCAATAAATACATGCGTACCTTGATACACCATTGTCGAGATGAGTATGGATGGACGGACGACGACGCCAAAGTTTACCTTCCAGGATGGATAAAGCCCGATCCCGACAATATTACAGAACTTGTCAAACCTAAAAATCCTGGACCATGGGTATATCAAAGCTCTGTAAAACTAGCCAATGCACCGTACATGGCTACCATGTCAACATACAAAGGTGGAGGTTATGTGTATATGTTTGAGAGAAACGTAGAAAGGACCAAAAGCAAACTTAATGAATTGAAAAATCTCATTTGGATGGATGCTCATACAAGAGCAATTTTTGTAGAATTCACCGTATACAACCCAAACATTAACTTGTTTGGTTCCATGATAATGGTGATCGAGTTCTTGTCCTCTGGTGGAGCTGTAGCTAGATTGGAGTGTAAGGTATGCAGCCCCAAAACAAGAAGAATTGCTTAAAATCCTTGCATGAAAGGTAGATGAAAACTTACGTCTTATTTTAACAGCCTTGCTTCAACTCAGCATTATCATTTTATACTTCATTATAGGTGTTCCGCCTGTTAAGTTACGTTGGAGGTCTGGGCATAATGGTTCTCATTGCAGAGGTCATTTATGCTATCTTCAGTTTGTATTTCTTCATACGTTGTATCAGAAAAGTGAAGAAACAGAAGATGAAATATTTTAAGGAATTTTGGAACAAGCTGGAGTTTGCTTTACTCTGCTTCTGCATCGCTGTCATTGCTATGTATGCATTGAAACAAATACTCACCACGTTGGCCATGAAGGCATTACAAGATCCAGAAAAGGGTAAGAATTAAATATCCATTTTTGTTTATTTATATGCTCTTTCATCTTCTTTCGTAAACATGCAAACAGTATCCGATCAAAATATGATGATTTTTGATATTGTTTATATTAGTCCATACTGATAGGAAAAGTGAAAATTTTATTTAGCACAAAAATGTACCTTGTGGTTGTTTTATTTGATACTGTTGTCACTAACTATGATTAACTACAATCTTCTGATTTGCAGCGGACTATGTGAATTTCCAGTCTTTAGCTCTTTATGATGAAATGTACGGATTTATGTGTGGTTTTGTGGTATTCTTAGCCACAGTCCAATTCCTGAAACTCTTACAATTCAATAAGAAGATGGGGATGTTGGGCGAGACAGTCCAGTATGCTACGAAAGACCTCAAAGTATTCAGCATCGCTTTCTTACTTTATTTCTGGACATTCACGGCAACAGGTTTCCTCCTCTTCAGCAACGCAATGATCTCATACAGCAATGTAGTAGGCGCAGCAGAGTCCATGTTCGCGTTCACATTGGGCAGCTTTGATTTTGTTGCTATGCAAAACGCACAACCTGTGCTGGGTCCCATATTTTTCTTCATGTTTATTCTTGTTGTGTACGTGGGCTTGATGAGTATATTTTTGACCATAATTGCCGATGCATTCTCGACTGTTAAGGAAAATATGGAAGGGAAGCAAAATGAGTATGAGTTCATCGACTACTTTACCAAGAGGTTTAAACAAGTTATGGGGTTTGCTTAGAAGTCACAGGTACTGCGCATGATTCAAACAGTCAGGTTTTTTATTTCAAGAGGCTCTTTACAGATGGATCTTTGTTTTTGATTTTTAAAGCAAACAAGTCTCTAAAATGGTTGAAATGTCTCAATCTTTGTTTAAAAAATTGAAAATATAAAAAAAAACCAATTTGATTTTTTTTCCAGTTATAGCATGATAAATAAATCTTTTAATTCAAACCTTCCATGATTATATTAGCCAGATGCTGGAAAGTGTATTTTGCGTATTACTGATGCACTTTTGGTTTGTCATTTCCTCCGTTTGAATTACAAAAACAATGTTCAAGTCTGTTTAAAGCCTCCTTTAATTTTTATAGCGAAACTATTTTGTTTGCAGAAACTTAGACGACCGGCATATTTGCTGATGAAACTGGCCAACGATATTAGTATTATAATAGCTCTATTTATACATTTGTTACTTTTGTTAATTTATTGAACTGTCATATTGTTGTTGTTGTAATTAATGCCTGGAACTTCAAATAAAAATTAAGTGTATCACCTGCACATTTATTTTTCATCATTCCAAAATGACAAAAAAAAATTGCTTGTAGGATAGTCAAGGATGGATTAATTTTAAGGTCCTCCTTAAGGAGGAAACGCATCCTCATTATTATTCTTTTTAATAAACTTCTCGACTTAGTAAATCAGGACTTTGATTATAGCTAAGCTTTATTTTTTTCCTCTATTTTACACCGTAATGTAATATACAGTGTTTATGTTATCTAACAATTAAGATTAAATAATTTAATAATCTAAGTCATGAAATTTTTGATAATTCAGATCCATACATACAGTCTGTTTATCGATGTAACTCTAGTCTGTTAACATTAAATCAGGCATATAAACCTTAAATGTACCATAATAACGCCAATTATCGATTCTTTGATCTTTTAATGATATCTCAACTAGCAACAATTTATTGATTACTCTAACACAAATGATTAAAGATTTGAATGAACTATACAATATAATTTCAAGAAACATCACCATATTTAAAAATTTGATAACTCTAACATAAATCATGAAATAATTGAACGAACTATACAATACAATGTTAATTTCAAGAAAATCACCATATTTTAAAATCAAAAATAAACTGTTTATTAGATCTTTTATCAGCTATCGTAACATGCTCATAAAAGAATAGCAGTATTCATAATGGCCTTTGCGGGTATTCGATTGTCATTATTCAGACTTAACCTTTTTCTTTGGGCAATAAAATCTCTGCCAGTGACAGTCATCTTAAGACATTTACACATTTGACTAATTTTTTAAATGTTAACATGGCGTATAACATATGAAAGTATGTGACGGGAGAGCTGTTAACATTGTAAAGTGATAAATTGGATTAAAAGTTGTAACCATAAAATATGCTATTTTCAACAAAACTGAATTTGACCTAATTTTACACCTAGATTTGGGCCATCAAGAAGCATCAGTACAACATTAGTAGCATGTTGCTTAAAGCTGAACACGATTCGTAAAAGGCAGAGATCTATGTTTGTCTGCTATATTACTCTGCATTTTCTTTAGCTGTACGACCCCTATATAAGCCGTTCACTTAGTGTCGGGTTCAGTATAATCAGTTTTCACGGGTGTGGACTGAGGTATTCTATATAGCTATTGTAAAACTCTCGTAAGCGACAAAAGTAACTATGCGCTTTTTCCAAAACAGAAGAGAAAGATACCAAGGAAACTTACCTCAGTTGCACAGGTCAGTGCAGTACATACAAATACAAATACACGTAAGCAGTAACATGTAAACAAAGATAATGTAAGATAACCAACAAGAACTCATGTAGTCCATTTCACGCAGGCACTTGTGACAAGAAAGCAGTCAGGTGTAATGAATTCGAAGGGTATACCACAGTGCTGATATCAGAGACAGGAAAACTAATATGGCATGTGCCTTTTTACGAGTAGTGTTCAGCTTTAAATGAGTAATGATTATAAATTTTAAATATATTTAAAATACAGCAACAAGTATTTCTCAATTTATCCGTGGCCCAACTTTTAATAATATTCAGTCTAAACAGCGCTCTTTAACTAACAACTATAATCACAGATAAGTTTAACAACTGTAAAACTAAGTAATGTAAAATATATGTTTATCTCAAAGACATATACATAAAATATAATACATTACATTTGTTTCAATCATAACAATTCAAACAGATTATTTTAATTTAATGAATGTTCAATTAAGTTTCTTCCAACACTTTAAATTGGATCAGTTTCTTTTTTACGCATCTCTTGGAACGAGACTTTCATTAATGAAGAGTAATCTTCTGGTGTTTCATAGTTGGAAAGAGTCGCGTGAAGAGCAGTTCTTTTGTGACGTCATCCATTTGTCTCGAGCTCATATCCGGGGGTGGATGGTCCGTTCTTGATGCGTCGTATTTACCCAGCTGTTCTAGCCGCTTTGAAATATCTCTAAGTTTTTCTTCAATGTCTTCCGCCTTTTCTTTCTTCTTTCTTTTTCCAGAACCTAAAGGGAAATTTCACTTTTCATTATTCACTTATTTCTTGTTGTTTTTTTATCCATTAAAAAAATTTATGGCATCTTAAACATAAAATCTATATTTGGCATATTGTTAATTTTGTCCATAACATTTTGTCTACCATTTTAATCTTTATCTTCTCATCATTGAAAATTAAAACAAAGATACAGAAGTCACCAATTTAAACCTATACCGACTCTTAAGTATTTACCAAGCATATATTTTCTTTTGACTTCAGCGAAGAATTTATCAAAGTCAACGCCAATCCAGTCTTTGAAACGGCCCCAAATGAATGCAACAATTTCGTGCTCATTGGATTGTTTGGAAATGTCGGATTTTACAGCCGAAATAGATTCGTTGAGAATTGTAACAAAAACGTTTAACAAAACAATCATGATGCATAGAATAAATGTAAAAAAGTATATTGGTCCAAACACGCGATTGACTCTCTCCAAGGCCAGGTAATCAAAGTCTCCCAGCGCAAAAGCCAACATTGTTTCGATTGATTGGAACATATTTCTGTACTGAAACATCTTTGGACCAAACATAATGTATCCCCACGATGCAAAAGCAACGATCAGAATAATAATGACAACAGAGAAAGCTGAAAGTTCTTTTGTTGAGTACTTCAATGTTCCTGCGATCATAGACATCCTTTTGTTAAAACGAAATAAGTGAAGAAGTTTGATGATGGATACGAAAATTGTAAAAGCCATGAAATATCCGAAGACCTCGTCCCACATAGCAACTTTTTGAAAGTTGTAAAACTTGTCTGGAAGAGATACAGAGAACATTGTTAATACAGAATAAAGTCCGTTTTAATCTGTGTATCTTATAAATCTATGTTTCTTGAAGGTATGCAATAGAAAAGAAAGTTTGGCCGATTATTCCAATTGAAATGACATAGAATTAAAATACATCTAACATCTTTACCTCTTAATTTCTTCACTGAATGCATTGCGAGTTGTGTTATCATATGCCGGACAATGTACATGGACACAGCTACCACGGCGCAAATCATATTAAAGATCTCGAGACAATTCCAGAAACTCTTTAAATATCTCTTTCTTTGCTGTTTAATAACTTTTACTTCTCTAACAATGAAGTAGATCACGATGGCCAATGTAGAGAGCTCACAAAGCACAACAAATACCCCGTATCCTCCAAGATAAGAAAACAAACGAAATGTTTTAACAGATTCCTTTATCATCATCTTTCCCATTGTCGGCATCTCGAATGCGATAAATACGTTGGAAAACATATTAACATAAGGGTTATAAACGGTAAATTCTATAAAAATTGCTCTTGTATATTGATTGATCCAATTATTCAACATTAAACCTTCGGCAATCTTCATAGCTCTTTCTCGATCTCCAATCAAATCAGCGATATATCCTCCTCCTGTGTAAATACCAAATTCTCCCGAAAAGGGAAGTCCAGCATCATCAAACAGGGAGCGGTGCTTCCAGGGGTAGTTTATAAGCATGGTGGAATGATTGGCCTTTGAACTCGTCCAGCCTTCCATGTATGTTGCATCGTCTTCCATCGTCACTGACCATTCCTGGCTGCATGTTTCGATAAATTTATACATCATTGGAACAGCATTGCATTCCTCTAAAATAGAACAAAAATATACATGTAACTTTCTGACTGCTTCTAAATATTGCCTGAATTCGGTGGCAACACGCGTTTTATTGGACCCAAGAAACTAACTGCCGTTAGGCTGAAAACAGCTATTTTGTTCGAGGGTTCAGTAAATCGCATTTTGCCCGAGAACCTAGTCATCAAATGTTTTGATATACCTTTAAAAATTGTTTCCAATACAAATCTTGCTTCTGTGTTTGCGGTTCGGATGACAAAATTTTTTTTGGTGTAAATTTTATTTAACCAAAATACAGATTTAATCAGGTTAATTCCGTAGCTATCGAACACTAATAAATGCGAATTAGACGGGGCTTGTTGACTCGTTTCAGATGATCCCGTTCAAGGTGAGGATTAACGAATGAAAATTAACTGTTGACGTAAAAAAAAACCCTTCAAAGCGGTTAAACATCTCACCAACCGGTGAGTGGGAACTCAGCAAAAATATTGGAAAGGTTAGACGAATTTTAGTATTGATTTACATGTACAATTTATATAGGAAATAATTTCTAGTTATTCTAATATTCCTTGAATTCAAAGACGAAAAATAAAAACAAACGAAGCTACTACAGGTTCGAACGACCAAATATGGATTACTCATATCTCTTTTTCTTAAGAATTATGTTTCCAGATGTGTTTGAAGGGAAATCTTGCATATGAAATGTTCATGAATAGTACATAAAAGCTTTAGACCTTGTCGTACGCGTTGTTGGCGAATACGCACTGGACCAACTCTGTATGCTACCCTTGTTGCTATCATACGTCTTTCACTATCATCAACAGGCATATTGTTCCACTGTTTTGAAATGTACAGTCTGGGTAACAGTATTTCAAGTAACCATTTCCAAAAGTCTGGCACATGGCTTCGCTGAAGAAAAAAGAATTCTCTCAAAATCTTGTCTTTTATATCTTAGTCCTACAATATTTTTTTTGTTTTTTTTTTACTGAAACTTAAATATGAATTTTAAGATAATCTTACTTTGTTAACTTTGTTGATAGATATTATATTATCCAGAGCCTCTTTCAATGGGTACGCCTTCTTATCTCTGTTATGACTAGCCACCAGTACAATAAGAGCCACAAACACAAAGTAGAAGGCAATTTCCCGAACAATCTCAAACATTGCAATCTCCTTCATTCTTTTCTCTCTGGCTTCGGCCAGTTTTTCTTTGTCAGGTGGTTCAATTTTTAATGCCGGTCTCTCAGCTGAAATGGTGATTGATAATTGTAGCAATGAAAACCAAAGACATGTTTTTTACACATGTACTTTATGATTTTCAAAAGAAAAACATCTCATACTATCCTATTTGAAAAGAAGCACTTGACTTTGTTTATTATCGTTACTTAATCCAGTTGAAGCAAACATTTTAAATATAATTTAATATACATACATTTGACATGATTCTTATACAACAGTTCTTCATCAGACAGTAACTGGTTGTTCATCTGAGATTCTTCACTCGTTTCTGTTTCCTCTTCAATATCTGGTTTCTTCAGTATGATTGATAATAGCATGGCAACAAGAATGATCTGAAAAAGAAATCAGACTTACAAAATCCCTTACATTGAAAAATCATTGCAGAAAACAATTATTATTTTTTTTATTTTTATATTCAATAGTTTAATTCAATCATATATAGTTTCTTTGAAATAAATACAAAATGGTAAGAACCTTAAATGGTTGGATCACTATCACAGATTCACAAATGGATAACAGAATTGATGACAACCAGCTTAAAGATTTTTCCTTCCCCCACTCAATGCTGTACAGAAATGTAATAAATGATGACAGTAATGCCGAGATGTAAACAAGTGTATAAGCCACATAAACACACGAATGTGGCAGCATGAATTTCTTGGATTTTTTCTTAGAAGGTTTTATATGTGGATTGCTTATAACAGCAATTTCACTATTTTTCTTTCTTTTTTCTATGAGAGCAGAATCGGAATGCATGGAATAAGTACTGTTTGCACTGTCTGGTCGCAAGTATGGTTTATCAGTGTAGTCTTCTAATTTTGTCTCATCTGGAGGAGACCACGGTCGCAGTTTGATTTGTGATAGAGCTGCCAGTGGCTGAACATTTTTACCCATAAACGCATTGGTGATTCTGTTCCGCTTCGGTTTCGATTTTCGGAACAACTGATCAATAATAATATTTATTGGTAGAACAATCATACTACTGACAAAGCTTATGTATATTCCACTCAAAGAAAATTCAAATGGTCCGAATGACAAGTATTCTTTATTTTTCACTTTATCTTCCGCTTGATAAAACATGGCATTCACCATCAGGGTAGTCATGACAAGTGATAGAATGCAAGACAATCTCTGTACGCGCGTGAAAGTGCTTCGATGAGGTCGACTAAATACGGAGATCCAAAGATGAGAATCGGTGAAGCTTTTCTTGGTTTTTGTCATAAAGAGGTTTTGAAAGTTGGTCATATCCTCTTTGCTTGCAACCGGAAGAAGCCTGTCAACCATACCGTCGTCTTCCTCTACTGCCAACCAACGATTACATAAAAAACAGTATCTGCAAATATGGTCATAAGAATACACGCAAATAAGCAAGATTACCGGTAAAAAAAAAATGACAAGTTTCATGAAAAAAATTAATTCCGGATAAAGAGTTGATTATATTGATAGCCAGAGAAACAAGTATGATTCAAGAAAAATTCTTATCAAATTTAAAAATCAGAGTTACGCACGTTTCCGATGTTTGAAGATCAGTTACAATAACTTTACTGAGGTACCATCCTTGATACTTTCCTTCCCCGCTATTGTCATGCCAGATCCTTATAAAAGTTAAAGGACCCAGCCACTCAGATGTTGACAGAACGAAGTTGTTTATACTACCGCGACTGCATGTCTAAAAGAGATATATAACTCCTCATATTTAAGTCTGCTTGAAACTGATAACAACAATTAAGAAAATATGCTGGCCATCAAAGTGAATGAATGCGTATTCCTCTATGCAATGTTAGAAATTTGAGTACCTTAATGCCCTTTTCGTCTATAAGTTCCCTAACCCCAGTATCCTGAGTTTCACCAGCTAAAACAAAACTGATTTTTGATTTAGTACCAGCTCCTCGGCGCATCCCTGTGCAAACAGTCAGCTGATAGAAGAATTTGTCACACACAACATTATCAGCTAACGGTGCTATACCCCACTAAAAGAAGAAAACGGATGCTTTTTGCGGTACAAAACATTGCAATTCGTCTTCTATAATTTGCTATCAACTCCATGATGTTAATATATTGAATTTAAAGAAAAACAAAAACAAAAGCAAAACATAAAAACAAATTGTAAATACGCTTCTTAATATCTGTTCATTAATGCAATAATTGAACCTAAATTGAACATTAAATAATACCTTTATGACATCTCTTTTATCTTTATACCGAGCCCAGATTAATCCAACCGTGTAAAGGAAATACATCAAGCAAAGCACAGCTAAAACTGCCCAGTTGTCCCTCAATTTTGCCTCAAAGTCGTTAAAAACTGTCATGAAGTTTATTGTATTTGGAGGAACAAAGAAATCAGAGCCAAATGACGTCAGATGGTTACATAAACATCTGGTGTAGTTGGAGTTTGAAAGATAACTGACCTAATGAATCAAAATAATCGCAAAAATATTTACGTATTTATCCCATTTTATTTCTTTTCAATATCAATTGAGAATTTTCCAAGTACATTTTCACCAAGCCAATATGTTAGTGACTAAAGCCTACATATTAAATATACATTAAATAGAATTACTACTGAACTTAAAATATTCCTATATAGAATAGTTTGTATTTTACTGTTAACGCCATATACATGTAATATGAATAAGTTTTACTAAGCTTTACCTGACATCCGTCTGACACCCATTTATCGAAATCAACATCCCAATAAAAACACCCCGAAGTAACAAAACTAATGGTATAGTTCAGAAGATCCGGCGGTGTTACTATCCCGTAATCTGAATAATAGTCGTCATAATTAGGGTACTCCTCCTCTTCTGTTTCATTGTCTGCAAAAATACTTTATATTTAAATACTTAATATTTAAATATATACATGTATGTAACATTTACGTATTACTCAAATCCCTCGCTACTAACTTACCGAGCCACGGACAATCATAATTTCATTTCCCCACCAAAATAAAATCCACCAGACGCTAAAACCTGACTATTCAGCAAATTCAGAAAAAATCTTGTAACAGGTATTTAAAACAAGTAGAGAGTGGTTTGCTTTTCTCAAAAATACTTACAAACAGGGCGCACTCCAAGATAGTAATCACCAATGCCTCGTTCTTGGACATACTCAGGAGAGAGAAATATCGTATGTTCCAGTTCATGTCTCAAATGAGCATCCGGAACACTGTAGGTCAGCTCTCTTGGAATCGTGAAGTTAGAATCATAATTGTCTATTGTCGGCTGCCTACTGACACCTACGTAGCATTCTAACTTCGTTTCAGAGTCTTCTGGTTTTACGACAATGTGAACAGAAGACATATTGGACCTAACAGTAAAGTAATGGTAGGACAATTTCTCCCTTGAAGTCAGCGGAAAGTTAATTTGTGATATTTTCAGTTTTGAGGAATCAACACTGATATCAATCATAATGCTGTCATTAAGATTTTTCACAGCTATTTCTTTTCCCTCGCTGTCATATAAGTTTAAAGTCAGGACCGGGGTGTTGATGAATTTTGCAGAATTGTCCCACACATATGGGTTTGTTTTGGAGCTCAGAACCTACGATAAAATTATTTTAGATTAATTTATTGTGAGTAATGTCAAATTACAGAAAGATAAAACCATTTGTTTCTTCCACAAACCTTTGAATCTACGTATGAAGTGTTCTGAGATAATATCGTGTCCATTGTGGGCATCTGGAAAGATCCTGTGGAGGTATCCAGATGAGTGTTGTTAACAGCATTTACGGCCAGTCTTTCAGCTACTATAGTGAACAGCTGGGACTCCAGAACAACAGGAGGCTCCCCAGGGACACGGTCTTGAATGATGGTTTTGTAAACTACCTCCGCAACATCAAACACCTTGGTTGCCAATGATCGAACCTGTTAATATGTATGCATGTAAAATATTGCTTTTATCCTTAAGTCTAAAGAAAAATAGTTGACATCTTTCTCAATTGTGTTATTCAGTGACGTAACAATAATAATCATTCAGAGTTTCAGTTTCATATGAAATTTCAATTCACCCACGAAAAAGATATTATACAGTCAATGTTAGTACAGTCATGTATTCATTGTACGCAGCATAAGAAAATATGCCTTAATTTAGATGTATCTTATATCTTATCTTGTATCTTAAGATATTACTTTTTGTTTCGTTTCCAGTTTTATTTGCTCTGGGGATTTCGTTGTCCCCGGTGCCTCTGTGGTTCCAATGTTTGGTGATGGTGTAGTGGTGGTGGTAGTAGTTGTGGTTTGTTGGACTGTTAAGTCACCCTGCTCCTCCTCCAGAAGCCCTTCTTTTTCATTTATCTTCTGAATCTCTGATAATTCGTCTCCAGTGGCAGCAATAATAACAGAGCTCAAGCAAGCCAGAATATCTTTAAAAAAAACATTGAAAAAGTAATATATTAATCACACATAAAAAAAAACATTGAAAAAGTAATATATTAATCATACACAAAATACAGTACCACAGGTCTTCCATTCTGCTTCCAATTATAAAATAGATCTTCTTAACATTAATGATTTTAAAAATGGGCGAAAAGAAATCGTTAAGAAAATAATTTTATTTTACCTTCTGCAGCACTATATTTTTGAATTGTAGAATCTGTTTGCGATTGACTGACAATTTTTTGGAAAGAGTTGGCTACATTTGACATCGCGTTTACTGCTATATCCTAAAAAGAAAGTGTTGATTAACAGGAACATGCCATGATAAATTGAAAAAAAAATCGATAAGGTTTATAAAGATTTCTTTTTTCACAATGTTGTCTGCAATCTTCAAACTCTCTTGTTGACTGATAAAGAAGGGTATGACACAAGATCTTATTTTACTTATGACACAAGGTCACAAATATAGAGTGAGTGACATTCATTCCATATTGATTTATTTTTGTTTGAAGTTAAACTTTGATCTTTCTAGACTATCTAGAATGCTGCTCAAATCCAATTTTTTTTTTTTGGAAAATACTTTTTTAAAACAATTAAATCTTACTTGTGATGTTTCAGACAACTCAGATGATTCGTGGGTTACAACTCTGAAGCAAAGGGCCGTTTGCTGTAAAGAATCCAAAGTTAAGGACGTCGTCTCGGTGGAGAGTGTTGTCAAGAGTGACTCTCGAAGCTAGAAATATAATGTTCAGAAACGTCTCATTAAAGCCCTCTTATAATTTACAAATACACCATTCTTTGAAAAATATAGTTTACCTGTATCCTTTTCTTCTTTTCTTCTTCCTCTTTTCTCTGTCTTTCAGCTTCGACCTCTACCGGATCTACAGTCGTTCCAACAATGTAGGTGGTGAGGTGTTCAGTTGATGTTGGTAATGTTGTGGATATTGTAATTGTTGACGTTATTTTCAGTGTCGTAGTTTTTGGAGTTGTGCTTGAAAGTGTTGGCATAACTGTAGTAATATTTTCATACTCTTCAGTAAGTGGTAGATCTGAAGAAACAATCGTGGTACCCGGAATTGGTGTTGTTGTTTTTGTCGTGACGCTTGTGGTAGTGGTTGAAATAACTTTGTCATTAGATTTTATGACCGACGCTCGCGATATTCCAATCTTCAAATGAGAACAAAGGTTGTCAAATTATTTTTTTTTCAAATGTCGGATATTTATCGACAAATAAAAGAAAACCTTAACTCAGCATTTAAAAGAAAATTTAAACGATTTTTTTTATTAAATGGAAAGTATGAATAGCCTAAGAATACCATACCTCTGTTGGAGAAGTATTAATCAATGATGCTACAGCTACAATGACTTGTTTGGCCTCTTGTGTTTTTCCAGAAGAAAGAAGATTTTCGAGCGTACTATCCTGTCCTGATGTGAGTGAAATAAGCTCACTTACTTCGTTTTTTATTATAGGTTTTGATACCTTCACACTGAGCCATGTTTCAACGTACTCTCCGATTGGATTTGCTATTCGTACAACCACATCATGTAAGAAGTCACTTTCCTCTGGACCAAGAGGAAATTTAGTATCCGGAGTGTACGGATCTGTGCCATAGTACAAAAGCTGAGTGTCCAGACGACCACGAAGCTTTGACCAGAATCGATAAAGTAGTCCTGCTCCTTTGCTTTCTTCTTCACCAGGGTTCACCCAATCATTACAGCTTATAATAAATTCTGTTTCCAAAGCATACCCTGTATAATTTAAAAAGGATTTTTACAAACAGATAACAATAATACACTTCTTTTTGTTTTATGTAAATGTTCTCAGATGTTATGTTGTTCTGTTTCAAAATAATATCAGTCTTACCAGACGTCGGATTAATACCACATGATCCCCCATAGGGCGGTAGGTTTGTTATGAATTCATATTCAGTGAAACTCTTAGTATATCCATAGACACTCGCCGATAATCGTAGTCGGTATGTTCTCCCACCAACCAGAGTGGACGATTTGAAAACAAGAACTGATGATTTTGTATCTAGAAAATTAATCAAGGGTCTTCCTAAGATATTTTTTCATATAAAAATACTTGATATTATTGCATTTAACAGTAGATGAATGTAAATTACCTGTAACCAAGAGCGAGTCCAGTTCATCGACATCTTGAAACTCTTCAGACTCCTCAAGCAATAAAGACCATTTATATTCAACTTTTTCGTATAAATTACATGAGAGACATTTTCCTTGGACACTGAAGGGACTCGAAGGATTCATTTTGGAATTACAGTTCTCCACACATCTGTAGTACAAATTGAATGATAAATAAAGTAATTCTATACATTTATCATTGTTTAAAATGTGTTAAATCGTTTTTGTTTAAATTTTATAATTAACAGAAGGAAAACTTACAAAATCTGAATGAGTGGAGGATCTCCTTCAATAACTTCCACCATCTGTTGAAATGTGCCTTCCCGTGTATCTTTCTTAACATGTACTTCAAAGACATTTTTCGAATGCGGATCAAGAAGCAATGTTGATACTTTGATTATTCCAGATGAAATGGGAAGTTTTCCTATACCTGTTCCAAAACATCCACTATGTCTTGTCTGATTTAAAGCTTCGTCTAAAGTTGGAATGGCCACATAATCCATCACCGAAGGGTAAACCTCATTTTCCTTTCGACATCTCCATTCATATGTAAAATTTGAAGTTGTTGGTGAATCTGGATCGTATGTCATTTCATACGCATTAAGTATCAAACTTGAATCATATCCAATGTTTCTTGCTGTTCCACCGGAAATTCGTACGACAAGGGGAGTTTTTGTAATGTTCAGATATGTGTAGTGTTCAGAAAACATACCCGGGATCCCAATCATGGAAACGTTTAAGCTTATTCGGTAAAGCCCTGGTGAAAATGTTATAGGCGGAAATAATATTTTGAAATGATCAGTAGAAATGAAAGTAGAAACTTCATATGAATTAAACACTCTATTGAGGTACGTATCTCCCTGCTGTATTTTAAATATTTTCCAGTGATATTCTGGACCACTAGACGCGGGGCAGTTAATTTCTGCGGAACTTTCTAGATTGATCCATTCTGATCTGTACATAGCGACAGGTTCATCTATTCTTTGTCCACCACCAATGATATGAACAATAGGGTAATAACAATTGACGCCTGTGATCACACCTATGTCGTTGATGCTCTGACTAGATACAAGATTAAAGCCTGTAACCTTCACACTGAAAGTTCCATTTGATTTGTACATGTGCTGATGGCGTATTTCATTGGAAACGTTCCACGGTCTATATTCATAGTTATTTAATGCAGCTTTTTCCTTACATACAGTCTCACCATAAATGATTATGGTTGAAAAATCCCCCATAAACCAAAGATAGCAAGGGTTTGTTCCCGGGTTTGACAGCTTCAAAGTAAATGTCATCAGATCAAATGCCATCTTTGGTCCATTGTTTTTCAATGAATATGGATTCACAATTTCTTCAAGAGTAATATTGAATTCTTCATATTCAAAATACAAACCATTGCTTACGTTAACAGATATCAGGTGAGATCCCACATATTGAAATTTGTACATTACTTTAGCATCACTGGTGACATATCCGTTTTCTGATCCAAATGTCCAAGTGTAAATTATTTCGTTTCCACTACTGACTATGGCTTCGAAAATAACAGGACGCTCCAAAGGAAAGATATCACCGTCTGAACCATGTCCATGATGTGTGGTTTCAGTCAAATCGGATACTTTGTAATATCGGGATAATTTCAAACCTTTAATTTCCTCCAAAACTTTGACTTTTACATTCTTTATAACGGAGGAAACAAGGTTGCTTACATTGAATTTTATTTCATATACGCCCATTTGTTGATAGCTGGAAGTCACACTTACCGAATGGTTTGTAACGAGGCTACTTGGGAGGTTAACACTGTCCTTAATACCATTTCCTAAGTTGTACTGATACTGAATGTGAGATCCTATACCGATGTCAAATTTAACACTTATGCTCCCACCAACACGAATGGATGTTTGGCTTGTACTTATGTAAACCTGTTCAATCTTTCTTTGAAAGGTTGTCCACGTTTTAAAGGTCTTATTCCCTAACTTATTTTTACAAAAAACCTCTATATCTGTTGTGCCAACATCACTGTCATCTTGCCAAACAACTGATATTTCTGTCGGTTTGTCTTTTTCAATCAGAGCTATTTCATCTATTCGCTGATAAATGCCCTTTATGTAAGTGCTACAATTCATACAACATGGTTCCAACTCACTTCCGGTAAAGGATAACAAAAGTTTTACTTGTCCTGATGGCAAGGCCACAACACTTTCGGTCGACAGAAGAAGATTATTTATGGGAGTTTCTACATAAATGTAGGGAGATGTAACATTCATTTCAGAATAAGTATTCCAGACCCTCACTGAAACATTGTATTTCCCAACATTTGAATAAACAAAGGGATAGTAATTCGTAAATTCGCCCCTCAATTTGTTATTGAGAACTGATTGTAATTCATTTCCGTCTCCATAACTTATGTGCACAGTCACATTCGACCCTGTTTGAAATCTTACTTTTAAATGTAGACTTTTCAGGGGTTCTGTGATGTAAGAACTACAGGTGACTTCTAAACCGGAGATTTTCTCCTCGATGTAAAATTTTTCCTCGATCACTTGGTTAGTTCTTTCATTCGATATATTTACTTTTACAAATCTGTAACCAACGCTGTAGTAATGATCCACTGTCAATGGAAGAGAACTAGAAAACACTGACATTGGCTTCTGTTGTTCAAATCCATTTCCAAAGTCCCATTCTACTTTTATATTTCGTAGGGTTTTTGGTGTTTTCAGTTCAAATCTCTTTTGTCCATCATATGTAGAATTTGTGGACGTGTGCGTCAAATTTAAATTTTTTATATCATCAACGACTGTGATTATTACCGATTGTCTTTCATGGCTTACATCGTTTACTGCCAAAACAGACGAATTGTACATTCCAGCAGTAGTATATCTGCAGTAAAGTAAATGAAATTATATCATGATAACATTTATCATCATTCTTCATTTTCATTTTAAAAATAGAGAAAATGGAAACTTACTCATGAGTAAAAACAGATGTTGAGAGAAAAGACAATATTTCACTATAAGCACGTCGCTCTGTCGAGCCATCTCCGTAAGAAATATTGTAGGTCACATGGGAACCACGGGACAAGCGAATAGTAAAAACGGCAGTTTCCGATGCTATATAATGAGTTCTATCAATTTCCACCACTAGACCACGGATAGGATCCCTATTTTGGTCACTGATTGCTGAAATAAATGTGAGAAGTCATACTCTTTTACTTATCATATCTATATTACAGAGCCTTTGTTTTTTATATAACACCGAGTTGTCTCCCATTAGCTCTTATATTACCAGCACATATTCTTCCTGGTTTTGTAGAATCTTTTGATATGTCCAGATATTGGGAGAAGCAGGTGCAATTATACTTTCCAGGTGTGTTTGTACAATTTGCATATTCAGAGCAGTCATTTAAATCCTGGTCCAAACATTCATTAACATCTAAATAAAAAGGGAAATTTTACATAAAAAGCTATTTAAAAATAATTTAAGTGTTAAGTTAAGGAGTTCCTGAATTTCAAATAATCAAGCAATGCCAGAAATAATTTATCTTAAATCAAATACCTGTTAAATTAAGCTCAGTTAACTCAACTGAATATTGTAGATAAGCTGAGGTGGAATTGGAGGCAAAAATATCAGTTTCAGCAGAGGATAATATGATTCCCGGTTCGTAGTATAAATTGCCGTGGGATACAATGCTTCCTGGTTCAAACATATAAAATGAAGTTCCCAGGTAACCTTGATGTATAGGTGAATCTAGTATAACATGATCAGTCTGAAATAAATTGAAATCATCATGCATATGCATTTTCTCTTATTCATTGTTGGTTATAAATCACATTTTAATACAATTTTAAATAAATGTACTTACTACTTGTGCGAGACTCGCTGCCATTGTTTTGAATTCATTTGTGCTGGAGTCATTCAATAAGGTTGAATATCCAGCTTCACTTCCATTCACTTTTTGTACTCTCATGTCAAGATTATAGATACTGCTCTCTATAAAACATGTTACTTTTTAAAATAAGTAAAAAGAAACAGACACAAGTATATCTATTTTTTGCATTAAAAGATAAGATTTCAATGGAAATTGTCAAATTTTCTACAGAAAAAGAAAAATTTAGATTTTAATTTTCAGACAGCTTTAGTTGTTTACAGTCTATTTAGTTGTATTTTTCAAAGCGTTTCTTTGGGTTGGAGCAGCTACCTGTACAAGATTGAAGTCCAGACTGGAAGTAACCTTCATTGCACCTGCAGTGGTACGACCCTTCAGTGTTCATACATGTCGACATCGCAGGACAGCTGTGGAGATCGTTGATACATTCATTCACGTCTAAATACAGAGAACAATACTAAAGCTCGTGATTTTCTTTGAGTTCAGTTACTATCAAACAGAGTTTTTTTTTCAATGTATACGTACCTTGACAGATACCTTTTGTCATTACATAGCCTGGGTCACAGGTGCATTTATAACTGCCAACTGTGTTTTTGCACACAGAGTGATCAGGGCACACATTATTGTTGCATTCATTTATATCTTTAAAAAAAATAATGCTTATTTAACAGATGGAGTCTAATTCAAATAATTCCTCGTAAAACCGGGTATACTTTTTATCATTCTTAAAAAATAATTTAATCCATATATGATTCCACTTATGAATAACACATGTTAATAACAATGTTCTGGTATTCAAATATAAAAGTCAACACTAACCAATACATGTCGCATTCTCCATTGTATAGCCAACAATGCAGTCACACAAATAACTACCATCGGTGTTGGTACACACCGAGAGGTCTGGACATTTTCCGAGATCGCATTCATTTATATCTGTAAGTAGATATGCAATGATGTTTCCAATCTTTAAAATGTACATACATTCAATGTACAGAGAAACTAGAAAAATATATTAAAGAAAAGTATAGTAAGAGAATACGATATATACATAGTGAACTGTCCAAATTTAAATGTCTTTTAAAACACATTTGTGAAAAACAAAATTAGTCCAAGGAAAATTAATATTTTTCTCAACAATTGCAAAAGACAAACATAATATGTTTTATGGTGCGACCGTTGCAGCGAGCACAGTTGAATTTATTACTGGATACCATCAGGTGACATTTTTAACTTCGATCCGCATCTTAAAACAACATTAGACTCGGTCTAAACTGTGACGCGTCGTCACATGACGTCGTATGTTAGTTTCAATTCCACAATGGAGTCTAAATTGTGATTTTTTAATGAAAGGCATTGCAGAGAGATATAATTATTTTTTTTAATTTCTTTTTAAGCTCTCTGTAAGAACTAAATATTCACGATAACTGTGGCATTGATATATTTGCCATCACCGTATGGAATTATGGTAGTGAAAAAATTCTGGGAAGATTTCACACCAAAATTTGCTTGACGAATGTACAGATTTCAGTTCGAATTTCCACACATTTGTCTATAGAGCTTGCTGTGCTCGCCATAACACAATACTAAAAATAATAGTATGCATCTACATTACCTTTACAGGATTCCCCGGTGTCAACGTATCCTAGAATGCACGTGCACTGGAAACTACCAATGGTATTTATGCACACACTGTTCTCTTTGCAAGGATTTGGTATAACAGAGCATTCATCAATGTCTTAAAAAATACATATACGCAAGATTCTTATTCTAGTTGACTATCTTTTATTAATTAAGTAAAAAGTTATTTATCATTTCTCGCTGTTCAATTTTCAATGTAGCTAACGTATGTTTTCCAATATGATTTCGATAATTACATTTCTTTATGTTTTTTTAAATACACCTTGAAAAGTATTCTACATAAAAACAACGGGAAAATGGTATAATTTATTGAAAATAGATTAAATTGACGGGAACTGCACAAAATACAAAAAAGCCAACAAACCCCTCTGATCTTATAGGAATTACTATTGAATGAAAGCAGGTGCTTAAAAAAAACAATGGTGGGCGACATTTTTTGTGATTGTCGTAATTTTTTTTCGGATGTCGTTAATTTTTTGCACAGTCACTTTTATGCTCATTCATCTGATAAGTGTGTTGACCTAGACTAGAAGCGAGACATTCATCATAATATTGAACTGCAGATGAAAACTGCGCTTTTCTACATGTTTATCAATGGAAAGCTACGATCAAATTTCACACAATTAACGATCATTATAACCATCTGTAACTGATAGTCTCCCATTTGGGTTCAAAATTTCTTGTGATAAATAGCCTTAAGTAATGAAAATCAATATTTATGAATATTACAAGATTGACAAAGATACGCATTTGTCTCATAAAAATAAGCTTAGAACAAACATTGTTCCCTCAATTTTCAGGTATTTTTCTTACCTACGCATTGGGTTCCATTTTTTGAAAAGCCAGATTTGCAGAAGCATATATAACTTCCTAATTTATTTTCACAATTGGAGTTTTCAGGACACACATTCGTTAAACACTCGTTATTGTCTGGAAAAAAAATCAAAGAAAACACCATTAAAGTATTGAAATACAAAATTAACACATAATTATAAGTAGGTAATCGGTTTCATCAAAACTCTAGGTCTTTAAGTTCAGAAGTTCAAAGTGAGTCTTATCTCCCTCATCCAAAAAATAAAAAATGAATGAAAATTGCACATGGGCAACAGACATTTCCTGTAAATGTGTCTATTTCAGGAAATTTCATGAGAAAGGTCATTACACTTTGAGATCAATTTTTAAGCAATAAAAATAAGAGTGGCGCTACTGAAAATTAGCCCATTGCAATTTATATTACCAACACAGACACCATTGCTGCTGACAAATCCTGTCTCACAATTACAGATGTAGCTTCCTTCCGTGTTGTGACAAACAGAATGTTCTGGACAGACATTCCCTTCACATTCATTTACATCTATATAAGAAACATAATCAGTACAATTGCAAAAAATACAATTTTTGCTGGTCGACATAAATAAAGTTGACGATATGAAGTTGCATTTTTCTATAAATATCACGCATGTTGAAATAAATGTCCTACTTTGCACATAAGATATCACACCAGGGTACAATTTATCTTTATAATGAAAGACTAATTTAAATGTTTAGTTGCATGTTAACATAATCTGTAGAAAATTAGCTTTAATAAAGGATGCATGAAATATATGTATATATTAAATGTGATCATGAAAATTCACGGCTTAATATTATTATATATTATATATACATATAATTTTTTTTAACAAAATAATCAATTTTTTTTTAACAAAATAAACAATTCCCTTCTGTCACTTTTACCTATACAAAGGTCATTCTTCTTTGTAAATCCACTGTTACAAGCACACACATAGCTGCCTTCTAGGTTGATGCAGTTTGAGTTTTGAGGACAAGCATCATTTACCAAACACTCGTCGATATCTAAATTCACATTATTTCTTCTTTAATACTCTTATTTAAAATGCAATCCATTTTTATAAAAAAAAAATGATCATTTATATGGTTTGATTAAAATTACCTTCTGTTATATTTTTCAGCTTTAGCTTTACAATGTTCAATCAGAGGGCATTTTTCACCATTCAATGATATCAGCTACATAAACTAAGAGGAGTTTGACTCTTTTCAGGTTTTAGAATAGGTTTGTGTCTTCTTTGAATGAGTTACCTTCGCATCTGTCTCCAGTGAGGATGAAGCCTTTCTCACAAGAACATGAGTAACGTCCTATCGTGTTGTTACAGATAAAGTGTGTACCGCATGGGAATTCTATACATTCATTCACGTCTTTAAATAAAAGAGAAACATTCAGTATTTTTATACAAGTGACTACAAGATTTACACTACACAAAATTATTTTTGCACCGATAACTACGATTAAGGCTTAAACAAATATTAACGCTGTAAGTTTAAGTCTTTTTGTAATTGCGTTACTGTAACTTTGGACTGTCTACGTTTGAATTATTTTTCTAAAAAAAATCCTTTTTGATTCTGAAAGAAAAAAAAACCTTTGGAGGCCAAACCAATTATCTGAGTATCTTTCTTTCCGTTTTTTGTTTTTTTTTCCATTAGCTGCTTTTTTGCAGAATAATTTCACAACATACCAACATAAGGTCTTTGTCTAAACTTCAGCATAAAATGTTGATTTATGGCAAATGATCTCTAAGAGTAATTTACAGACAAAGGACTCTACCTTGGCACTGATTGTTACTGAGAACGTAACCTTCAGGACAGAGGCATTGATAGCTGGTGGAGAGACTCTTACACGTAGCCAAGGACGAACATGGATTACCGAGGCAATGGTCAATTGCTGGAAATCACAATTCTGATATATTTAAATAAATAGATAACGGAATACTTCCTAACACATCAAAATTTTTAAATAATGTCCGTTATAATTTTTAACCTCATATTGCCCATCTTATACTTGATTATTTACAAAATGTCTTATTTGAAATTTCTGATAAATTCCCAAATCAATACACACCAATTACACATAACCTCTCCAATAAAAATAAAAAAAAACTGTTGAAATATTTCCTCAGTCTTACCACTTGTTGTAGTTTCAGTCTGTCCCAATATAGTTTCAAATCCACCGTCAACTGAAAAAAATAAAAATTATAACAGGCTCACCTTTCTAGATTTTTTGGTGGGAGTCTTGATAAACAATAATGATTGGGAGAATAATGAAGCTGACAACATTTATATTCTCTCGGATACTAAATAGAGATAATTGCAAATTCACACAAATCTATGGAAAGCAAAAATGCATTTGGACAGGATAAAATTGTTTGGTTTGTATTGAATTATGAAATCCAATTCCTATATAATTGTATGAACATAAAACGGATTATTAACAATACAAAATGTATTTATAATTTTCAAACGACCTTGCGACGATAGCGCTTATGAAAAGATAAAAATACACATACTCGTTGATATTGTTAAGTCTATTTAACGTAATTAATCATTTCACGTATGAATTAAATCAATGAAGTAATATTTACAGAATCTTAAGCAGTTCAAAAACCTAAAGCAAGTATTTAAACTCTTTACTACAGCAACTATTGCATATTGGGAAATTTAGCAAATGTAGTAAATTTTGTTGACTAAAAAAAGTATACTTAACGTATATAATGCAAAGTTTTACATGGAAAAAATTCCCTGAGTAACCATAGTTACATTTGCAAGCATAATTTCTTGCCGAAAAGAACTAACAAAAAACATAGGTGGCATGTGTTGATCTTCTTCTGGGGATTTGAATCGGCTGAATAAATGAATATATTGTCATTCTTAAAACAATCACTCACGTTGCCAGAACACTATATTTCGGATGCCATCTTTGTATATATATATATATATATATATATATATATATATATATATATATATATATATATATAAAAACAGAAATATCACATTATCTTATTAAATTAATATATAGTTTAAAAGTGTACAAAAATGGCAGATTGTGGTGCGTAAAAGACAGAGTTTGGAAAAACACACAATAACATCATTTATGTTTATAGAAGCATTCTGATATTGGGGAAAAAAATTCTTTGCATTTGAACGAATGTTTTAAAACAAACGTATTTTGTCTTTTATCCTGAATGAGTATTCGCCTCTGAAAGTTTTTTTCAGTCTATAAGAAGAGCAATACCATCCGATTGTCAATGATTACGAGACATGTAATCTAGTTATAGAGCTCTACGTTTAGCTCTCTATATATGTATATCTTCCATTTATAAACAAAAAGGACTCAGTTGATACTTTGAAATAAAATAAGCATAAATTAACATCCATATTTTAAAGGCTTTAAATTCACTTTATAACCATAGTTACATTTGCAAGCATAATTTCTTGCCGAAAAGAACTAACAAAAAACATAGGTGGCATGTGTTGATCTTCTTCTGGGGATTTGAATCGGCTGAATAAATGAATATATTTTTGATCATTATCATGTATAAACTTCACGGAGAGAATATGCTGAAAAACTACATTCAAAAGAATGTATTATGTTTGTTACCTGAAAACTGTGTAAACTCATCTCTAAGTTTATATTGAGGTTCGAAGACTGAATAGTAAGCAGTATTCAGCGTTGTCTTCAGATAGGAAGCATCAAAATGGACACTTATGAAGGCCACCTTAAACTTCACGATGAGACTGCCCTCTCTGTAAGAAGAATATGATAGTTTTCCCCTGAAATCTAAATCAACTAGACGGTAATTCGCTTATTCTATTAGATATGGCTAGAGTACTTACATAAAGCCCTCTATTCTTATGTTGGCGATATATTGGGAAATATCAGCGATTGCAAAAAGTTTCTGTAACTAAAAAGAGTACACTTATGTTAATTGATATACTTTTATCAATCATTTTAAAAGAATTTCTGTGCTACCAAGTCGTTTGAAATGATATGTACAAATGTATGTTTATACATTTATTTTCATTTAAGGTTCATGATGTTTTCAAAAATTAATAACAACGGATTATTGTAGACAATTAACACCAACAAAATTAATATAACTCGGTTTAACGAGTCCTACCAGTGCTAATATTTCTGCAACTTTCTTTTGATAAGCATCAGATGTGGGGTCGAGCAATGCCTGGTCGAACTCCTCGTCAATCTTTATCACACCTGCTACTTCATCTTCCTCTTCAATCACAGTAGGGGCCTTCGTCGTCGTTGTCGTCAAAACTCCAAGTGTTGTGGCCTTCCCTCTGCTGGCTGATGTGGTTAATACATTGCTAACCATGGATGTAAGGAGATTCTGAATCGTCGTAGGTTCTTCTTGTTTTGAAGTTGTTGTGGTGACAATAGTAGTGGTGGATATAAGTGGTATCGATGTCGTAGAAGCATTTGTAGTTGTTGGTGTGGAATCTGTGGTGAATAAAGATTCCTTTGTTGATACTGTAGACACTTTTTCAGTTGTGGTAGACACATTTGGAGTTTCTGTCTCTGAAAATGAATGGATGTTCCTTTTAAATTTTTTATTACTCATCGAAAACATATAAATTATTATCTGCAATTTAAAGTTATAAAATAGATTTAGCATTTAATTAAATTTCAAAATGAATTGAGTCTATTTTCACAAACTCAATATTCAACACTAGCTTTTGTTATTTTTTCGGCTACAGTAATCGTCATTAGATATAATATCAAGGTGGAAGTTACGAGTATCTTTAATGCATTAATCATAAATTGGTAGGAACTTATGAATTGAAGAATTATGACCAACTTATTGTTTGATGTACCTCTGGTACTTGTAGTATCAAACAATTTTGAACTGGGCGTTTCCGTAGTCGAAAACCAATTTTCAGTGGAATCCGTTTCATTAGTAGGCTTTAGAGTGCCGTTGAGTACCACTGTCGCTATCGTTGAAAACGTCTGACTTTCAAGAGTGGTTGGGTTGACCTTGTTCGAGCTTTCGCTTGTAAAAATAGATTCCGGTGTTTTTGTTCTTTCGTTAGTTGTTTTTTCGAAAGAATCTCCTCCCGTTGTACCCTCTAATGTCTGTGTTGAACCTGTATTATGTGTATTAATGCTTTCTGTATTATTTGTTGTTGTTGTGCTAACAATGATTTCCATGCTATCAGTGTTTGTTTTTATATCTTTGGTGGTGGTTGGTTCGTATGTTGTCGAACTAAGAACATCACTGCCTGTTCTTTCATCAGTTATAGTTCTTTTCTCTGTGGTTGTAGCGGGTGTTTGTGTTGGTGTGATATCAACATGGGTTGTCATATTGTTTTGGATTTGCTCCATCTTGGTGGTACCTGTGCCTATGTTAGTTGTTGATGAATGTGTTGATTTACGCTGAATATCAGTTGTCATGCTCCCTATTGTTGTCATTCCATCTATGTTTGACTCTGTGTCAGTGACCTTTGCTGGTGTTTGTGTGAGCATACTATCAGTAGTGGATATCACACTATCAGTATTTATAATATCTGTCCTTGTGTTTAATATGCTATCACTATTAGAGGTTTCCATAACAGTAGTTGTTTTATGGTCTTTGACTGATGAACTATATACCGGTAAGTCTGTATGCAATGTGGTATGTTTGTTAATTGAAGATGTAGTTTTATAAGGAGTCGTGGATGTTTCTTTTGTTATATCTGTGGTTGTTAATATTTTTGTCATTGTGTTCGTGTCGTGTGTAATGTCGGTCGATTTAAATTTTGGTGAGTTCTCTGTGGGTATATAAGTTGAAGTTATTGTCGCTGAACTTGACAAATGGTTAGGAGAATTGCTAGTGAAATCCGTAGAAAGACTACTGGCAGAAGAAGAAGAAGACGTAGTTGTTGACTCCTGATCCATATGGGTTGTGGATGTCGTTTTGTCTGCTGCTGGACTATGTGAAAGTATCGTACTTTGTAATGTTGGAGTGGTTGAAAGATCTGTACTCTCAAATGTTCTACTGTTTATGACACTTTCTGATGTTTTTTCATCACTGTTTGAGTCTCTTGTTGACATTTTTGATTCAAAACCTATTGTTGTTGAACTTTGAACAGTGGTTATAGGACCGGACAAAGTTGTTTTGGTTGTAGATGAGGGTGAATCCGTTGTGCTAAACGGATTATTTTCCATTGGCGTTGTTGATTTATACATATATGTACTATCGTCACTTATTGATGAAGCTGTATTGTCGCTTATTTCTTCCACCAATGAACTTCCGGTTGTAATTTCAGACACAATTGGAGTAATGTCTTCAGAATTTGTTGAGTGGAACGTAGTTGTAGAACTTTCTAAAGTTATTCTTTCTTCAGCAATTGAAGTAAGTGCTATATTTTCAGATATTGTCGAACTGACCAAAGTAGTTTTTTGATTGTCAACGGAGGATGTTGTACTCTCGGTATTTATGTTAGCTAAAGAACTGACAGATGGTGTCTGTGATGATGTTTCACTTTTAACTGAGAATGTCTTACCTTCAGTGGTGGAGATAGTCGGTTGTATGTCATCCATTTCAAACGTAGTCGAAGGGTAACTTGATGTTCTATCAGCAAGGGTCATGGTGTTTGATAAATCTGTGCTATCAAAAGTATTCTTCCTTGTTGACATCAAAGTTGTGGTTGAATCTTCTGGTACCGCTAAACTTTCTGTTGCACCTGAAGTTGAAACAGGTGCTATTACATCAACTGAACTGCCACTACCTGTGGTAGATGATTGCCTTGTTGAGGATATTGTGTTTGTATTATCTTCTATTGTAAAATGATCTCTACTATCAGTTGTTAAATGAGTTAACGGCTGAGTTTCTGTTTTTAATTCTGTTCCTAATGTTGTAAATTCCTCAGTCAAATCGGGGTTAGAGGTTGACATGTCTGTGAATGAGAAGGCACTTGTAATATTATGAGTTAAGAGTGTCTCAGTAGAAGTACTTGTTTCAAATGTTTCTTCCATACCTTTGGACGTTAATCTAAAAGTATTCTCTTGAGTAGTACTTTTGACCGTAGTAGTCGGTGTTGCCAATTCTTTTGTATGGTCTGTTGGAGTGGAACTTCTTGCTTCGTCTGTTGTTGTTATAATTGAACTTTCAGTATTGTTTATTGGACTTTTTGTAAAAGTTGTTGACTTTACTGTTGAATCACTCTCTGTGAAATCTGTTGGTCTGTTAGTTATTGTATTTATTGTAGTAGAAGCAGGGTCTGATGAATGTAGTTGCATTTTTGTAGTGTAATTCTCAGATGTATCTGAAAAATCCAGTTTGACTGTACTATCTGTGTTCTTCATTGTGGATGATGTGAAAGTCTTGGTTATTTCATCTCCAGTGGAAGTTGTTTTGGGAATCGATGATGTGAAAGTCTCATCAACTTTTCTGTTTGTAGATATGTCTTCTACCACTGATGTGCTTTCTGTGGCTAAATTGTCAGTGAATTCAGCAGTAGTAATTATGGTCGAAGTTACAGAGCTACCTGAATCGGATGCTGGATTTATTGTGGTTGATTCACTTTCTTTAATAGTTGCCACATTAGATGTAGTATCCGTTGCTGCCGTTTGTGTTGATGTTACAGTGTTTGCTGAAACACTTTCTATTGATGTTAGGACATTACTAGTGGTAGACATTGCAGAACTTGTCATTGATTTAGAAGTTGTTATTCCATTAATATTTGTGACATCTAGCAAGGTAATTGCTTCTGTTGAAGACATGTCTTCTTTCTTTGTGTTCTCTGAAAAGAAACAGTCAAATATACTTCATAATTTGAAGTCACAGGATTCAAATTTCAAATTATTTTTTACAAAATGAAAGAATACTTAAATTAAGAAGCAGACAGTTTTTTTTAATTTCATTTACAATTTAATTAACTTATTTCATTTCTAGTGCTTTTTCTGTTTTCCATTATTCTCTGGTTGAAGCTAAAAGCTGTTGGCCGGTGATATGTGCATAATCTATTTTCAATATTGAATTAGTAAGACGGGTCCCATTATCATTGATAACGATATTGAAAATGTTCCTTTGTATTTAAATGCTTCATCTTTTTCTTAATTATATACGTTCATAAATCCCTATGAAAGTCTTTGAATAATCATTTTTGTATCTTTGACATTCATCTTATTTTAAAATCCATTGATAGTGTTACAAAAACAAAAGTTTTAATAAAGCCGGTACAAATTTTAATTATGCTGTCACGCACTTTTGATATAGATTGCTCTGTACACGAAGTTTGATTATATGATATAGTTTTTTTTTTACTTTGTTAACTGGTTGTTTTTAAAAAAAATTGCATAAAGTTAGAAATAAATTGCCAAAAGCTCAAACTTTACGATCCTGTCTTGGGTATATTCCTCATTCTCGTTGAATCGTTGTAAATTTCATCATCTCAGTTTTACATTCTGTTGACATATTCTTATCCGCATTTAATTCTTCATGCATTTCTTATATCGATAAGAAATTATGCATCCATAGTTTAGGAAAAACAGTTGAAGAAACTTCTGTCCGTTTGCAAATTATAGATTTTCTTTTACACTTTTTTTAGTTTCAGAAATTCACATTCTAAACTACTTTACTAGAAAACAATTATTTGTACCTTTAAAACTTCTTTTACTGGATGGGTCTCTTACCTCCTATAAAAGCTCTGGTGTCTGCATCAGTACTTGTTGATGTGGTTCTGTCGATAGAATCACTTATGCTTGTCATATGATCCGGTGCTAACGTAGTGGGAACTGTGAAAGTCGCTGTAATGGTAGATTTTACATCTGATGATGCAGTTGTAGGAGATTCTATAGAAATTGTAGTTTTAAATACCTCAGTTATTATATCAGATTGATTTAACATTGCTGTCATAGTTGTAGATTCTTGTTCTTCTTTAGGTTTTGACTTAGTTGAAGGATTTTTTGATGTTGTCATTGGATTAGTTTCTGTCAATGGTGTTGAGTAAGTTGCTGAAGCTTGCTGAATACTGGACTCATGTGTTGTTGAATTGGCTAAAGTTGTGGTTGTCTGTGAATCATGTGTGGTTGATGGGTTCGTTAAAAGTGTTGCTAACTGTGCTTTATTAGATGTACTTGAGGTGTCTTTTTGTGTTGATGTTATGGTTGAAACTATTTCCTTTGAGGTAATAGTTGTTTCTGTCGAACCTCTTTTTGTATCTCCTGTTGTAGATTCAATTGAATTTGTTGACTTCGTTGTTATTGTCGATTCTATCAAAGGTGTATTGGTAGACCTTTCTGTTGAAGCAGTTGTTGATGATTCAGTAAAGGTTGACGTTGAAAATATTTGATTTGAAAGGTATAAACTTTAAGTGAATGTTTCAGTTAGTATCTTTGTTGTTGTCGATGGTGCATTTGTTATATTGTTATTCATAAATACATTTATCGTGTTAGATTGTGTAAATGCCATAATTGTATGCTTACCTTCTTGATAAGAATCAACAGTTGAATGGCCTTCTATCACTGTAGTTGTTTCTGTTGTTGTTATAATTGAACTTTCTGTCAGTGTAGTCATAGGTACATCTGTTGATGAAGATGGTGATTCTGGCTGTTCTGTTGATGTTGTTGTTTCTGTTAATGTTATACCGGATCTTTCTTCTGCTGATGTAGTAGAATGTGTTTCAGAAGATTTTGTTGAGGTGGATAAGTGGAGTTCTACTGAGGTTATGGCTGAGGGTGCTTCTGTTGATTCAGTAATTGGTACTTCCTTCAATGCTGTGGTTTTCGAAGCTTCTGTTGGCGTTGAGGTTGTTGTTGCATCTGTCGACATTGTGGGCGTCCAGGCTTCTGTGGAGGTAGTAGTTGACAATGACTCTTTAAAAAGTGTTGTTTCTGCTTTTGTTGACTCTGTGGTTGTGGGTCCTTCTGTCGTCTTTTTTGTGGGTGTCAGTGCTTCGGTCGATATTGAGATTGTTAATGGCTCTGTGGAAAATTTGGTTCTTGGTGCTTCTGATGATACTGTAGATGAATCTACTTCTTTAGTTGTTCTAGGTGATCCTGCTTCTGTAGATGTCACTGAAATACCAGCTTCTGACACAGATTTAGATGTAAGTGCTTCAGTCGGCGTTGTGATTTTCCTTGCATCTGTAGTGCCTATACTTGTAAGCATTTCTGATGATGATGTGGTTACCTCAGTTTCTGTCGACAATTTTGATGCTTCTGTTGTTGCTATAGTCGTTGTTTCTTCTGTTGATGGAGTTTTACCGTATACTTCAGTGGTTGTGGATGTCTTTGTAAATAACGTGATTTTTGGTGCCTCTGTTGACGATAGAAATATCGTTGTAGCTGTTACTGGATTTGTTAATATTGGTGTTGCAGATGTTTCTATCGACGATGCTGTTGTCGATTCTTCTGAAGAAGTTGTGAATGTCTGTGCTTCTCTCGCTGCCGTAGTCGTCTGTGTTTCAGTCGACAATATAGAAGTGGAGGTCTCTTTGGAGGCTTCTACCGATGCTGCCGCAGATGTTGTACTTGTTGGTGTTTCTTCCAACTTTGAAATTGTAGACGCTTCTGTTGACGACACGGCTGTTGGTGCTTTCGTCGATGTTGTAGTTTTTAGTGCCTCTGATGACGTTATGATTGTATGTGCTTCTGTCGATGAGGTATTTTTGAGCGCTTTCATCGACGTTGTACTTGCTTGTGCTTCTGTTGATGTACTTGTTGTTGCTTCTGTTGATGTACTTGTTGTTACTTCTTTTGATGTTGTGGTGGATGTTTCTGTGGATGGAGTCGTTGTGTGTGTTTCTATTGAGGTTGAACTTGTTGTTGTCTCTGTTAACTTTGTAATTGTTGGTATCTTTGTTAATGTACTTTTTGATGCCTCTGACAACGTCGTAGATGTGTGTGCTTCTGTTGCCTTTGTGGTTGACGGTTCTCTTGTTACAGCTGTGATTGTTTTTGCTTCTGTTGATGTGATACTTGTTGATGCATCTTTCGATGTTGTAGTTGTTGGTGATTCTGTTGACGTTATGATTGTTGGTGCCTCTATTGCCGCTGTTGTAGTAGCTGCTTCTGTAGACGTTGTGTTTGTTGGTGCTTCTTTTGTTGATGTTGTGCTCATGTATACAGCATCTGTGGATGCTTCCGTTGAACTTGTACTTTCTGATGATTTTGTCGACATTGTATTCGTTAGAAATCCTGATAATGTTGTACTTTTTGGTCCTTCTGTTAAATTTGCAATTTTGGGTGTCTCTGTTTCCATTGTTGTAGTGGTTGCTTTCTTCGTAGAAGTTTTGGTTGTTGTCTGTGTGTGTACTTCTGTTGACGTTGTACTTTGTGCGTCTGTTGGCAGTGTGGTATTTGGTTGTTTTATTGTCAGTGAGGTTGTGGGAATTTCTGTAGACGATGATTTTGCTTCTACTTCCATCGCCTTTGTACTTGTTTGTCCTTCATTTGCCGTTGTGGTTGATTCTATATCTGTTGACATTGCGATTTTGGGTGTCTCCGTTGCTACTGTAGAAAAGGTTGATTCAATAGACGTTGTGGTCGGGGTTGCTTCTTTTGACGTTGTAGTTTTGTGCATATCTTTGGATGTTTTACTAAGTCCATCTGTTGACAATGTGGTATTTGGTAGTTCTGTTGACATTATGGTTGTTGGAACTTCTGTAGAGGTTGTCTTTGTTTGTACTTCTATTACTTTTGTGGTTGTTAGTCCTTCTGTTGACGTTGTAGTTGTGGGTGATTTTGTTGATACTGTAGTTGTTGGTGCTTCTGTTGTTGTTGTGCTTGGCGTTTTTGTTGAGGTTGTGGGTTTTAGTGATTCTTTTAATATCGTGGTTTGATGAACTTCTGTAGATATCATATTTGTTTGTGCTTCTGTCGACACTGAGGTTATGGGTACTTCTGTTGATGTATACGGTGCTTCAGTTGACCTTGTAGTGGAAGCTTCGTTGGACATAGTGAATTTGGGTGCTTCTGTTGACATTATGTTTGATGTTGCTTCTGAAAAAGTTGTGGTGGTTTCTCTCAACGTTGATATTATTGGTTTCCCTGTAGATGTTGTTTTAGTAGCTTCATTTGGCGTTGTGGTTGATGCTTCTGCAGATTTTATTCCTGTTGAAGCTTCTGTCGACGCTCTAATTGTGGGTGCATCTGTCGATATCGTTGTGTATGCATCTTTTGACGTTGGTGTGGGTACTTCCGTAGCCATTGCATTTGTTGACGCGTCTGTTGACCTTGAAATTTTTGGTCCATCTGTTGATATTGAGGATGTGGATGCTTCAGTTGATGCTGTGGTAGTTTGTGCTTTTGTTGACATTGTCGTTGCTGGTACTTCTGTTGAAGAAATAAAAGAATCCTGCTCTTCTGTTGAACTTGTTATTGGATTTGTAGAGGCTGGTTCCTCTTTTAATGTGGTTGGGATTGATTCTGTCGTTGATCTAGTCGGAATTTCTGTTGTTATCATCATTGGCTCTGTTTCTGTAGCAGTGCTATGTGTTTCAGTCAAAGTTGAGATTGTGGGTAATTCTGTTGATGCTGCTTTTGATTCTACTGTAGTTTTTTGTGTTTGTTCCCATGATGTCATAGTGGTTGATTGGTCTTGTATCTGTGTCGCTGTGTTAGTTTCTGTTAATGTTTTAGGAGTTTGAAATTCTGTTGTTCTGGCGTTAGCAGGTGCTTCTGTTGATGATTTAGTGGTAACAAATGATTCTATTAATCTTTTTGTGGTTGAATCTTCTATTTTTGCAGTGGTTTCATGTGGTTCTGTTGATTTTGATGTAGTTTCAGGTGGACTTGTTAATTCTTTGGTGGATGATACTTCTATTTTTGCAGTGGTTTCATGAGGTTCTGTTGATTTCGATGTAGTTTTAGGTGGACTTGTTAATTCTTTGGTGGATGCTTCTTCTATTTTTGTAGAAGTTTTTGGTGGTTCTGTTGATGTTGTGATGGGTGAAACTTCTATGCTTGGTGTCTCTGTTGATGTGGTTGTTGCTACTTCTATCGATGTAGTAGTTTCTGGCGTTTCTGTTGATGGTGTAGTGGCTGATACCTCTATGCTTGGTGGTTCTGTTGATGGTGTGTTGGTTGGTACTTCTATCCATGTGGTAGTTTCTGGTATTCCTGTTGATGATGTGGTGGTTGGTACTTCTATCACTGTAGTAGTATTTGGTGTTTCTATTGATGTTGTGGTGGTTGGTTCTTCTATCCTTGTGGTAGTTTCTGGTGTTCCAGCTGATGGTGTGTTGGTTGGTACTTCTATCGTTGTAGTAGTTTCTGGTGTTTCTGTTGATGTTGTGGTGGTTGATAACTTAATGCTTTGTGTTTCTGTTGATGTTGTGGTTGTTGGTACTCCTATCGTTGTACTAGTTCCTGGTGTTTCTGTTGATGGTGTAGTGGTTGGTATTTCTATCGTTGTAGTAGTTTCTGGTGTTTCTGTTGATGGTGTGGTAGTTGGTATTTCTATCGTTGTAGTGGTTTCTGGTGTTTCTGTTAATGTGGTGGTTGGTACTTCTATTTTTGTGGTAGAAACAGGTGGTTCCGTTGATGTTGTGATGGTTTGTACTTCTAATTTTGTCATAGTACCAGGTGACTCTGATGATGGTGTAGTACTTACTTCTTTTAATGTAGAAATTACAGGTATTTCTGTTGATGACGTGCTGGTTGGTAATTCTTTTGTAGTAGAAATCACAGGTTGCTCTATTGATGAAGTGGTAGTTAGCTCTTCAATTTTTGTGGTAGTTTCAGGTGACTCTGTTGATGATTTAGTGGCTTGATCTTCTTTGGAAAGAGAAGATTTTGGTGTTTCTGTGAATGGTGTTGAGGTTGGCATTTCTTTTATCGAAGTAGTTAACGGTGGTTCAGTCGATGTTACGCTGGTTTGATCTTCTTTTATTATAGTAGTTTCTAGTGTTTCTGTTGATGGTGTAGTGATTAATACCTCTACATTTGAAGTTGTTACGAGTGGTTCTGATGATGTTGTGGTGGTTTGATCTTCTTTTATTGTAGTAGTTTCTGGAGTTTCTGATGATGGTGTAGTGGTTGAAACTTCTATTTTTGAAGTTGTTACGAGTGGTTCTGATGACGTTGTGGTGGTTTGATCTTCTTTTAATGTAGTAGTTTCTGGAGTTTCTGTTGATGGTGTAGTGGTTGATACCTCTGTTTTTGAAGTTGTTACGCGTGGTTCTGGTGATGTAGTGGTGGTTTGATCTTCTTTTATTGTAGTAGTTTCTGGAGTTTCTGTTGATGGTGTAGTGGTTGATATCTCTGTTTTTGAAGTTGTTAAGTGTGGTTCTGGTGATGTTGTGGTGGTCTGATCTTCTTTTATTGTAGTAGTTTCTGGAGATTCTGTTGATGGTGCAGTGGTTGATACCTCTGTTTTTGAAGTTGATAAGTGTGGTTCTGGTGATGTTGTGGTGGTTTGATCTTCTTTTATTGTAGTAGTTTCGGTTGATGGTGTAGTGGTTGATACCTCTGTTTTTAAAGTTGTTACGTGTGGTTCTGGTGATGTTGTGGTTGTTTGATCTTCTTTCATTGTAGTAGTTTCTGGAGTTTTTGTCGATGGTTTAGTGGTTGATACCTCTGTTTTTGAAGTTGTTACGTGTGGTTCTGATGATATTGTGGTGGTTTGATATTCTTTTATTGTAGTAGTTTCTGGAGTTTCTATTGATTGTGCAGTGGTTGAAACCTCTATTTTCGAAGTTGTCACGTGTGGTTCTGGCGATGTAGTGGTGGGTAGTTCTTCTTTTGTTGTAGTAGTTTCTGGCGTGTATGTTGGTGGTGTGGTGGTTGATACCTCAATTTTTAAAGTGGGTACGGGTGATTCTGATGATGTTGTGGTGGTTTGTTCTTCTTCTGTTGTATGAGTTTCTGAAGTTTCTGTGGTGGTTGATACTTTTAAATTTGTAGTAAAAGTTGGATCCGTTGATGTTATGTTGGTTTGTTTTTCTTTCGTTGTAGTAGATTCTGATGTTTGGGTTGTGGTTGATACTTCTGTTTTTGAAGTTGTTAAAGGTGGATCTATTGATGTGGTTGTTGGTAATTCTTTCGCTGTGGTAGTTACAGGTTGTTCTATTGAAATTGTGCTGATTGGTACTTCTGTTGTTGAACTGCTGACAATTGATTCTTTTGATATTGTAACAATTGGTACTTCTGGTGCTGTAGTGCTTACATGTGGTTCTTTTGATGTTGTAGTGGTTTGTAATTTTGTAACTGCACTTGTTTCTGTGGATTCTTTAGATATTTCTGTTGCTTCATGTGCCTCAGCTGGTGTGGATAAAATAGCTTCTGTTGTGGCTTTTGTTGTTGTAGATGATTTTGCTGTTGGTGTTGTTGCTGAATTTGTTGTTCTTGTTGTAGATTCAATTATTTGAGTGCTTTGGTGTCCCTCTGTCGATGTTGCTAAGGGTGCATTTGTTTGGGATGTGGGTGGTTCGTATAATTCCTTTGTTGTTAATGAAATTGTTGTTGAAGGCTCTTCAGATGAAGTAATAACACCAGGTTCTTCTGTTGATATTTCATTTATGGTTGATGTTGTTGACAGAGTTGGCAATATATCTGATGTGGATTCTGCTTCATCTCCTGCTGTAACTGCTTCCGCTGCCTCTGAAGTTGATGTTTGGCTAAACTGTGTATTAGTGGTAAGAACATCTGTTGATGTTGAGGATTTAATTGGTTGTTGTGTTGTCGTTGAATCTATATTATTATCTGTTGTAGTGCTTTCTACCTCTATTGAAGTGGGTGACTCTGATAAAAATTCTGAGGTCGAGGAAGTTGCTGAAAAGTAGCGAGATAAGAAGGCATCATATTAGTACATACAGAATAGATACTACCTTAATTGTTCATAAGAGTTCATCAAATAGGGACTGAAGATTATACAGATAAATTATATAAAGATATTCATTTTATTTAAAAAGAAAATCAATAAAAATTAAAATTCCTGCATATATTCAATCGATTATTTATATAGTATTTATAAGATATCACTGAGTACGTCGTTTAAAATTTCATTCATAAAAGTTAATACGCATATACATATGTAATGTTGGTACAACAATATTTTTATCAGCATTTGCAATGATCTTTCTTATTGGTGAATACTTATGGTTAACCATTTAAATAATCCGTTTTCGACCACGCAAAATCCATCGTTAAACAATTTGAAATAATGAACAAGGTCAAAAAATTCGCAAATAATAACACGTGGAAAATACAAAAAGCGCACTAAAAATGGGAAAAGCACCCAGCGAAAGGATGATAATGGTGCAACATGGTTTTACCTTAGAAATAATGTTTCTTGTCAACAGATACAATCACCAATCATTTTAATTAGCGGAAGATAATGACGTCTGAAATGGATTGTCGCAGCGAAGAAACAAGAGCTCTCGCAATCCTCTCTAGCTGAATTCTGATGCTCTCCGATACGCAGATATTAAGTCGTGTGAAGCACTTTTTAACTAGACTGGGGCATTATTTTCACATTTTCCATTTACAGAAAGTCGAAAAGTAATAATATTCTTGAAAGTGACAGGTTTGAATTTTGTTTAAAAAAAATGACTATTAATCGAGTATCGATTACATATAAAACATAGTCATTTCATGGTAATTTGATTCTTTGGGATTTTGTGGCAGTTTACTTTCAAACCATTTAATACTGCAAAAGAGATATTCATAATTGCAATTTAAAAAGTTAGAAAAGTAACCACAAAAGAAAACGATTAAGATTGATGTACATGTATATGTCATTATATTTTTTTTAATTCTTTTTATCATTGCATTAGTTTTTCTCATTTGTCCAGGTGGTTTCTCCAACCACAAGAAACTGTAGAAACTTTGAGTAACAAAAAACAAGACTTAAATCAAAATTATTGAAACAAGTCTTAAAAACATCTTTTGCATGTTGCTGAGAAGATAGCTGTGTGGGAGAAAATACAAGATTCACTTGGGGTCTTGTTTGACCCCAAAAAATTCTGAAAAATCAAAATTGTTCAATTTTAATTGAAAATACATGTACTCTAAAATATCATTTAGACCCATTGTTATTACATATCTATCAAAATGACGTAATTTTTTGGTAACTATATTGCCATGAATTGCTTCATAATTTTCATTCCCTCGAATTTTGCTAAAATGGCTAATATTTGAAGCTGGTTTTATTCAATACATTTCGAATATAGTAAAATCTCCGATCCAGAAAATACAAGTATATCTTGATAGAAGGTTACTGGGTTTTTTTGTTAAATATGTTTTATTTTATTTTCTGGATCCAGGGATGTTTCTCATATTTTCTTTCTTTGTTGAAAGGACTCTAATACACCAGTTCTCCATAAAAATTCAAAATCTTTCACAAAGCCGTTTTAAATAACGTGAATTATTAGAAGGAACTTTCTCATAGGTAATGAAAGTATTAAATATTTAAGTTATGTATATGTTTAAAAAACACATAGGGTTAAATCAATAAATTGCTCTATAGTGGATTCATTTCACGCAAAAAATAAACCTAGTCCTTTTTCAGATTTTTTTTCTGTCAACTATCTTAAAAGGTACTTTTAATCCAATTCAATTTTTTTAATTTTGTTTATCCAACATTCTTTTTCGTGTAAGAATTAATTAGCGTCATCTATTGATATTCCGCCCAATCGATAAACCATGGTCCAAAAGAGGAATTCTTCCGCCATCTATTTATGGCATTTCCGGTTTCAGCTTCTTGACCTATTTGACGTTCTTTCTCTTTTCTCGCGATTGATTTCGTTCACTAACTAATGAGATCAAATGTCAAATTAGCATTTATTACACTCCGTAACAGATTGAGATAGCAAGAAAGTTATTTCTCCATAGATTGAAGATAAAACTTGGTGTGAAAACAAGTATTGTAATGGATAATAAAACAGAAATGGAGTCGAACAAGTGATTACATTCAAGTTAAAAAAATTACAATAACAAGGTGTTTATTACAAATTAGAAGGGCGTCAGATGTGGAAAATCATCAAAATTGTTTAAAATACAACATGATAGGTGTATTTTGTAACATTTGTAAAGTGGAGTAAGAATCTTTTAAAAAGGCGGTTGCTAGGAAGATTGATTGGCGAATTTACTATTTCATTTAATAAGTATTAATGTAAGTGAATTGTTTTCTTTAAATTGATAAAATGTCTCACAACCAAAAATATATACGTATATATATATATTTCTTTGTTTCTGTTTTGACTTAAGAACGTTTTGAAATAATCGCTGTAAAATTCCACATTATATAAAAAAATTTTACTTTCTGTGAGGGTATGAATTACAATAAAAACTAAGAACTAGCGAAACGTTGTATGTAAATAAGCACGCACGACCACTCTGTTGTATTATCTGATAGAGTAAAGCTGTTTTATTCAAATCAGATAACTTAAGGCCCAGGACAAGTTTGACATTGAGTTTTTATCCATGCTCTTACGTTAAAGCCAATGCTATAACATTCAATTGATATACTAGTTTATCATTGCCTATCAAGCTAGCATTGTTTCCATGAACTAAATTTGGATTATTTGAAGTCATTATGTAAAAATCAGCCTTGGGTAAAGAAATGAAATCAAAACATATTACATTGCTTAAATGTACCTTTTTATTTCATACATAGGTTTTGCGATACATATAGGATAGTTAAAAAAAAGTTTCTAGTACAGTACAACCTCGTAAGTACGGACGCTTGTGTTCCCGAGCAAATCGTCCGGATTAACGAAGCGTCCGGACTACTGAAACATACTTGGTATATTTAAATATAAATTGTTCATCACAAATTTCGTCCAGAAGGTGAAACGTCTGAATATTGTCGTCCGGATCAACGAGGCTCCACTGTATTATAAACATACAAAATCTCTTCAAGGTTTTCATAATACTGCTAAGTGATACAGTTTTAAAGGTTCAGATAGAGAAAATACCTTCCTTAATTTGTGAAATACTCGAGTTCTACACTATCTAAAACAGTACTTAGAAATACACAATAACTGAGAAGCTCAACTAAAGACTGGAGTAATGACATATCCCTGATAAGCTACCATGTCCTAAGAAAAGCCTTTTTTAAAAATAATTCTTCATGTCAAAATCAAAGACTAGATATAGATTTTGCATTTTCAATCCATGTGGCGCTGACATTGTATAAATGGTTTTGGGGCAGAGTCTTCACATACCCTCTGGTCATAAACTCTGTGCTAAATATAATCTTTGAACCTTTCTTTGCAGGACTAGACAAGGATTTCCTTCGACTATGGCCTTTGTTCAAATAACATTTGTTCAAATTAGTGACTTAGAATGTCCTCAACTAAACTTTACATTAACATGAACGACAGATCTAGCTCAAGAATAGGGAACTTCTCAATTTTCGATTTTGTGTTGTTATAAAGATCGTCACACTAAAAGTTTTTTTTTTAATAAGACTAGAATAATTTTTTTTAAATTTTCTTTTTAAAACACTTTGAAGGTTCCTTGTGTTTTTTATCTGCATATTTAGCTTTCATTTTTAGGAACTGGTGTTTTAACTTCAAGATTTAAACGAATAAAGTAAAGATCAACATGACAAAACATCTACTTTATACTAGGAATGCCGAAGATTGAGATAAGGTATCATACAGCAATACCTTATTAAAGTAAAATGTTAAAGTAACCTTAATCAGAATGTTTAATTTGTTTTCTGTATATTGAAAGAAACATCGATGAAAGTCATTTTGTGTATTCATTAGAAATTCAAGGAAAAAATGTCATCTTTAATCCAATCTAGTGCCATTTTGAACTGCTGTTGACTAAGGAGATTAAAGATGCTTAATGACAAAAAAAGGAGGTTAACCTGCGTAATGGAATTCATCTTTATTCAAAATTTTAAATCCTAGATAAATGTGCGTATTTCAAATCAAAAGCAACAGACTTGATTAAATGAGTTAAATTGGGTGCTTTTTTCAAGACACAGAAAAGAAAATGAAAATATACCATTTCATTTTTTTTATTTCTTTTATTTTTCTTCTATTTATTTTGATATGACTAAGAAAAAAATATAGAAATAAATATTCCATGATGAAACCTGTACATTTTGTATTATTTCTTTGTTTGTAGTACCTTCGTACATTTGGCAATGTACGTTTTGTTTCTTCATGTGTCCAATATTTATTCAACGGAAATGTTCAAGTACTTGTATCTTAATTAATACCACTCTTGAGTGCGTGGGTATATTTTCTTATTTTAAAATTTCAAAGATTTTATTGCAGCATTAAAAGTGATCAAAAACATTTTTGACAACTTTCATGGAAGAGTTTATATAAAAAATGATGACATAATAGTGATATCAATGGTGATTACTATTCACATGGGAATAAAAGGGGATTATCATATTTATCTTGTCCACTTTTGCAATACCATCATGGTATACGATTATTATAGCCAAAGTTCTAAATATCAGTAGAAAACAAACATGACCCATCCAAGGTCATCTGTAAATAATCAAAGGACTAAAAAAAAAAGGTGTTGAACTTATGTAAACAGGACCTGACAAACAAATATTCATGATAAAACTATATATGCAAACGGACAAATAAAGATACGTGAATGTATATAAATATTTAATTTCAGGAAAATGGCAATATTGCGTTTCAGTCAAAGGGGGAATAATAAGGGGTCAGACAAGGTGAAATATAAAATAGAGCCTAAATAAAATATAGCAATTGCATATTTCGCCATTTCAGTTAAGAAGGAGAATGAGCATGGCGAATTGGTTCCCAATCAATTAAGATAATGTAGTTTCTCTTGTTATTCCACTGAGCATGAGTATTCAACAATTTTTTTGGCTAAAGAAAAGGTGATTTCTCTTATTAAGATTTTAGATACATGAATTACTCAACAATAAATAAGCCTTTGGAAAAAAAAAATGCATTAAATCAATGTTTCTTCGTGAAACATGGACATCTATCTGAGTGAAATCCAAACAAAAGTGTTTTAAATATGTCGTAAAATTACCAATAAAGATACATCTTTAGTTTCCGAGTCGCAACTGACTCTAATATGTCATTAAATTGTAGTAACGTGTACTTTGTCGTAACCAAACCAAGAAATATATGCAAACGATAAGAGTAATTGCTTTCAACGGCTGCCATTAATTCCATTGTTGTAAGTGCCAGTATGAAATAATGCATTGAAATCAAATGTTATCACCGCCATTCCATGCAAACTGTACAAGAGTTTTGATATAATTAAGGAACGTGAATTTGATACTAATTAGCATAATTCTTTTTCTTTTTTCCAGTCGGTTTTCTGTTGACATTTGAATGATATATTCTGTGTTACCTTTTTTATTTTTGTATCGACTTATATACTTTAGGCATTTCATTTTGTAATCAAAAAAACATTCATGTTTCATAACTTTCAGCCAAAGCTTAAAATGTTAACATATACCTCTTACACACTAGTCATCCCCTGAGAGTGATCGAATATATTATAGGTTTTGAGTCCCGGAAGTCTGTATATCCTTAAAATTAATCATGTTTTTGTACATTAAATATCATTATTATTTTTTGAAATTATTGTCCAAAATATTCAATGCTAGTTTTTAACTTTTTCAATACTCATGCATATTATGCTTTTGAGTTTTAAGGTCCAAAACATTTGTATTTTTTGTTATTGTCATCTTTATTTCAATCCCTGTTCTTTAACAGTTTGCTTTCCATCACTATTATCTATGCCCTTTTTATAGATATACAAAATAATGTTGTTTCATTCATTTAATAACAAAAAATCTTCCAAAAGAATAAAAATCCTTGAACATTCAGAATTAATGCTTTACACATGTATGCTTACTATTAATAAAACCTCGAGTGCCCAAATGAAAAACCGGATGAAATGTGCTATAGACGACTTTTCATTTAGTTTATTTATACAGTCCGTTTTATTGAGTCCAGTGTGTTCCCGTATATTTAAACTGTTTAAAATGTTTAAACTTCGATGATTTAAATACCGAAAAAATGTATTTTGTATTTAACTTAGTAATTTCTGGTAATTAACCAGTCTACATAAGAAAAATAGATTTGTTTTATCAAGTTTATTTATTTATTTATTTTGTTTATCGATAAATAAGCAGACTTACTAATTAAACCGCACTTAAAAGTTTCGGTCTTGGAATAAAGAATTACTGATTAGTCTGAGATAGAAACAACTCAGTTCGATATATCTAAAATAAAAACCCTTGAATAAATATGAAATGGTTGTTGTGAATTTGTACTTAAATTGCTTGTTTGATAAAATAGCATATAATAGGAAAAACTTGAATGCAATAAAACTCGACGTACTAGTATTTTGGTGCCTTAACATCAATACAATGCATTAAAACAATATTTCTGCATATTTTGTCACCAAACTTAGTTTATATCCATTAAGATATTACAAAATATTTTGATGAATCATTTTTTTTCTTTTTTGCCTATTTAAATCGTAATAATTCAGATAAGGCAATCTAACAACGTTGAGCGTTCCACCTTGATCTTCCTAACCGAATAAAACTAACGGATATCCTTCTGTGAGATGAAGCCGGTCATAATTCTTGTAATTACTTGTCATTATATTTTTATGACAATGGGAGACAAAAAAGACTTTGGCATCAGCTATCTGTGCTGTGGGGTAGAACAGCTGATAATCTACTGAAAAAGTCATAAAGACTTGGAACTGTCTGTGAAACTGTCTGTCACAATTTTTGACCTATATGAATTAATGTCTTGAATATATCGATATTCATCTATTCCCTTAAAATGACAATGGTAGTCTATTTGTTTTTTTTGTTTTTTTTTTTTTTGTTTTTTGTTTTTTTTTTTTGTTTTTTTTTTTTTTTACGCAAAACCTCTAGTAGAATTATATATATATACTTTCAAACTCTTATTTCACAGTTTTGAAATTTGATTTTGTGGAACAGGATCCCGAAATCTTAGTAACTTTTTGTACGCAATATGAAAAATTACTCACCTAATTCTGTCGTGGTGGATGGTCTAGTTGTGGTCTCTGGGTCAAGATTGCCTGTATGCATATTAAAGAAGATTAAGTTTTCGTCTTGGTATATAATCAGCAAAATTGTATGATTTGGAATAGTCAGAATAATATGTTTATTTCGTTTTTTTTTCATGACTAAGAGTTGTTACTTGATTTCATTTACAGGACTATATTAGTACTGTGTGAAACTGTTTATTGTTTGTACTATATTTAGTTTTAACGACGACATCGAAATATGTTGTTTGTCGTTAAAACCTCGTTTATTTTTTCCATTATTGATTAAGAAAAACAGGTATTGGGAAAGTAGGCGGTATCACACATTTCATCTTAATCAAAACTGGCAATTATGAACTGCCAAAGAACTATCCGACAAAACAAATTACTGGTAATGGTTGAAAAAGAAATAAAATGTAATGCGAATGATCAGATAGATCGAACCTTAACTGTAAGTGACAGTATTATATTGACAACTAGTCGTTTTCTTTATTTCCTTTCTGTAAAATTTATCAGTAATTGTTCGTGTTTATTTATACCCTTTCTTTTGGAACAAAGAAAATGGAAGAAAAAAAGAGAAGCTTTGTGCCACATTGTTCATGTGGCTTATCGTGTATTTATATGATTATTTTAATACTCTTATTGATGCACATTGACATTATTATCAATGAAGGTCGAAAAGGCATATGGTGATAAAACATGGAATTTGTCGAAAATTAGAAAATATCGTCTTATTTTACACTCCTGTCAATTTTTTTTTTATTCATTCAACCATTTTTTTTTTCTTAAAAAAAAAATATTTCGATATGTCGAAAAATTTACACTGTGCATTCTACGTTCATTTTTAGTTTCATAATTTTCAAATTTTGATAAACCAAAGAAAATTTTGGTCACTTCTATCAGACAATTTTTCAGAATTCTTGTGGCACTAATGAGCCCTCTTTACTTAATACTGGTTGCATCTTCCAGTATATGTTTATCATTCTCCGTGCATGAAACATTTTTTAAAGATGTGACAATGTACTGCACTTTTTAATTTTATCAAATATCGATATTTTTTTTCTCTAAAACCACTAACCACCGATCGCTTGCAGTCAATCTTCTTCAATGTTTGCATGTCTAATGTTACTTTCTTAACAATATCCGCTTGTTATATCGCCCTCCACTTAGCAAGGTATAGCGATAATCATGTTACATGCGCAACTGAAACAAAATTAGCATTGCACTTATATGGGTTTTTTTTTTTTTAGTCTTGGCATCTTTAAAAATGAAAAATCACTAGAAGATCTGTATAATAAAAGGCACGAATTTTAATGGTACTCTATAAATTGAAATTATGTGTGCTGTTGCTTAAAATAATCTCTTCCAAAAAAGCAATTCAGCAGATGAAGAAAAAAAAACTATAAATCATACATACTTCAACTAAATTTTTGCTACAAATTTTAAATGCTAATTTCAAACAAATGTAATAATTACTAAGAACTATTGATACTAAATGTTTTTATACATGAAATAGGCCATGGACTTTTTTTTATCATATAAAGACCATAATATCAACACTTCAGCGTTGGTGCCATTTCGCATTATACACAACCAAAACAATTTTTGCAAAGGTTATTCCTCAATTATAAAAGGACTTCTCTTCAGTATAACCCCCACCCCCCCCCCCCCAGCACACATAATCACTTCCGATAGATCTACCAGTTAGTATACAAGTATCCACTTTTCTAAATGTGGCGATAGAGAGACAGAGAGAGAGAGAGAGAAAGGGATGTCCTCAAATATAGGTTCTTAAAGTTGCTTTACCTATCTTAGAGTTGTTGACATCTAAAGTAAGGTTAGTAAAAGCGCTAGCGTTCAGCAGGGCCTGGTGGAAGGCTGTGTTGATGGTTTCATCCGAATGTGTGATGTTTGTGTCATTTTTAAATTCTATAGAAAAAAGCACTATCACACTGCCTTTCCTGAAAAAAGACGATAAATACTTAAATACCATGTACAATGTGGACACCAATGCAAATGTATTCTGAACTTGCTCCCAGAATTGATGATATTATTGCAATAAAATTTTAATTGTTCTATGCATAAAAAATACGATGTGCTTTTGTTATACATATGGACTTAAGCTGATAATGTCGACAAAGATTCTCAAAATCACATTCAATGCAAATATCTTACTTGAACTGCTTAATGTAGGAACCATAAAAGTAACTGGAAATGGGTCCGTTCTTAAAAAGTGAGTCAATCTGAAGGAAAATAAAAATAATTCAAACGTTCAGTGACAAAAAAAAAACCCGCACATTATTTAATAATGTTATTTTTCCTGTAAGAAGCTTTGTTGCTAGATAAAGCCCGTTTTCGAAAACAAGTTTCATTGACGAAAGTATGGTGAATATCATCAACTTTTTAAAATTTAATTCTTGTCATAACTTATTACCACAGAGAGGACTATTTCCTCCACTTGTTGATACGCTCTTGACGACTTATTTAGGAAATCGTCCGTCCATTCTATGCCATCAGTAATTTTCATAATCCCCTCTCTAACTAGAATTGAGTCAAACACATCACGGCGCATGCGCTTTTTAATTCTGTATATTTCTTCACTCCTCTCATTTTGCGATGTTTTATAACGGGTTTCCTCGGGACTTCTTTCTATATTTTGCTTTGTTTTTTCTTCAGTCGCAAGTTCTTTGATATTCGTAAAATCTGGATTAAAGGATGACTCTTCGATCTCTTTATCTTTGTACTCATTTTGTAAGATCGGCAATCTCCAAGCTCCTTTGTCTGCTTCTTTCAGAAGTAGTTTGTCATTTTCAGATACATCATAAGTTTCAAAACTGAACAATCTCCTGGCCTGAATATGAACACTGTCATATTTTGCTGTCTTGTTAAAATAGCATTCCAACCAGTGGCGTGATAGTGCTCTGAGAGCGTTGTCGATTAGATACCCTCCGGAACTCGATCCATCGTCAAACCTATCTGTATTTTTCCCGCCATTTTGGGCGGGCGTCTGGCTCCGTCCACGAGAGACAAATCCTCCGGAAACAAATATTCCTGTCAACAAATTTTCTGACGTCAAAGACCGTAATTTTTATAATTTTCTATAAGATTAACAGATGACGCAAATATCTAAAACAAGCAACTTTAGGCGCTAAAGGCACACTCACTATTCTTGTCTTCTCTTTGTTTGAATAGAAATCAAAATAAGGGAATATATTTTACATTCTTATAACAAATAAAATACTCTTTTTCATGTCTGAGGATCAACTTATTGGGTACCAACACACAGAGGCTTGTTGCAAGGTGAAGCACTTTACCTATATCTATTTCTACTATTTGTCAATGCACATGTACCAACTTTCGTGCAAGTTTATTTCTAATCTAATGTCATTTTTATATACATTGTACCATAATTTTATAGTGATTATTTCCAGAAAATGCTTGATTTACAGAATATGCTGGACACATTATAATTATTTGTTTGTAAATACTGGAAAATATACATCAATGTGTGCAAAACCAAGAATATCGTGTGCGGGTCTAGAGGGGAGTCACAGCCGCCCCCCCCCCCGAATTTTAGGAGGTATTAAATGTACATGGTAAAGTAACCAAAAAATGACTTCGGAACATACCCATCCATCCCCCAAAATACGTTGATTGGAAGAACCATACTTATAAAGCTTAAGAAGTGAAGGAAAGCGGCTCAAACAGCCCCCCCCCTTTCTAAAGAAGTGAAGACGAAACAGTTTTGGGGTAGGAGTTTACGGGGGGTTTTTTTGATTGAAAGGGAGGTATTTTTGTTGTTGTTGTTGTTGCTTATTTGTCAAGAAATTTCTGGGTTAAATTTTTTTGGACTGGGATGGAAACCACACACCCCTCCCCGGAAAAATTCCTGGATCCGCACCTTAACATGTTTTCCAGAAACGAAAGGACAAATACTTTTTGAGTGTCAAACAATTCGAAAGTTAAGAGATCATATATTTTTAATGACATGGACAAGAAAAATATAAGAAGAACGATTTTGAAACATGGCGATCAGGACAGGAATAAAAAATTATCCAGATTTGTATAGAATGAATTCTTAGATTTTGATTTCTTGAGAATTTTCTCACATCTCAAAGTTTGAAAAATGTTTTTTATTTATTTATTTTTTATTTTTTTTTATTTATTTATCTATTTTGTGCCAAAAATATTATATTTGGAAACTCTTTATAAGTTTACAATACTGACTTAACTTTTTTTTCTATTTGGCTGAGTTAATTGAAAACAATTTCATTAATTTTAATAATCCCTGCTTACGCTCTGCATAACTTCATCCTTTCTGTTAGACAATATCATGTTGCAATAATTCACAAGGCATGATTTTCGCATCACTTCCCAATGAAAAAAAATGAGAGTTTCTTTCTATCATTACTCAAAGGTACTTAATTATTATGTCCAAAAAAGAAAAAAAAAAAGAAATATTACGAAATTACTCGTCAATGGTATTACGAATAGAATGTATTTTATATTAAATTTTAGTAAACACTGTTCAAAGTATTTAAGAAGTCAGTTTGGTAATCTTTTTCATTCTGTAGCTTTGAATTTACTCTGAAGGTGTGAATGAAAATTAAATAACAGCTGGATAACTACGGATTGGATATTTTATGTTTATTGTAAATTCAAAATGACACTTTAAAAAAAATGAATTTGTATTTGCTAAACCACGACATTATATTGAAGTAACCTTTTTTCTTCAACAAATAAAACAAAGACTTCTTTTTTAAATTCCTTTATTTATTATGAAGAATCTTATTTGGTTGTAATTGGAATATATCGATATTCTAGTATCTTCAAAATTCCTCTGTCATTTTTTTATTACATACATTTACTAATTGATTATTTTTGTGTCTTAATTTAATCAAACTGCGATAGAATATTTCATCTAATCCATCTTTATATACGATTAAATTGTCATGATGCGTCAGCATGATTGAATTAATTAATAAATGATTAGTAGACTGATGATGGTAAATTCTCGGAGGAATATATTAATTGAACCAAGACATGAATATGAATTTGTAGTAATATAAAACTCAAAGCGATAAATTTAACCTGATCGCCATGAGCAAATTCGACTGGTTACTCAATTATCAAGAGAATTCAACTCTTTGCTTATTGTTTTAAAAACAGTTTTTAAGTCACTTTACATGTTAGCAAAGATATTCTTTAAAGGTTTTGTCACAATTACCTACGGTGTATAATAAGTTCCCAGTAAAATGTCATACAATTGAATTTAAATTCTTACATAAGTTTCATGACTCTACATTAACAAAATTATCGCTTTCCAATAATTGATAAAATGTTAATAGATTTATATTAAATATACCATTACCGTGTTCTCGCCATAAAATTATCAAATCATGAGCGGATCTAGAGGGGGGTCGGGGGTGGGTGGGGTCGGGAATAAGTCTTTTTCACGTTTGCGAAATGGCTTTTTTTTTTGTTTTTCTGTTGTTGTTGTTTTTTGTTTTTTTTTGTTTTGTTCTGTTTTTTGTTTTGTTTTGTTTTGTTTTTTTTTGTTTTTGTTTTTGTTTTTGTTTTTTTTGTTTTTGTTTTTTTTTTGTTTTTTTGTTTTTTAATTTGTCTTTTTTTTTTTTTTTTTTTTTTGCTTGTCAAGAAATTTTTGGGTTGGAATTTTTTTTTTTGACTGGGGTGGACCCCCCCACCCCCCGGAAAAAAATCCTGGATCCGCGCCTGCAAATCAATTCATAAGTATTCAAAAAGGTTGGGTTTCATCTGCTGAGGCATGTATGTCTAATGTACAGAATAATTTACCTCAAGTACCTCCTCCCGAATTCTTGTAATTTTCGTCGCCAAACAACTGACCCAATGACTTTATTTTCAGAAGCCATTTATATATCAAATTTTAACCTTATCTTACAGATAGATAGATAATCGTTATGTTTGGTCAGGGTAAATTCTAATGAATATTCTGATTACATGTGTTTGATGTGCACAAATGTTTCTTCTTATGCCTGCAAACATTTCGAAACGCGAAGGCATAATTAATTTCATATAAAATGAATCACGTTAATTACAAATTCCCTGAGTAGTTTGATGAAAAGAGATGAAAAAAAAAGATTAACACCTTAGGTATGATCGTTACCAAATCGTTTCAAAAATTATATGCCAGCATTTTTAGCGACTTGCAATTTTAACTACGTCTTTAAAAAAAATTCTTCTCTTATTTCCTGATGTTTATAAGATTTCTCAAAATTGGAGTCGTAATGATACTTGTTTAAGATTAATATGAAGATAACATCTGGTTAAATTGCTAAATATCTTGTGCTTCACGAAACTTTTCAGATGTCAGTATCGAAGTCCTTAAATGTTATCATTTCGCTACCGACTTTTTTTTCTCTTACCCCCCCCCCCTCCCTTTTCCCAAATCATCTGTCAAATGACGGTGTTAGATCTAGATCTCTTTTGTATAAATTTAGGTAGTTAATCTTTGATATTTTCTTTAGCTTCCGAGCTATGATGGCTCCTATTAAAATATAATAGAATTAGCTGCAGAAACAGATCTAGATATTATATCCATTATTTCTGCTTTGGGATATGAGACATTTATGTAAATTATCTAAAAATGTTTTATTCATTATACCACGCAGGGCAAAAACTATATGTTTCCTATCACTGTTTAGATTATGAAGATTTAATTTTTTTTTTTTTTTTTTTTGCTTTTAATTCTAATTTATTTATTTATTTATTATTTCATTTATTCTTTTTTCTAGTGTGGTCTCAAAAATACAGAGAGGGAGCTATTTCCTCGTATCATATACTAGAAAGAAAAAGAAATATAGATCATTTTCTACAGTTACATTTGAATTATGCTGTATAACAACAGTCTTCTGTTGTACATGTATAAGTTTTCTTCCAAAATTTAAAATTATTATATAGCCTATCAACATTTCCTATAAAATCAAGACTGAAGAAATATCATGGAAACATTTAAATAAAATGTCAAAAATATGACTGTACCTATGGGCAATAGCTTTTATCTTATACTACATCATGAATTTAGACCTGCTCATGCACAGATTTTAATATAAATATTATCATGCTGTAAATTATGAATTTACTGGGTGGAGGTAAATACAAACTTTTATTTTAATCTATTCCCTTATATATTTCCTTCATTTATTTATTCATATAGAAAAAAAATTATTAACAATTTGTATTTTTTTTACTTACCAAACCAGAAAAATACAAAAATCCCCAAACTAATTGAGTTGCTCCTTAAGTCTATCATTTTATTGTCGTCATAATGTCTTGAAATTTCTCTCCTGAACTGATGCTCAGTAACCCACACGGCAGCCCTACCTCAGTACATAGGAAATGTGCTTACATTATGCATTGATCACTCAAATTGTCGTAATTGAGCCGTTTTCCGATTTGTCTTTGAAGTTTCCTGGTCCGTTCGTGACAGTACAACACTTGCAAGCTCTCCCCCTTGTCACCTTAATTTCATTGCTTCTGTAGAAATTGGTAATTGTTAATTAATCGTGTGCTATGCTAAAAGATAGGATGAAAACGAAAACAAGAATTTATATTATGAATTATGCAGTTCTTGGTCTTCTTTAAATGGTCTGCCTACTGGTGCTCCAGAGTTTCTAGAAACGATTCAAGTTGCGTCATTAATTGTTTTATCAATTCATCTTCTGCTTAGTTTCTCGGGAATTAGCGAGGCCCCTCTCTCGCTCTCTTCTGATTTTCTTTTTTATGACTAATTTTTTTTCGAAAGATTCTTTGTTGTACAAGATGAATAAAAATACTGTAAATGCACATTGAGGGGGTAAAAGATGCAATCTTTATCCCCTAGTGGCCCTTTTATCGGATAATTTTTCCATATTTGAACTGTATGTCTCTCTGCAGGGATTTTTCTAATATTGATCATACACAAAATTTAGAATACCTGGCATTGCATGGCTGTCCTCTTAACAAACACAATTAACACTGGAAACAACGTCTTTTTAAGTTCTTTTAAGTCGATCTGCAAAGATTTTTTTCCCAATTTTTTTTTCCCAATGGGGAAGTTTGATATAATGCTAATATATGATCTCCAAATCGTCTTGCTACCCCTCCCCCTTTTTATACTTTGATATGCTTGTGACTCAGGAACGTGTGAATTTTACAAGAATCGTTATTTTTTTTTTGGGGGGGGGGGGGCTACTAATATGAATCATGAAAATAATAGGCAAATTGAAAGGGGGCTGATTGAAAGAGAAACTTTTTTTTAAAAAAATTCAAACCTGAAAAAACTTGACAACCAAAAAGCAAAAAAAAAAGTAAATTAAAAATTCTCCTAACCCGAAAATCCTATTGTTTTTGTGTTTTGTGTGTGTGTGTGTGTGGGGGGGGGGGGGTGGAACTTCTTTCAGTACCAATCCACCCGGTTCCGACGCCTATGATTTATATTGCTACATAACGATTTTTTGAAATGCAGAAAGAACTTTGGTTTAATTGAAAAATATGAGTTACACAGAAAAGTATATTTATAGCTATTTGGCAAAGAAGTAGTGGCTTCGAAGCAAATCCATTTAAAAAGGGGGGGGGGGGCTGAGATACAAAACCAAATAAGTAGAGGCTAAATAAAAATAGAGGTGAGATGAGAAGCAAAACCAAAACCACACTGGAAGGGGGGAAGCTGAAGAAGAGAGAAAAAATAAGAAACTTGAAGTCTTGCTATTAAATGAATGTCTTCAACAACCATACAATATTCACAAAAAGTAGGCAATTATTTGTGATTTTGATTTAAAAATTTCTATGCAATGTATGTATCATGATTTTCTGTACATTGAATTATTTATGTACCATGTTTTGATAAAAGAGAAAAAAAAAGAAAAAAAAGTCTTGCTATCAAAAGTATCACTCATTCATCATAAGAGAGTTTGAGAGCGTTGACTTGATAGATTCAGTCTAAATATATGATGTAAGTTCTACTTGAAAATCTATCTCATCCTACCATATTTCTTAAAACACAGTCAAAAAGTCTACAAACTTAAGAAATTTTTTAAGCTTCACTATGAAAGTGTTTGGTGAAATTCGGCATGTTTCCTGCTTGAAAAAAAAAGCAGTAATTTGGATTTCGGGGGGGGGGGGGGGGGGACTAACTTAGTCAAAATTACAAGTGGTGAACGTAACAATGTTCCAGTTTTATGTTACCTTAACCAAAACTGTATTGCAATGAGTTTATTAAAACAATTTAAGGAAAGAAATTTGCTTGTATATACTGAGCTTAAAATTTCAGGAAAAAAAATTTAATTTGATATATTTTTGCCAAGGCAGTTCGGAAAACGTCACCTTTAATACGCAATCAAACATTTTTGTGTATCTTATCTTATATGTACAGTAACATTTATTATTAAATCCTTTTCTGTTGAATTGATTTGCGGTTGCTAAGAAAAATAGACATTTCCCTATATCGTTGCCTTTTCGGCAAATAGTCACGCCATATTTAGCACCGGAAGTAAAAGTCTGCGCAAGACAATTGATTGAACAATCAGAAATGCCCGGATATTGCATTCGAAACTGTGTTGTTGGCCATCGTGTTGAGAGAGGTAATGTATTATTATGTGTTATTTATAACAGTTATGCTCTTGTAAACTTATTGAAAATATCTTGATTTATATTAGTTTCTGTTAATGACCTCAAAACATGTTACACAAAGACTCTTCTCAGCTGTTTGACCCGTGTGATGGCAGACCCCCGGTACATTCCCAATCGCCATGTGATTTTACACAGTTCTGTACAGAATAACAATGCAAGTTGTGTGGTCCCCAACTTTCCATACTTTTTGTTTAATTTTTTCTGCCAAGTTATGTCATAATATCGACGACAGTTGCTTAAACGTGCTCCCTTTTTATAGACTGTAAACATTTCCTCTCCCTTAAATTTCCGTAGCATGCACTGAAACTTGTTCTTGGAAAGTGCACATTAGAGTAGGGATTTGTATGGTTAAAACTTGGTCTATTTGTTAGATTTTCTTCATAATGTGTAGTGTAAGGTGTAACTTAAATCTCTTTCATCCACAGAAAATTAATGCTATGCCTGCAAATTCAGCTGACAACGTTTTTCATATTGAGGAGACTATAAAGTCTTCCCTTAATTTTAAGGGAACAATTGATAGTCAAATTGCCTCTTCCTCAAAGAAGATTTTATTGTCCCATATAGGCTTCCAGCCTGCTGGACAACCATACAGTATACAGCAAGAGAATTTGAGAGCAAAGTATGTTCCACTGAACTCATTGAAGAAAACTGGATCTGATCATGAACTTCACTTTGGTATGTAAAATATGTCTTACATGGTGAATTGAATATATTAGGTATTTTATTTTCAAAAAATAGTATTGTTGGCTTCAGATATAGTTGGTTATGATGATACATTGTATTACATTTGAACAATTTTGTGGTTTTGACCGGAATTATTATTTCATTTTCCAGTGTTTTCCCTTGATTTCAGAGTAAAGGGTCAGAGATCAATTGTAACAGGCTTTGGGTTGAGATTTATGACAAATCTCTGTGGACCTTACCACAATTAAATTTAGATATTTTTTTAATTTCAAAGCGGCATTTTTATCAGTTGAAGCGGTCAATTTGGTCGGTAGCCGTTCTTAGGGAAAACACTGATTTTCAAGAGGAATTTGTAATATCACTAAAATTTGAAGTTTGAAGAGACTTGATACTGATACCAATTTTTTTATATTGTAGAAGCAAACATGAATACAAATGGAAATAGTGTAACTGAGAGTAGTAGTGGTGAAAGTTTGCCTAGTCCAAAGATTGTATTGTATCCCGAGGATAAAATTAAACTACAATGGAGAAAGGTGCACAAGATTGGCTCAGGACTGATCAACATGGGAAATACATGTTTCCTGAATTCCACCCTTCAGTGTCTGACTTACACTGCACCTCTAGTCAATTACTGCCTGAGTGGGGAGCACAGCCAGTCATGTAAGTGAATCTGATATTATACCTAGTCTATATGCATCTTGGGAAAGCTAAGATTCAAGCATGATTAATGGCAAAATTTGAAGAAAATATTCAGTTGTCTAGGTAAACAGCCTTGTAGTTTTTGACAGTTCACGATTGTGATTTCTGTTTTTCTGATGTACTTAGTATTGACTGATTATGTTTTATTTCTTAATTTTAAATTGATAATTTTAGTGTTGAAGAGCAAAGTAAATATATGATGTGTTGTGCATCATATATGGCAAAAATTTGATGGATATATATAACATGCTTCCTATTAGAGAATGATACAGTATTTCAATGTTTTAACAGGCAAACAGCCAGGGTTTTGCATGATGTGTGAACTTCAGCGTCACATTAGAAGATGCTATGAGAACTCTGGATCAAATATAAAACCTCAGGCAATCCTACAGAAATTGAAATGTAAGTTTCTTACACATCAACATGAAAGCAAAGTTGCCATTATAGGGAACATGTTTTTTTTTTTTACATATATATATTTACATATTTTTACATATATATATATATATATATATATATATATATATATATATATATATATATATATACATATATATATATATATATATATTTTAACCTTAAAAAATTTCAGTGATAGCAAAACACATGCACTGGGGTCGACAGGAAGATGCCCATGAATTCCTGAGATATGTGGTAGATTCTATGCAGAGGTCCACTCTAAATGGTCATACAAAGTAAGTAAAAATGTTCATTTTGTAAAATGTGTAGACTTATATTTGGATTGGATATCACTAAAAATCTGACAAATGATGAGAGCATTTGATAGAAAATCAGTACAACATGAAGCAGATGTTTATGTTTTACTCGTTGTCTTTTCAGGCTAGACAAATTTAGCAAAGAGACAACAGTAGTTAACCAGATTTTTGGAGGATATCTGAGAAGCCAAGGTGAGTTATATTTTCTAAGATTAAAAAAAAAAACAATATGTTTTGCTAAAACTTTCACAATATTTTGAATTCAAATCCGTAATGTTGAATGTTGAATTACATACCACATGATGTGTCTCTATAGATGTACTGAAATAGTAATTTGATGTGTTTTTTTTTTTCCTGTTACAGTTCAATGCTTGCGATGCAAAGAAAAATCTAATACTTATGACCCATTTATGGACATCAGTCTAGACATAAAGGTATCCCCCCTCCCCAAAACCTTTTCATGAACCTGTAAATTTTGTAGTAAATTTCTAATTTTGCAGTTGTCTAAGTGTGACATGGGGAAGTCGTTTTCATCAATTATTCTTTTTTTGATTAACAGACAGTGCCAAGTCTTGAAAAGGCATTTGAAAAGTATGTACAGCCAGAAAAACTAGATTGTGACAATGCATACATGTGCAATAGGTAAAGTATATATACATATGTTGTAAATGAGAGAAAGAAAGATGTAGACTGACAATAAATTTTGAAAACTCTTTGAGAAGATGGTCAGGTGTAGGTATTGATGTTGATTGTTTATTTCCAGATGTAAACAAAAGGTCCCTGCATTGAAAAGATTTTCCATCCACAAAGCTCCCAATGTTTTAACCATCTCTCTGAAAAGGTAGGATTTTTCGTGTAAAGATCTGCATGAAAAATTACAACAAATTGCAAATTGATGTATCATGGTGTGAGTTGCTCATAGATTTCAGTAGAGACTTGGGGGGAAATTGTTTTTATGAATGTTTATATTTCCTATTGGGAATTAAGTTTCTGGTTCTCCAGATTAATTAGAAAGCAAAAAAATCTTGTATTTACTTGTATCACATCATATACATGTAAGATTTTTTCGTAGCCTGTACGTTAATGTTTTTTCATAATCTGTAACAGTATATGGCATTTGTTTTGATGTTTATTTTTTAGAATAGAATATTTGATTTCTAATGATAAAGATATAGATACATGTACAGTAGCTTAGATTTCATCTTGTCAAGTTAATCATCATAAGTTGAATATTACATGTAACCGTTACTTAATGGAAAGAAAAATAAACACATTGTTCAGTAAAACTTGCTTTGTCTGAATTCTGTGCACCAAAACTTTGTCAGTTTTTAAGTAAAATCTTAGGAGTTATGTCTATAAATCTTTAAAATGTAGACTGAAATTGACACATTGATGGTGCACAGAAGGCACAAAAGAGTTTTATTACTTATTTCTTGTAGTATATCATTAGATATTATTAGACTTGTTGTATATTTCTTTAGTCTTAATCATGTTAATTGGTAGCTTACTAAATGACTGTCTGTACACATCCATTTTACATGGGAATAGTGTTTATAATAATAGAGCTTTTTAAGTTACTTCAGAAACAAACAAAGAATTTTACAATATAGATGACACATGAATACATGTATCTAACATTTATGTTGGGCTTGCACATACCTTTACTTGTGGCATTTATATTAAACATGTATAACTGTAATGTAATACAATTAGTTGATATGGTCAGCTTAGAAAATTCTCTGCTGTGTTGAGAAACAATGTGATATTTTTTCCCCTTACATTAAGTTGTATGATGTAGCTTGAAGGAAATATGGAAGTGAAGTTTTTTTTAATTAGGAAAAAACCCTCTGCTAATTAACATATATTTTTTTGTTGTAATTTTGATGATTATTCAAAAGAAGGTGGAGAAAGTTTGAAATTCAAGCAAATTGTACCACATGGTAAAAAATTTGAGATGTCAAATTATAAAGAAAAAATAGTGATTCAACAAGTTTAGTTTTTTTTTTCAGCAGAGGCCTAAGGGTCATTTTTTGTTTCTTAGATAACATAATATTACAATTTATTGTTTTTGTGTAAAAAACAAAAAAAGAAGTGTGATGTGTTTGTGTGCATGAGTATATGTACCTTGTTTTGTTTTCCTCTAGAAATACAGAGATGTTGGAATTTGACGGTGGCTATGGCTTGAGACAAACAAGACGCAGTACAACTGCAACGTAATTTTAGAAAGATCACTGGTGCATCTGAGCAAGGAAAAACAAATGATTATATAGAATACATGTACATGGTGATAAACTTGTACTGATGAAAGCATTATCAATTTGTCTTCACCTTGTTCAGATGCCATCAGTTTTCTATCATTACAAAGGCAATGCAACAAAATATTTAAGAACTTTATTCTAGATTCATTGATTAATATATAGTCAAGCATTTGTATGATGAGAATTCATTTAGCTATTTTTGTCATTGCTTTAGAATATTGTATTAAGTTAATTAAGTTACTTTTGTAATTAAGCTATAGTTATTAAGATTACTTATATTACCTTACTTAAGACATTTACCATCATGTACTATTTAGAGTTAAGATTAACATTTCTTAGTTTATAAGTTAGTTAAGTAAATATGTAGTAGTTTTAGATATTAAAATCACATAGTATTTAGTATAGAGAAACATGATAAGTATTCTAAAACATGCATAAGTGGATGTCCTGACTTAAATTGTTACTTTGATTATTTTAGATTTGACTACAGTAAAATGGTACAAGGAAAAATTGGGAGACATGTGCACTTTCCAGAAAAGCTGAATTTGAGGCCTTATATGAGTGCAAAACAGGTATAGTATTTTAATCAATAAAATATTTTTTCAGTTTAATTCCTAAGGGTTTTCAAAAAGAACTATTCTTAGAAGGTACAAAGCAAACCCTGAATAAATATTCTTTAAAAAGTTGTTAATTGATTAATTACTGATTTGTAATCATCGACTCTTTTCTTCTTAACTTGAGGATACTGTAGAAATAATGTACATGTAGGTTATTGACCTTGTTATAATTATTTGTAGAAATATTTGTGTTTGGCTTTGTAGGGTGATCCAATACTGCTCAATCTGAATGCTGTCCTGGTACATTCTGGCTACACAGCTAACTCAGGACATTACTACTGCTACGTTAAGTCCTCCAGTGGAATCTGGTACTGCATGAATGATGCCAATGTAAGTACTGATTACTGATAAAGTTTATAATTATGTATGTATCTTGGGAAAGATAAAATCAAGGTTTTAAAGCAATAAATAGGGACATCAAGAGATTTTTTCAAATGCTGAATTGAAGAAAGTACAAAATAAAACTGCCGACTTGAGGACAAAAGGAAATGTGTAATACATGTATTTCTTAATTAACTTTCAGGTACAACAAGTCAGTGCTAGTCGAGTTTTGGGTGCTGAAGCTTATGTCCTCTTTTACACCAAAGCACGTAGTGAATGCAGCACATCTAAGGTAAGATCTAAATCTGTCGGAATTCAGTTTGGAATTCTAATTACCTCTGATGTCTAAATGTGGAATTTATGCATAAAAAAACCTTTTAATTTTAGTGAAATAATTTTGTCTCCTCTGATAATAAATTGTTTTAATTTGTAGCCCACACACACCATAACAATGGCAAACCATGTAGACAACAAAAATAAGTTCAAACCTTTGAATGGATTGACAAGTGAGTAATAACAAAAAATTAGACACTATTAAATTTCAATAAATATATCAAAACGAGACAGTGATTGATCTAGTTCAGAATTGGAGGTAAAATTTGATCATTTTGTTGTAGAGTACCCTAGCACGGACACTGGTGTTCCCATTGCCAGAAGTACTTCCCTGCCTTCTGTAATTGGTCCTTTCCTTCACAAGACAGAACCTAGATACCTATCAACAGCCACACTATTGCCAGAGAAAAGGGACAAAATCATGTTTGGTCTGAACAAGACACCCACTCAGAGTCCAGAGGATTCTGATGGAAAAAGAATCGTAGTTAAAATTAAACATGGAAAAGCTACAGCCTACGAAAAATCTCCGAAGGGCAAATCCAAAATTGTGAATGGAGACACTGTGAGCTCAAGGCTAGTGCCATATGGTGATGACTCCGAGTCTGATGATGATGAAGCTGTTGTTAACGCAGGGAAAAAATCACCTCATGTGAATGGGAAAAATTATATACAGCAAGACATGAGAGAAAGTGAAAAACAGAGGAATGATCACCGAGTTGTGTTCGATGAAAAACTGAATGCCACTACATCTGTGCCAGGAAATACTCATCTGCTGGAAACCACATTAAAGCAGAAGGGGGATACGCATGAAGCTTCCAACAGGAGGATTGATGGACTGAATCTGATGGTGAATAAGGCTAAAGAACAAAAGGCATCAAAGACCTACAGTGATGATAACGGCATTCAGTGCATGAGTGATAGTAGTGGAAGAAAAGTAAAGGCTACATCCAGCTGGCATGTACTGAGTCAAGACTGTGATCCTAGTTACTCAGTTGGCTCAAGCTCAAGTCGTGAAAGTGTTAACTCAACATCTGGCTGGGATATCAAAGAGAAATCGGAGGCTCCCAATTTCGACAAGGTACCTGATAGACAGCACCCAGGATGGAAGATCTCCAAGGAAAATGAACCCAAACAGGAGGTTGCTGACAATTCTTTGTCAGCACAGGTGAAAAAACTCTTTGCAGCAAAGAAAGAAGACAGTCACAGTAACTATGAATCTGCTGTTAACCAATGGAGAGAAAATTCAAATTCTTTCTTCCAAAGCAAGAGCGTAGCCATGTCTGAGAATCAACCACTCTTGGCAGACATTGATATGGAGGAGAGGGTGTCCAATAAAAAACGCAAGAAGCATAAGAAGCATAAAAAAGAGCATAAGGATGTAAAGTATGAGCAGCTAGTAAATGAGAGCACCTCTAGTCCTGAAGCCCACAGCAAGAAGCACAAGAAAAAGAAACATAAGCACAAGAAAGAGCACAAGCATTCAAAGCACTCTGATGATTCAGAGGAGGAAAGGCGCAGCAGGAAACACAAGCGATCTTACGATGACTCGGATGAGGATTCTGGAAAGGAAAAGAAAAAGCGATTGGATGAGGACTCATATGTCTGGGTGGAGAAGACAAAGGATACAATCAGGCAGACCAAATCAGACAGTAGTGGTAAGAGTCTTATATCACATATATAAACATATTTACATGTGTATATGTATATACTATATAATATATACTATAATATATATATAATATTTACTATACTATATAAATATATGAATGTATTAAATATATTCTTTATTTTCCTGACCAGGATTTATTCTAGGATTTTAAAATGTGTTGTTTTTATTAGTTTTGGTGCAATCCTGGGATCACCACATCAAGGATGGTTTCAAAAAGTCCAAGAGCACTTTTGGTGATAGCAAATCTTACAGCACATGGGATGGTAGCCGTTCATCCAAGATAGCAGAGGAATTAGAGAAGCAGTCATCAGCTGTGGGCTATGGATCTTCAGGTAAATACTTAACAGTGATTATATTGATCCAGCAAAAAAGTAACACCCAGGTTCTTTATATTTTGGTGAAAGTTACTCTTAGTTCAGATTTTCTTTTACCAACAATAGCCTTGAAATTTCTGAATGTTAAGGAATGTGTTAAATTTTATTTTTAGTAAACTCCTGGGAAGGTGGCAAGAGTACTTTGGATACTGAAGTTGAGAGCGAGAAAAAAGATCGCAAGAGGCTCTGGTCTGATGATTATGACGAAGAGTTGGATCACGGCAAAACCAAGAAAATCAAGAAAAACCATTCTGACTATAATGTCCACTCAGGATATAATCCCTTCCAGAAATACCAAGACCACCGAAACTATGACAACAATAGAGTAAGTCTGCATTGATTCTGCAAAGATAATGACCCAGGATTAAGCGTAGCTATCAGTTTGAGTTCCATAGATTTGACTCTTTTTTTTTCTTTAATTAAAGTTAAAAAGTAAGCAATCAGTATCCTTGATATTGAAAACATTAATAAGTGAATGAACGTTTTCTTTGAAAGGTTTGTTATAGAATTTAAAATATGAAATTTGAATTATTTATTTCAGTTCAAGGGAGGATTGAATGGCTCTCACTCATTTGGTGGACACAATGCCAATACTCATCACCGAGACTACCGTCATGAGGATCATCGTAACTTCCAACACTACAGCCATTCTTCCAAGCATGCATACAAGGCTTAAGATCGTTGGATGTGTAGAAGAAGCTGGGGAAAAATTATGTGCTTTATACTAGAGCTGTGTTTTCTTGCTCATATCAGGAATTCATTTTATATTGCTGCTGAGCAGCAAAACTTTCGTAAAGACAGATGATTGTTATCTGAGGATAAACTTTAAAAAAGGATGATAAATGGGTTTTTTTTCTCTCTCTTTTATTATGTAAAGATTTCAAGTTGGTTAATTTATTTCATTTGTAAAATTAATTAAAAGAGAATTTACTTGATTTAGTTTGTGGGCTTTCATTATTTTAAAGTGAAATTAGAGCGAGAGCTTGAATTGCAGATTTTATTGTGAGAAAAGAAGGATATAGTATATGATTGATATTTTACTGTGATTTACGGAGAAAGTTCAAGTATCTTTCAAATTGTGCACACAATTATAATGTGAACATTTTTTATACGATTTTTTTAAATGAGATATTTGCAAGAAGTGACCTGAAGGAAAAAATTGTGGACTTTAATTTAAAACTCCAATTCAGATAATCAGGAATAAAATGTTTAAGAAAAATCCTTTTGATGAAAAAGGTGATTGAAAAATATGCTGGCCTACCAGGCATTCAAAAAAGAATGTGATAAAGGTGTTGATGTGTAAAAGTTGGTTGATATTAAGTGCTTTTTAATCATGAAAATGATACTGTTGCAGAGTTTAATGTTACTATCCTGATGTCATATTTTGTGTTCTTGTAAGTTTCAATAAACTTAAATTTTTGTCAAAACTTTGTATAAGTTTGATGCTAGTTTTGTTTTTTTAAAAAAAGAAATCAGGTTGATCATTTTGTAAAATTGTCATTTTTTCCATCATATCACTTGTATATTTGGTGAGTAAATGTGTGTAGTATTTAAGTTAGTAATAGTACTTTACTCTGGGAAAACATTGCTTCCTTGTTAGGGTGTGCAACAGGTTCGAAAATTACCAGTGATACATATAGTTGTACTTACCATTTATACCTACATTTTATGATTTAATTCATTCAAATCAAGTAAAAGGGAAGCATGATATATCTCTTGCATATCAGAGGAGAAAATGCCCAGCTTTTAATGATTTCAAATCTATAATAATTATCACACATGAATTTTCAGGGAATGTGCAATTGTGAAATGAAAGTATCAAGTACTTTTAAAGTTTAAATGCATGTAGCAGAGTAGCACTTTATTGTTTTGTATGAATAATGCTTTAATACAGTAATACAATCTAATTTTGAGGTATTTACCTTGTATTGAAGAGTGAAGTTTTGTAATATTTCAAGTTTAAAGATATTTTTTCTAGTCTGCTGTATTTTAGGACAAGGAATATAAATTTGTTCCTGAATGTCTTGAATAAGTTACTTTCACTTTGTAAGTTTTTGCTTGCACATAACTGGGATATACAAATAAGAGAGAAAGTATGTTCTATTAGAAAAGTAGAGGAAAACATTATTATGAATTTTACACTTGTGGTTGGTTGTTTTAAAAAGTTGTTTCCTTTTTACTCATTGCACAAACCAATATCTCAGGCAAAAATTGAGGATTTAAAAAATATCTTTGTCCATAGGAAGGTGCTACCACACATTATTCTCAATTCTGAAAGGGGAAAATTTGTTATTTGGATGGTAGAACTGTAGTACCTATAATTTGTGCCATTTTTATTCAGTTCTCATTGCATGATAGAGAAATATTTATTTCATTATTTGTCTAACAGAAAGAAATACCTGATTGATATAAAAGTAAATTCAGATTGTTAAAAATGAGTGACTTAGTGAATTTTAATATTCTTAATTGTTGATACCTATAAATTTCAACTATTAATCATTTATCCAGTATGCTTGTTTTTGAAATGAGTATTTTTATGAAGTATTTTGATGATGGTTATGATGAATCAAGTGAAAATTGTAAATGTAAAGTAAATGAAGATTAAATATTTTGATTATGCACCAAAATAAACTGGTGTAAAGATAAATATATATATTAAGTTGTAATGTTTTTGTGAGACTTTGTGTTTATTTATACATTGTATGCAAGATGGAATACAATTAAATTGTTACAATTATGAATATTTCTTACATCTCATTATGATTATGAGGTTGCTGTCAACATTCACTGTATAAAATAGGAGTGACAAGAAATGTTAACGTAATCTAATCACTGGTGTTCTAAAACTTCCTTGGTGGTGGAATAGGCAAAAGTACAGATGACTATGGACCAATTTTTGTAGTTTGAAAATGCCCTCTTGTTCTTATTTTGGGGCCAGGCATTACAAAACATTGATTCAAATTATTTGCAAGTTTTGTGAGTCTTCCTCATGAAGAGCAGTTTTAACTGTTGAGAAACTGAACCAGGAACACTTAGTTGTTGAAAAGAATAGTCATTATTGAGATAAGGTGTACATGTTCAGTGTATTTTGCATGTGGGAATTCATTAGGCTTATGGAATATGAGTGCAGAATAGATGCTGACTTTTTTTCATTTGGGAGTTAAAAGGTAAATTTTATAATCATTTTGTTGACTTCTTAATTGCCCAATACTTAAAGATAGAGTCAAGCACACTGAAGTTTTGGGAATGGAACCGCGTGATCGTTATATGTGCACTTGATCAAGCGGGATTCAGATTTGGGCACCTTTTCCGTTTTTTTTTGGTGCTCCATTTCTTCTACACTGCCAAATTAGTGAGAGTGAAAAATATTTCTGTTGAGTTTAAAAAGGACCACAAATTAATTGTATGACAGAGAATTCAGTTTATTGCTTTTCGTGTGAACAAAAGTTCTCCATACAATATTTTTTCCCATTTGCATACTAACCTGAGTTTAATGGTAAAATTCTCTGCATTTTCGCTCAAGTTAAATTCTACCTTTAAAGGTTTTCGGAGCTGAGGGGGAATTAAACTGAAGAGGAGGAAAGCTGTATTCCCATCACAATTAAATAAACTAAAATTATGTCTGCATCATGAAAAGAAATGTACCATCCTTCTTGAGTCAGAAATAATAGTAAAATATAATGGAAATAGAAATCATTAAAAAAAAATTTCATATACGGAACTTAGGGTGATTTCAAAACGAAGGAATAGTGAAGTCAAGGTCATTGAAAAAGCCACTATGTGACTTTGTATACAGTTTGATTAACATATCTTGAAAAAAGAGGTCAAGGTCATAGGGAAGGTTAAGATAAGAAAATTACGGCATAGTTAAATAGTTCTCATTAAATTGTATTAGCTTATGAAGTTTAATGAAAGTTTTAATGAACAATTTCTTCTTTACTGTGTTAAATGAAAAACAATCATTAGTGAGGTCATGGTCATATGGAAGGTCATGGTCAGAAAATGACATCCTGAAATATCTCCCACTGATATGTATCAGTTTACGAATTTTGATAAAAAACTTCCAAAAATTGCTTTAAAATTGAGCTAATACTAAATACACAATAGGAAATAGTTCATATCAGTGTATGAATTTTGGTTAACACTATCTTAAACAATTTCTTTAAAAGTGATCTAATAGCAAAGTGTGGCGGACGGAAGGACGTAATACGGACATGACAAACACTATATGTCCCGGATATATTCATAAAATTAATGCACAGGTCATTTCTTAGAAACAAGAATTAATACGGAAAATTAAATATTACTTTTGCAAATGTGTTCAATGAATTATATATAACAATCAAACATGAAAACTCTTAAACTGGTCTAGAATATTTTTTCCAGTGCATGTAATGCAGTTCATTCCTAATTTCTAATCGTACTCACTGGGTTTGTGACTGAGAAGCTTGATATTATATTATCACTAAACAATTTATTTGTTTAATTAACAAACAATCGACCATACTCTCTCTCTCTCTCTCTCTCTCCATAGACAGTTAATTTATTTAAACACAGTATGGAAAAAATCGTCATTATGAAAAAGGTCAGGAACAGACCTCGATCTAAAGAGAAAAAACTATACAAATCTGCAGATAGGGCATAAAAATACGGAATCCTGGAAACCCCAGCGGTGAGATCAGGTGTCCAGGAGGAGCAACAGGTGATACCCTGGTAGCGTAATATTACTACACAAATAAGGAAAGTTGACGATGGAAAAGCTAAAGTCATCTCGTTTGTCTTACAGTTTAGTTATCAGCTGAACTTTATTGTCTATAGTCAGTAAAACATCCAAATATGAAACAGATGTCACGTACTCTGTTGTGTCTTTTACTTCAAGTTCGCTGGGATATATCGAGTCGACATATGAATGGTAGTAACTACATGTATTGTTAATTGATGAAACGTTGTCGATATATCTGAATATCGAGTTAAAGGCCACAGCAAGTGTTTCCTTATTCTCATTTAGAAGTTTTTTTTTAAAATAAATTCTGCTTTATAGGAATATAAAAACAGGTCAGCTTATAAAGGAGCACAATTTGTGCCATTCGCAATTCCAACAGATATTGTCTATGAAGAACTCCAGCATCCTTTAAATATCAGCCTCAGGGTACCTATGTGTAGAATCAGTTATTTTTTAACAAAGTAATTCCGTAGATGACAATTTTTCATTTTTATTTGAAAAAGCAGTTGAGGATATGGAAAAGCCTAATTTTTAAATTATTGTAAGGAATGGTTGTATAAAGTGTAGAAAAGTCATACGTTTTGATGTTACTGACTTGTAAAAATGTTTGTGATTTTAAATTTTCTTAAAGTTCTTTGGAGTTTTTGAGAATAAACATTTGATTAAAACCACTTCTCTTATATATGCCGTAACACAGTACATCTGAAATTAATATTTTTGTGAGGAGTAAAAATATGGCTTGCATTGGTAGAGCAGTTGCTGAATCCATCAATTTATCTTTGTAAGGATTTTTATAAAGTTTAAGAATCCTGCATAGGTAGGGTAAATCCTGTGGTAATTATAACTCACTTTCGTTGACTGAAATGTTAAAAGTTTTAAAGACTGAAATGTGATTTTGAAGAATTTCATCCGTAGAAAGTGAACAGTGAGTATAAGTTGGATTTCCAGATGTAGAATTAAAACCATGCAAGTTCTACTATAAATACAGTTGTAATGATGAGCCTTACAAACAAAGACGATATTGTTACTTAGCCTTGCCTGCTAGAATCATAATATATTGTTCATGTAGTCTTTCTAATTCTTTTATCACTTCCGAATTAGTGAAAACATATTGCCTTTTAACTTTCTGATAGGACTTTTTAATATATTTCTAAAACAATCCATTCTGACCATGTCCTGACAAAGTGTTCAGGTCTTCACATTATATCAAATTTTAAAGATTGCACGTTTTCCCCACACATTACTGACACCGTGAGAGAAGTAATACTAATGTAGTTCCTTTTTGTGGGATGTACTTGATCTAATTACATGTATATTGGTTTTGCACTTCACTTTTCAACATGCACGCAGATTATATATCAAACGCTATTCTCCATAATATTGTGATGGAAGTTTGGCTATTTTGAATAACACGGGACCCATATCTCACCTGAGCACTTTGGCTGGGAAAATCCCAACCTACAGCCCAAGGGAGAGGGGTGGGGGGTGGGGTGGTTTGAACAAACTTCAATCTACACTAACTGAGGATGCTTCCAGATTTCTTTGACTTAAATAATGTTTTTAGAAGATTTTTAAAGATTTTTTCCTAAATATATCTATGTAAATGTTTGATCTTCTATTGTGGCCACTCCCTAACACCGGGGGGACAATTGATTTGAACGAAGTTGAATCTACACTACCTGTGCTTCTATATTTATAGGACCAATCATGGCTTTGCTGTTCTTGAGAAGATAAATTTTAATGATATTTCCTATATATTCCTATGTATAACTTTGATCGTCTGTTGTGGCCCTTCCCTACCATATGGGGTCATGATTTAATGAAACTTGAATCTACATTATCTGAGAATTCTCTGTATATGTATCTATAAGACAAACCATGGCTTTGCTGTTCTTAGGGAGATTTTTAATGATTTTTTCCTATATGTATTCCTATGTATAACTTTGATTCCCTGTTGTGGCTTCCCTACCTCTGAGGGTCATGATTTCAACAAACTTGAATCTACAACACCTGAGGATGCTTCCATATAAATATGACTAATTATGACTGTTCTTTGCTGTTCTTGAGTAGAAGATTTTTAAATATATTTCTTATACTAGTATATTCCCATGTATAACTTTGATCCCCCTGTCGTGCCCCCTATCCCCCACCCCCGCCCCGAGTCATGATTTGAACAAATTAGAATCTACACTACCTGAGGATGCTTCTTTATTAATACGAATAATCATGGCTTTACTGTTCAGAATATGTTCTGATAACAGTACTTAGAGCTAAGTTCTCATCAAAGAACACTTACGAGACTTTTGCTGATTTTTTTTAATTGAAAGACTGATATGGATATATGCGAAACATCCCGAGGAAAATTGGAGTATCGAGTGAAGTTCTTTAATTGCAAGCTAATTAATTTTGCTTTTAAATAAAAATATAACTGTCCTACAATACATTGCATTGTAATGCTTGATGTACTGTCTAATTAAAACATATACTTGACCAATTTTTATTATTAGGCAAAACAGTGAAAAAAATATAAACTTTCCTGTTTGACTGATGAGTGAATATTTTGAAACTCAAACAAAGCGCCGATGACTTTGTAGAACAATCAAAGACGCTTTTCAATACTGCTTAGCAGTACTTGTTTAGTGAGATAAGCTCACACTAAGTCCTTTATACACGACATTTACCCGTAACCGTTATTAACTCTGACTTTTGCACATGGTCATTTGTGAATGTTTCTCTAACGTCTTATATATAGTATACAAGCCTGTTACTCGTTAGCATTGCTCAAACATTTACATAATATAAAGCAGAAATCAATGATCGTTTTGTCTACGTTGTTCAAAGGGACATAATTTGAGTTATCGAACATTGAAACAAAACTTACTTTATGCAAATTTCCAAATAAACATTCAATCACAAGGACAAATTGTATATAAAAGCTGTGTTTGGAGGGTGGATGGTGGGGAATATTTCTAATACATTGACAAGTAAAATAATTGTGCTTGTTTAAATACAAGTAGAATTGCACCATACTGCACTCTGCTGCAACACAATGCGATACATTGTGATGACTGCCAAAGTGTCTAATCAAAATAACTTAGTCAGTTTTTCTTTTCTTAATTGAATCTAAAAACTGATTGAATACACACACTTTTTTTCATTTTATGCTTTAAATAAAAGGTTTCAAAAACAGACTAGAGAGTATTTCTTTTATTCTCATATTCTTAAATATTTGTTTTCTTTGATATGAATCAAAATTAACAATCAGTAATTAAGTCGAAGGACTTTCGCAAAGTTACGTGTTACTGGGGCTTTTTTTTTTATTGAATGACTAGTTTGAGTATGCGCAAAAGATCCAAAAGAAATGAACACTCCTTTTTGACTGATGAGTAGATTTTTTTGTTTGCAAGAAAATTATACTGTTTACCTTAATAAGAATTTAACTGCATTTTTTTGCACTGCACTACAATGCAATGTCAATTAATAAAATGAAGTCCATTTTTGTTTTACATTATGGTTTTGAAAATAAGGTGTAAATTAACATATTTTCTAATATATTTTTATTTTTAAAAAAGTTTTGAAAAACAGACTGGATGGAATATTTTCATTCACATTTTCTAATAAGATTGTTCTCTTTCATACGAATCTGAATTAACAATGCAGTAATAATGTCGAAGGATTTTTCGACAAATTTTTCATTGCAGTTTATTTGTTTATGCAACGCCTAGTTTGGGTATATGAAAGATTGAAAAAGAGAGAAATCTCTTGTTTGGCTGATGAGTGTAAATTTTGAGAGTGATACAGATAAGAACCAGGAAGGATAAAGAGAATATATTCCGATAACAGTACTTAGAGCTAAGTTCTCATCAAAGAACACTTACTTTTGCTGATTTTTTGTTTATTGAAAGACTGATATGGATATATGCGAAACACCCCGAGGAAAATTGGAGTGTCGAGTGAAGTTTTTTAATTGCAAGCTAATTAATTTTGCTTTTTAAATAAAAATATAACTGTCCTACAATACATTGCATTGTAATGCTTGATGTACTGTCTAATTAAAACATATACTTGATCAATTTTTATTATTAGGCAAAACAGTAAAAAAATATATATATACTTTCCTGTTTGTCTGATGAGTGAATATTTTGAGACTCAAACAAAGCGCCGATGACTTTGTAGAACAATCAAAGACGCTTTTCAATACTGCTTAGCAGTACTTGTTTAGTGAGATAAGCTCACACCAAGTCCTTTACACGCGACATTACCCGTAACCGTTATTAACTCTGACTTTAACACATGGTCATTTGTGAATGTCTCTCTAACGTCTTATATATAGTATACAAGCCTGTTACTCGTTAGCATTGCTCAAACATTTACATAATATAAAGCAGAAATCAATGATCGTTTTGTCTACGTTGTTCAAAGGGACATAATTTGAGTTATCGAACATTGAAACAAAACTTACTTTATGCAAATTTCCAAATAAACATTCAATCACAAGGACAAATTGTATATAAAAGCTGTGTTTGGAGGGTGGATGGTGGGGAATATTTCTAATACATTGACAAGTAAAATGATTGTGCTTGTTTAAATACAAGTAGAATTGCACCATACTGCACTCTGCTGCAACAAAATGCGATACATTGTGATGCCTGCCATATTGTCCAATCAAAATAACTTAGTCAGTTTTTTGTCTTAATTGAATTTAAAAACTGATTGAACACACACACTTTTTTCATTTTATGCTTTGAAAAAAAAAGGTTTCAAAAACAGACTAGAGAGCATGAAATATATGGAGATAACGAACAGTATTCAAGCATTTCTTTTATGCTCATATTCTTAAATATTTGTTTTCTTTGATATGTATCAAAATTAACAATCAGTAATTAAGTCGAAGGACTTTTGCAAAGTTACGTGTTACTGGGGCTTTTTTTTTTATTGAATGACTAGTTTGAGTATGCGCAAAAGATCCAAAAGAAATGAACACTCCTTTTTGACTGATGAGTAGATTTTTTTGTTTGCAAGAGAATTTATACTGTTTACCTTAATAAGAAATTAACTGCATTTTATTGCACTGCTCTACAATTCAATGTCAATTAATAAAATGAAGTCCATTTTTGTTTTACATTATGGTTTTGAAAATAAAATGTAAATTAACATATTTTCTAATTTTTTTTTTTTTAAAAGTTTTGAAAAACAGACTGGATGGAATATTTTCATTCACATTTTCTAATAAGATTGTTCTCTTTCATACGAATCTGAATTAACAATGCAGTAATAATGTCGAAGGATTTTTCGACAAATTTTTCATTGCAGTTTATTTGTTTATGCAACGCCTAGTTTGGGTATATGAAAGATTGAAAAAGAGAGAAATCTCTTGTTTGACTGATGAGTGTAAATTTTGAGAGTGATGTAGATAAGAACCAGGAAGGATAAAGAGAATATATTCCGATAACAGTACTTAGAGCTAATTTCTCATCAAAGAACACTTACTTTTGCTGATTTTTTTTTTAATTGAAAGACTGATATGGATATATGCGAAACATCCCGAGGAAAATTGGAGTGTCGAGTGAAGTTCTTTAATTGCAGCTAATTAATTTTGCTTTTAAATAAAAATATAACTGTCCTACAATACATTGCATTGTAATGCTTGATGTACTGTCTAATTAAAACATACTTGGTCAATTCTTATTATTAGGCAAAACAGTGAAAAAAATATAAACTTTCCTGTTTGACTGATGAGTGAATATTTTGAGACTCAAACAAAGCGCCGATGACTTTGTAGAACAATCAAACACGCTTTTCAATACTGCTTAGCAGTACTTGTTTAGTGAGATAAGCTCACACTAAGTCCTTTATACGCGACATTACCCGTAAAGCTCCAATTTTCGCCGTAAATTATCACAAAAGCGAAGATTAGTTAAGTAGATTGTGATTTTTTAAATCCCACTCATTTCTGTTTAAAATCTTTAAAATCTTTCAGAAAATTCTGGAAACACTTTTTTATAGTACATGTTTTTAAAAGAAACAGATTATAGCAATTTCCTGTTTACTGCCAATTTTATTTATAAAACCGGTTCTACCCTATAACCTTAGAATTGGTCAACCTACACCACGTGTCTTGAATTTAAATCACAATAACATTAGTAGGGGTGATAAAATTAGTTTGTACATTCTATGCAGAGGATGCAAATATCACTCCCATACCAGAAACAACAAAGCCAATTACTGTACACCAATATTTATACCAGGTATAAAGGACAAAGATGATGTTGCTAAATTACCGAGTAAAGTCAATGTTCCTGTGGAAAAAAGCAGAGATCAGGCCTCAAAACAATAAACTGAGAACAGACTTAAGTCAAAATTTCTATTTTGAATATTTTGCGTTTTATTTAACATACGTACTTAAGAATTTGCAGATTAGTAAAATAATTCAATTGAAACATATGATGAAAATTTTGTTTCATTATCAATATTATTTCAAAAGTTATTTTGATTTGAAATTTTTACTTAAGTCTGTTCTCAGTTTATGGTCTTGGGGATAGGAAAATAAAGGCAATGGAAATATCACTCCTCTTAAAATCCATGAAACCAACAAGTAAACCGTTTAAAACTGACGAACAGAAATCCCAGGAGAAGCCCTCCATCACCAAGATCAGGGAGTTCAGAGTACCAGGTATTTACGGTGATTTCCATATGTCAGTACATCAGTCAGGAAGACTATAGGGCAGTGATTTTGATGGAAACCTTGTCCAAACAGATCTACAGGAGAATCAGCTACAGAAGATAAAAATAGTGGTAGATTTGGTTTCCACGCAGTGTCACAGGATGGGAATTTGATCTTTACAGACAAAGACAAGAATGTCACCAATAGAATGACACAGGATAACATTATCACTGAATTTATTAGAACAGAAGACTGGACACCAATCAGCATACACTCCTCCCACATCATTGGGGACTTACTGGTGGGGATGGTGAAGGGTAAAGAGCTTAAAGTCACTAGGTACAACAAGCGGGAAAAGAACTACAGAACATAGAGAGGGATAACAGAGAAAAGGAACTGTATAGTACACCATACTACATAACAGAAAACATCAATGGAGACATCTGTGCCTCAGAGAGTTATATGGGTGCAGTAGTGGTTGTGAAAAAATCAGGACAATACAGATTCTCCTACACAGGTCTGAAATCAGCATTAATTCCCTTCGATGTCTGTACTGATATCCTCGATCACACAATGGTTTGTGATGCTTTAAGTCAGTCTGTTCACCTTCTTCATGAGAACGGTCTGTTCTTGTCTCTGCTACTCACACAACAAGAGAACATAGCTTTTCCTCGGAGTGTTTTATTGATGGTGAAAATAATCTTTATGTTGGTGAAAGTGACAATTTCACAGTGACAGTGTTCAAGTATCTTCGTATAATGGATTTTTGCAACATTACCTTTTCTATTTAAAAAAAAAGCATAATGCAGAGATGAACACTTGAGAAATCCAGAAATGAAAAACCATGAAGTGGTCCTATACCAACAGCACAAATATCAACTTCCTGTGAAACAATGCCAAATCCACCCAGAAAGGAATGATAGATCTCCTTTGTGATGAATGCAGAACACTATTACATTCCAAGTGCACGACCACTTAGGAACATCGAGGTCACATTTTCACAGATTTGGAAATTTAGTTTTTCTTACCAATAACACAATAATTAAAGACAATTATTAACAAAGATTTGACAGAAATAAAGAAAATAGGGGACAGTATAAAAACATACATAAAAAGTGATGGAGAGTCCCTCAAAAATATGGTCGGCACAGTCGTATAAGAGCATGTAGAACATGTTAAGAAAATAGGATATTCCCTTACAGAAACACCGAGAAGCCAAAACAAGACACTTGTACTTACCTCCATGACCTTGTCAAAGAGCTCCATGGTTACCTTTCAACTGCAGATCACATGAAATTGATATTAATATTCTATGAAGAGGATACAAAAACATGTCCATTACCAGAAAGAACAAAACTCATAACACCAACATTCATATCATGCACAAAGAGTGAAAATGATATTGCCAATTTACTTGGTAAAGTCATTGTTCTTGTTGCAAAAGCAGAGATCAGGTCTTTGAAATTTTGGAACAATATCAGTTCGAACAATGTTTACAGGAAGAATAAAAAAACACCCCAAATATATATTTCTGCTTTTTTTAAATTTAAATTTTGTTTTATATATATATATATATATATATATATATATATATATATATATATATATATATATATATATATATATTGCTTCACTGAGGGGAGAGGGCTGTAGTGACGGACATGATCATACGAAACACCAAATTTATATGATGTTTCTTTTGATTCACCTTTACCTTACGTCAATAAACTATTAATTAAATCTTCATCACATTCGCACTCATTAATTTTACTCGGTTCCCTTGAAATTTCTGGAATGGACTATTTGAGGAATCTAAAGCAACTCCACACTTGTATTCTTCAACTGCAGCATACATGCTAGTGTTTTTTTTTTATTATGAATGTTGCCCAGTACAGGTTCTTTAAGACACCACGTGTGTCAGAAGATACCGGGTAATAATTCCAATTCAACCCGTCGGTTGCCAACAAAGGAATATATGCTGTTAACATAACATTCTTAATTATAAACATTCCACTATATTTCAAAATGAAGTCCACACCCTGCATTTCCTACAGATATTCCCAAACTTCCAAACTTTTCAATTATAAACATACCTAGTCGTGTCTAGATATTGAACATCTAAAACAAAATCCTCTTGTTTATTTCTCTTTCTCTTCTTTTAACTATGGTTCCACTGGACACGTCATTACTGGTGATGTTTATATAGTTGAAAACGACGACATAAAAGCAATCATTTTTTGTTTGTTTGTTTGTTTGTTGTTTAAACTCACATCCCTAGGGACAAATACCATTAACATGGTAACACTGAATTCCATCCCGGCAATGACCGCACTGCTATATGGAGACGTCCCCATTTACAGATGGAGGGCTGCAAATTTTGACCTATACTCGGCACTCAGGGCCATTGAGCAGTGAGGGATCTTTTTCGTGCCAGCACTTACTGCGACAATGGACCTCGTTTATATGGTATCATTCGAAGGACCGGTCTCCACGTCCCGCAGTGGATTCGAACCTTGCAATCATTTTAAAACGTCCTAAATACGGGAGCCCCGATTTTTCAATTGGCGACAGAACTTCATTTCTATTATGAATTTTGTCGAAGATTATGCCAAGTGCTGGGCGAACTAGAAGAGGAAGACCTCACAGAACACTTTGTCAGAATGCATTAATTTTCAAACCATGTAATTGGTAATCAACAAAAAAATCACTCTGGTTCTGCACTCAAGTACTCTGAAGTTGATATTAAAAGGATGCTGTTGTTCCTCATTGGCAACATCTATGTAGTCTTTGGAGAAAAACTTGGAATTTCGATGCGCGCTAATTATTGCGCGCTTTATTAGCCGACCTGTTTTATATACCTACGAAGCAGAATTTATTCAAACCTTCTGTATGATAGGAAGAAAACACTTACTGTGGCCTTCAACTCGACATTCAGATATATCGACGACGTATTATCAATTAACAATAGTTACTTTCATTTATATGTCGACTCGATATATATCCCAGTGAACTCAAAATTAAAGACAGCTAGGAGTCTACTACACCTGTTTCATATCTGAATGATTTGCTGACCATAGACTATAAGGGCCAGCTAACAACTTAATTGTATTACAAACGAGATAACCAGCTTTTCCATCGTCAGCTTTCCTTATCAATGTAGTAATATTCCGGTATCACCTGAATAATGGTGATTACGTCTCCCAACTTACTCGATACTCAAAAACATGCTCTGAGCACGATTCACTCTTATACCGAGGCAGGCTACTGATAGATAAGTTGATGCTACAGAGATTTCAACAACCTCGTTTAAAGTCAACATTTCATATTCTATGATCGTTATAATGACCTTGTTAGCAAATATAACCTTGGGCCGTATTTTGACTGACATATTTTATACCATTTGTTAGGCCTTTGTGTTTATACTAAATTTGACTACTGAATATTCCGTCTCTACCTGATCAATATACAGGGCCTTACTCCTCCTAGACACCTACTCCCAGCTCTGGAATTTCCGAGGGTCCGTGTTTTCACAGATTTTTGTGTTGTTTGTAGGTTTTTGTTTGAGATCGATCACTGTTTCTTTTTCTTCACTTTTTCCATTTCATGAATATAAATTCCAATGAAGGGAAGGGATATGATTTGGTCAGCGTATTTTTTGGTAATCAAATACATGTATGTATTTACCTTTCTACACAGATCATTAAAATATTTGTACAAACCCTTGCCGAATGCAATAAATACAAAGAAGCATTATGCACTAAATCTGGGTATTTAACCGTCCGAACTTCTTGCACAATATTAGAAATGATCAGAAAAGTGAAACTTACACAATTTTAATGCAGAACATTTAGCATTTCAAAAGAAACTCTTTCCGATGCACACGAAAATCTTTATTGAGGCTAAGTCATTATAATGAAAAAGAGGTAAGGGGTTGTTACTTTTTTTGGGGGGGGGGGTGTTTCGTGTCACTGAAGTCAAAATATGGAGTGTATAAACCTATCATTGACATGCAGAGTGAGACTTTAGAGCAATATGAGCTGCAACTTTGATATCAGATATTTTTGTTGCAAAATTGTAATTAACTATTTTAATGACAGAAAAAAGAACGTTAATAAACTTCTATTGTTTATATTTGCGATGGAAGAACTAATTTTAAACTTTGATTGAAGCAAAATTATATTATTGTCGTCCTGTACAATACTGATTTCTTATATAATACTATATACATTCCATTGTACAGAAATCGTTCTTAAAAAAATTTAATACTTTATTTTAGTCTAATTGATCATATAAGTTTAAGTTGCATACACATTTATCATAACAGCACATTCTAACAGCATTATAAAATTCTCAAAAATGCATATTGCTTTAAACAAGTGGTTCAGATCGTATAGTATTTCACTTCTATGGAAGACTGCATTTGGTCGTGAGCAACGATGACACTGAAATATGTCGCTAAGAACGATAGGTAGAATTCAACACATGCATAGCCAATGTTGATGTCAAAGGCCTAGTCAAAAGTTGTGTTCAACCAAGTAAAGCATTTAATTAACAAACAATAAAAAGGGGCGCATTTGACAATCATACTTCAAGGATTTCTTAGTTATTATATTTTCTAAAGGGGATTGCCTATGTCTTTGATATATATCTTAAATCTAAAATCTAGAGCTAATTGTATCATGTATGAGGAAACTGGACGTACATGTAACCCATTGAACATTTACGTGTACGTGTATCTATACAAAAATGATGGATAAATTGTTACATAGAACTGAAAGAATTTGTATAAGGCATTAACTTATATGGAAAGGCAACAGTTCAAAATTCCAATTCTATAAATAATTGTTTAGAATGCACACATATACCTTAATTTGTAAATCATTACTTCATAATATTTATCCATATTCATTATAAATGTATCATTTCATTATATATTTATAATATTCACTTATCTTTTTCCCTATCGTCCTATAAGAAAAATAAAGGAAAGGCTGAAGAAAAGTTTCTAATCATCATTTTAGTATTATTTTTAAACCATGGTCATCACAGTAGTATACTGTAAAATACACATCACAAACATTCAGTTTATTCTCTGGTGCCAGTAGCTTATCCAGCAGAAGGGGGGTTTACATAGAGCGATCTGGACACCCCCCCCCCCAAGGGATTTTCAGTAATAAAATTTAGATCACTCGAAAACCCATTAAAGAAATTAGAAGCTTGCATAATTTTCATGATTTTCCCCAACTTCTCAGAGCCCAGGGAACCAAGACCACCTTCTGCATGCCTTCTTTTGTCCACAGTTATATATTTTGGTTACATTTGATCAAAAAAGTTTTAAAGATTATGAAAGAAGCATAACAGCGGATGATGATAGATAGCAAAAGGTCACGTGAGTAATTCAGCTGACCAAAATATGGCCATGTCACATTTCATATCAGAAAAAAAAAGAAAAAAAAGAAAAGAAAAGAGATTTTAATGTCCAATCTCGTTTATTAATCAGTTATTTTCTATATCAAATACACAAATACATGTGGGTGACAATTATAGTTGCATGAAAATAAAAATGTTTATGTACATAATGAGTTACAAGTAATACAATGCTGTGATTGCAGGACTAGAACATCCTCTGTTGAGAAGTTACCATGTGAATATCACAGAAAAATTACTCCTGCTGATAAGGGATTTTTTTTAACATGAAACAAATTTACAGAACAAATTATTATTAAAAAATATGTTTTATGTAAATGTACTTCTGACAGACTATTTACTATACCCAAAACATTACAAAATGTAGAAAGAGCAACTTTGAATAATCATCTATACTTGAAGGCTCAGTAGCTGAATTTAAAAAAATATTATTATTTTGTCTTTAATCCAATACACAAAAATCTAATTCCTTCCCCAATTGAAAATACGTTTAGAAAAAAACTTGTTAATGCTATGCTGGCATAATTTTTTTTTTTTTTTTTGGTTTTTGTTTTAAATTATCAGGAATAAATATTGCAAGCACAATTACACCACTTTTCAAAATGAGCATTTTTTTTTCAGATAAATCCTTATATTAAATAAGTAATGACAATTCACACTGGCTTTAAAAAAATTGCACCTTATTTGCATTGAAAAAAAAAAGAAAACACACCTTAGTAAACCGATATGTTCACTGACTTCTGTGTTTAGCAAGAATTAAATGATCAAAAAATATCTACTTTCTAAGATCAATTATATCATTAAATAAAAGCAATTCTAGTATATTTAATTATCATGAGAAGTATCACAGACTAGCGATGCTGAAAAAAAGTGGATTCTCTCACAATTAAATCGCACAAGAAATTGAGGCATGTTCATATGCGGCAAATCATGTTAGTGTCTGGTGAAAATAAAATAGTACAGATTTCTGAGTATGCTTCAGTATATTTATATATAAACATATGCTCCAAGGGTCCACGATGGCAATACGAATCACTGGTTAACTGAAATTGGTTAATATTTTCTGGGCCTCAATTGGTCAAGAAAGACAACTGTTCATTTCACATGAGCTGCCTTCTTTCTTCTTGCTGCCAACATGTCGTAAAATGGATTCTCACTTATACTTTGTCTGCAAGACAACAAAAAATTGTGACTTTAAAGTCTAAATGGTAATTCTTAATGATGACGGTTAAGATGATTCAGTTCTGTGAGGATATCAATCAATACCTTATACAGCGTATCCATTCATCCTTCTCGTCTGCATTGGCAGCTGACATTCTGTAAACATTGTGTTTTCCTACAGGGAGAAATCAAAAACATTTATTGAGATTGTGCCCAATAAAGTCTAACACAGGCATGAAAGATGACAAATATTTTAAAGATTTTTTTAAAAAAGACACAAAGCCAAAGAAAGAGGGTTGAGTGGCATGCAAATCACATGTATACTTCCATCTCTTAAAACACCATGAACTTCTATAATTCTCCCTAGTTCTACAAATCAAATAGAATTTGTTCCCAACAAACAACGAACCAACAAGCTAAACAAGATTTTATAGCCTTATATGCATGACCAACATGTATCATCTGAAATATGATCTTGGCTCAAAACCTAGACAAATCCTTTTCATCAGACAACATAAAGTGCCAAATGGACAGTAGGCAAAAAACAAAAAAAAATGAACCCCCCCCCCCTTTCAAAAAACAGAAGATCTAAATCTTTTTACTTCCCTAATAGTTACTTTCAATACTGATATTTTTCAAACGACCAATCATGAAAATCTTACCTCACTGAAATACAAAGATGAAGCATGTTTTAAACCCAGACTAAAGGGGGAAGAACTGTGTTATCAGAGAAGAGCCCCTACCTTCTACAACCTTTCCTTCCTTGTCAACCTTACAAGCCTTAATGATGTCCTGTCCTGTGGCAAACAGCTCAAAGCTGAACGGTTTGTTGGCTTTGTCTGTTGGTACCTCCCTGATTGAGATATTCTCTAAAGGAATGATTCCTTTGGGCTCCTTATCCTACAGAAACAATTTATTATTATATCAATCTGACAAGTTAGTAGTGATAATTAAGAACAAAGTTTTTACAAAGTGATTATAGATGTAGTCTTTAAAAGCCTTTTCAAAGACTTAGAATTATATATATACGATTAAGAAAGAAATCACAATTAAGAAATTGCAAATTTTGTCTTTTGAAACATTCAGAGAAAAAGCCATTTATCTATTCCATAAAATACATGCAAATACATGGTTTGAAATTAAAGGGAAAAAAATACAAAAGAAAACATACATATTACTCCATTTATCAAAATCATTTTTCAAAGGAAGTGTCTTTGAGTCAGTAAGTTTTCACATTTAATAATATACATGTTTTTGGGTCTCTTCCATGAAATCCCAAATTAAATAGTTTAATATATTTCTACTTCCCTTTACAGCACTTCCTTGTTTTAAATGAGAGCATCACTTTTAATAATTAACAAAAAGCAAAGCTAGACAGTTAACATTAGTTTTTTTTTCATATCCAACCTGATCAATAGATATAGAAAAAAAAAAGTGGTGATTTTCTACTTTATACAATTTAATTTGGCAAGAGAGGGTCATCAAAAATAATGAAATATTACAAGATTTATTTCTTGTTTTGTTTGTTTTTTAGTTCTAAAATCTGTTACATACTGTTGTGAACTGGAAGTAATACAAGCAGTTGTCATTGAGAATGAACCACCTTCTCTTCCAGTTCTTTATTCTTCCACCTACGAAAAAAAAAAACAGTAAGAAAAGTTATCTTGTTTTTCCTCATTCACATGCAGATGATAACAACATAGTTTTTTTAACAATAAAAGCTCCTAAATTTTTTTTTTTGGTTATTTCTTTCAAGTTATATCAATAGCAGACATTTCTTTTTCCTCCTCTCTATTTTCATAAATAAGTATTGTGGGAAAATTAGCAAAAACAGGTTATCACTCACAAATTTACCCACTAGAAATTGAAAATCCATGCACATTCAATGAAAAGCATTAACAATAGAGACATTCTTTCTTGTGAAACAAAATATTATCAAATTTTACAAAAGATTTACTGGTATTTTGCCATAAACTAAAAGACAAAACCATAAGGTGCTTGGATACAATGGAATATAATACATTTTTTCACACTATAATGTTGTAAACAGCAATATTCAGAGATGATATTATAATCATTATTTTGAAGTAGAGAAATTTTACTTCTGGCTACATTTTCTTCCACCACCATGACTAACAGTTGGATAATACACTAGTATCTTGACCCAAGTAACAATAGTTATACAGAAATGGTTAAATGTGTATTACAGTGCTTTATACTAGGTATAAGGTCTTATAAATACATTCTTTTGAAGCCACATGATCAGCTGACAGATATATCTACTAGTTTATTATCAAGCAATTCCAACATAGAAATTTCAAGTACATGTACATGTATATTGTACAAAATTAGGATTTTTCTAACAGTTTTCTGTTTTATACCAATATTGTTTTATACAATGTATATTATAGAAATCTCTTTAGGTACATGTATAGATACACATGTTCTTTTTAAAATTCTCTACCACTGTTGAATGTTGATGATCAGTTAATTCTGATTAGCAGGAAGATACATGCTCGGAAATGAGTTACTTTGTGCAACAACTGGTCAAACGCACCACGTTTTGGAGCAAAATAATATGAACTTCTACCACCTATATGCCTCCATGCTAATTTTATTCTAAACAGGTATTTTCTATAACTATCAAAAATATCTACACATCTTTTTTTTTTGGTTCATAACTATAGCTCAGCACCAACGTAATAACAATCCATTAAATAAAAACAACTCCCGAGATGTATAAATCACTTTTCCAAGCACCAAAAAGCTTTTGCCACATTTGACCAGGAAAGAATGTCTTTGATATGAAATATAAAACAAAGAGTCAACAAGAACATGGCAGTAATACACCAAACTTACTGATTTTTTTGGCCCCTGTGTAAGTAAAGGGGGATAAAAAGAGAAATACACAAGCACATCACATAGATTCCAAATACACAGAGAATTCATTTTAATGGAACATCATTAACCACTACACTTTCATTAAACAAAATTTTAATTTTACGGGGTAGAGCAAGTTCGAAAATAATATTTTTGCAGGCATAGAAGTTCTTTTGTATTTTTTAGCAAGAATTTGGGGGTTTTTCCCCCAAGATTAGTAATTTATAATTTTGTCATTCTAACATGCAGTTCAAAGGTTGTATGGGGTGAAATTCTAGAAGAACCTTGCCAACAATAAACAGTCCTGTGATTCTTTCCAGAATCCACCTGTATCCCAAACATTATAAAGGCACCGTCTTACCTTGTTTACACAACCAGCCTTCCTTGTCAGGGTTAAAGAAAGTATGCATCAAGTCATTCCCATCATCCTCTGGAATCTTAAAGGGTTCCTTCTTGATGCTTTCATACAAACTCTAAAAAGACCAAAATGAACTTGATTCTGAAAACATCTACTGTTGCATTTATAAATAATTTTTTTTTTTTTTCACCATAATTGTTAAGCTATAGATAATGTTTATGTTAATGAAATTCAAGCAATTTTTTTTTTTGGGGGGGGGGGGGGGGGCAATGATTTTCAAGGGATGATATAAATAATTTTCAGAATTGTTAGGTTGAATAAAAATATTCTAATTCAGACATACAAAATTATTTCCACCTCACCTCAAAATACATATGGGTATGAGACGTATTAGGAGTATAAGGTTGTTTCTGCATCAAAATGACCCCCTGCCTTCAGACAGGGAAGGTTACTCACTGTGAGTAGTTCAGGTGGTAGATCCCCACCATCGTTGATGCCACGGTTCATTGAGATGAATCTCTCCACGGTTGGTTTATCTTTAACACTGGGATTATGGAGACTGGTGTTCAGCATGATGATGGCAAATGACAACACGTAACAGGTGTCTGAAAAAGTAAAGGTATCTCTTGTTTTATACTGCGTAGCATTAAAATGAACAGTACTTTTCAAAGCCTTCCATGAAACAAAATTCCTTCCAGCAACATATTACATGTACCCACATTGATAATTTTAGCCTCATTCATGTGTTGTGTGCCTTATACCATTACTGATATTTAGAGAAAACGATATAATCCAAGAATCCAAAGGATTTCATAACATTCAAGAATAAATATATACATTTTTTTTTTGTTTTATGGCAAACGCATACATTTGCTGATTCAAGATAGTCTTCACAAAGATCTGCGTCCATGATGTTAAAAAGTTAAATACTGGTACCTGTACTGGTAAAAACTCCCGGGTTGAGCTCACAGTATCTCTCAGCAAAACACTCCATCATCCTGTCAATCTTTTGTGCCTCTCCTGGCAAACGGAAACTCCATAAAAATTGCCTGAAATTACAACGAGATACAGTGTACTTATCTTTGAAAACTTTATGAAAAAGAATAAAATTTATTTTGCCATAATATTGTAAAACTGCATAAAAATGTATAAAAAGCAACAACTTTTGTAAACAAGCTAAATTTAACTGTGCATAATTTTTCATCTTTCTGCTGCAGTTAACAATAACATTTAAACATTTTTATACATTTCACTTCAAGATATACTGATTCATTCTTAAGATAGATTCATTTTATTACCATTAAATTTGGTTTTTGTCAATGTGCATAGCCTGCACATTTGTGTTTATCTATTTCTTTGATAAAGGTAATAACTTATTTTATCTTTCAAAACATTTTACTTTCCAAACATTATCCCAGACAAACAAAAAAGCCAGCATTTATATATTACTTTTACAAGCTTTTTTCTAAGATAAATCCATTATACTTGACATACTATCTGGGCAAAACACTTTAAAATGGCTTTGTACTATATTTCTTCTTCATTTAACCCTTGAGGAACTGAAGTCTAACATAGGTATTTTAAAGACACTACGAAAAATGTCATTTCTTCTAGTACATACTAGGAAGTAGCTTAATTTGCATAAAATCAACAAGTAACATGAATCACATGGCTCTAGCAAATTCATTTCATGAAAATAGCTGATCAACTTTAACTCTGAAGTAATAATTTGACCCGATGCAAGATCTTGGGAGTTTTTCAGGACATATAACTATGACAGCGTGACATGACTTACCTCAATGCCTGAACCAGAATCATGTCCGAGAATTCATGTTCATTTACAAATGACTTCAGAACGGATATATTAAAGTCATTCCTGTAAAAGGAAACGTAACTGTTTTAATACTTAAACATACAAAACAATGCTTACTTTTTGGTTGGTTGTGCTTTGTTATTACTTTCATTTAAGTAAATAGATATTTAAAATAAATTCCAATCCATTTTCTGTTCTAAACCAACATCATTTGACATTATATTGCTAGGTTTGAAATGTATTTCTATCTTCTCAGACAAGGCATACTTCCCTTAAAGAAACATATACCTCTTGAAATCAACAATCTTTTAAACTACATATTACATAAAAAAAGTTCCTTCAAAATTATTTTCCATTATCAATGAACATACAAAATTTTGATTGAATTGTCATTTATATGATCATGTCCAATTATAGTAAACAATGGACATGAAAAATGCTTAACCTATCATTTATGTCATCTTGAATAAGGAGTTTGATGATACATATTTATATTATGATGTTTTGATTAATCATAACCTTGGAATAAATTGTCACATTTTCTGTTTCATTACTCAACTTGTACTAAATATTACAACAATTACGCATGATTGGACACATCAATGGACATGCATGACTGACTAGACAGATGATGTCACACATTTACACGTCTTCTACCAGGTGACAAATCCTGATGATAAAAACCAATAAATACACACGACACGCAACTATTTTATTGCTTACTATAGACCATGTATTCATTCACAAGCTGTGCGTTGCAACACAAACAAAGGGAGGTCACAGGAGTCAATATGCACCGATCATCAATCACATTTGGCCAGGTGTGGTTTACCAATGTACTTTCCGTGACTATTACACTGACCAGTTTCAACATGTAAAAGTCTACAGGGGTTTTTTTTTTTTGGTTACAGCAAAAATTTATACCGTCAAACCTGATTCTCCCTAACCTCAGTTACTATCATGGCTCTCTAAGAACAGTCTAATTTGTCTATTGGTAATTTGAATCTAGACTTGATATTTTGATTGTAAATGTTTATGCAAGCTTGAAAGGAACTTCAGCCCCTTCTGTAGTTTCTAAAATGTTGTCTAATCTATCCTAATACAAAAATCAATTTGTTTCAAAATGTGTAACAATAAAAAATACAATGAAACATTGTGCATTTCTAGAGTATGCTATTCAATATATAACTGAAAGACATACTACTGTTTGACTTTTGGTTGTCCTGAGTAGTTCCCTATCCTTCCCCATTAAGAAACTTACAAATCTCCTATTCCTAAGTGGTTTCTTCCCCTCCCCCCCCCCCCCCCCCCCCCGGTACCATGAATGATAGAGGAGCTTACCGTTCCCCTAAGTAGTCCCCTATAGCTGTTTTGTTCAGTCCCTCTCCCTGATACAGAAACTTGGCAACTTCCTGATGGTCATTGTTAAGGAGCTGATGGTCAATCAGGTACTCAATGCCCTGTAAACAAATTTCAAATAATGAGGAAATATGAAGACAAAAGGTTTACATACAATTCATTATCAGACATAAAAAATAACTTTGTCTATTCTTCCTTCAAATCCTTCTGTGTAGATGAAAAATTTTTAATTATACACTGGTTGGTAACTAAAATATTGGCTTTATTGTTTAAAGATTTTTTTTTTTTTACACATTTGATGGAATATTTAGTTTCTTTTTTAATTCAACCTTAAGATAATTGACTTATAATTTAAAGCCGATTAAATTAAACACGGACATATCATCAAATATTCAGATATGATCCCCATGTACAATGTCAAAGAACACAGACGAATAAGACATAAATACATGTATATGTGCCAATTCTGTCTGTCTTATAAGATGAATAGAAACCACATGAATGCTGATTATGAACTCCTAACTGTTCACAAACTATGGGTATTTGTTGTGCATAGAGTGGTCTTTGTTCAACCACAAAAAACACACCCTTCACAATACACATCTCTTAAATTAATAAAGAAAAGCTTATCTTTAAAAAGTACTTCTACAAACATATCTGACAATTCATACGACTGTGTGAACGGTTCAAAAATTGAAGATACAAGAGTCCCCCTACTTTAGTTTTCATGATGTGTGGCACTTATAAGCACTTGAAATCTCTTTAGCAGCAGCAGAACAATTTGTTATGTAATCTAAATTTTTAAATAAGCAATCCATATACTCTGATATAATTTTACATGCTTGGTTTTTTTTTTTTTTTTTTTTGGTACTTAGAGAGCAGGAAGGTAAGAATAAAGTGTGTTTTACCAAATCTATCCCATTAAAAACTATCTACTTACTTACAATTTCTTCCTTATTGCTTTTGAATATGTATGGGTTTAATAAAAAGAGTATTAGGAAGAGGTAGGGGGGAGAAAGGGGGAGGGGGGTTTATCTGTACATCCCTCAAAGACACATGATCTTTTATTAAGGCAAAAACATGAGAAGATGCTAACATATTTTAAACATGCAAAGATTTTTTTTAATCAGAAATGAGGGGAACCATAAAATATAATTCAAGAAATGAAAACTGTTTCTCGTCACAATTTTTGGATCTCCTTTTGTTTATTGCTCGAGGAAAACCTATCACACACAAGGCTCATAAAGATAACAGTGCATTCAGATTCCTTTAGCTTTTATTCTCTTTCTCTGCATTTATATCCATGTAATCAAGCAACAACAACAAAAATTCCTGCCACACGATAAATTTAGTACTTTAATTTAATAAAGATATGGCATGGTTCCATAAGTAGTCAGAGTAATCTAAATTTCAAATTATTCTTTCACTTTTGCCCTCTTCAGCAACTCAGAATGCCATGTAAATCAATTTACACTGACGTTTTAAAAAAGACTGCAAAACACTTTTTTGTAACCACAACTCCAATTGCTATGTGGGAAGTAAATAGTCATTTTCTGACATTAATGATGGTTCTGAGGTCAAAGAAAAAGCAGTGCCTACCACAGATAAATGCATACAGTCAAAAAATAATTATATTAATTGCCTCTCCATAATGTAAATCTCCATAAACCTTATTAATTTGCAGCTTTTTGAAATTTAAAACCAATTTTTGTAAATGGAATGGAGACTGTTTCTGTCAATTAAATGCTTGCGCTATGGAATACTTGGATGATGAAATGTCTGTTAATAATGTTTCTTTAAAAAACAATCATTACATTTAACTGTTTCTGTGAAGGGCTTTTCATTTACTAAGTTTACTATTAGGGGCATAAGAGTTTACTATCATTTACTAATCAACATTTATGGGAGCTTAAAACTGTCTTGTTAAATGTGTACAGCAAAACAGGTTTATAGCAAGGGCCAGTTGAAAATGATAAGTTTATTGGTCATTCATCATTTTTCTAGTAGTGTTTGAGAAAAAAATGATTTCGTTATATGCAAGTATCTACTAAATAATTCATTTTTTTTTTGTTTTAAATATGGACATGTTTATTATACTATCGGACAAAAGTACAGATAGGATAAATGGGACGGGGTAAGAAAAAAGGGGAAGCAACTTGTATTGGACCCTTAATTTTACAAGTATATGTAATGTTCTTGCTTATTGTGTTTTACCTTCTTTGGATCCATGTTAAACTTCTTCTTCCCAATGGACATCTGTTTATTCTTGGGATTGTTTTTGCTACAAAAAAAAGATACATCATAAAAGAAAAGATACATCATAAAAGAAAAAAAAAATCATTGTTTGATGGTGAATACAGGCCCCTAAATGAGCTATTTTCACAAAATATACAGTTATACACAGTCCCTGTAAACAAACACAGACTGAAATCATTCATTTGGTATGGCCATGCATTTAAAGAAAATTGTTGGGACTAAGCATGTATACATTTTCCCAATTATTTTTTCAATTTCTTTTAATAACTATATCTGACTCGTTTTAAGTCACAGTGACCTATATCAGCTGTTTCAATATTTATTCTGCGATCATCCCCTTCCATTCTCAACACACACAAACCAAAATGGTTTTCGTCTGATCTGAGGTATGTTTGAAAAACACTAAAAACCCCGCAAATCTTTTCTCGGACTCCTTGCAACTGACAGATGGTAGGAATGATGTCATTGGTTGATTATAATCAACTTCTACAATCCCTAATGCCAAGACATTGGTGGAATTCAGATAAAAGCAGCATTTGTGTTTCAAAAACAATGGGATTTTTTTTTTTGTTACAAAGATAACACATTTGTAGTTCCAGATGAAAAGACCCTGTTTTCCCCCCTTTCCCTCTCTGATAAAGCTGATCTTACCTCTCATCTGAGACCTCTATGGTCTCCATTTCATTGGAAACCTCAGCTATTTCATCTTTGAGTTCCTAGAAAAAAAAAGAAAGATAAACCAAATAAAAGTTTTAATTCTGCAAATTTAGAACTAGGGGATTGTACAAATTGCTATAAAGATTTTGTACCGGTATGTGCAATGTATCAAATTGGACATTCTTGCATTGAAATGTTTCTATATTACTCTCATGTTTTTTTTAACTGCTACAGACAAGTTTTGAAATTTTTCAGCATTAAAAAAAAAAGAAGAAATTTTATGACTTTTTGAAAATGTTAAATTCAAGGAATTGAGTCTCTCCTATTTCAGTAGCCTTGCAAAACATCTCATAGTTATCTCAAAAGGTGCTTAAATTTAATCATAAAGATAAAACTAGCACAGACTGACATGTATTGAAGCTATACTATTCCAGCCATTTTCAATATATACCTTAAGTAAATTTCCCCAGTGTAAAAGAGTTTTATCACACACAACTCCATCATCCATAAGCATCATTTTAAAAGTTTGATTTTTTTTCCAAACCATTTATATGATCTATGCTAACACATAGTTTCCACAAACATTCACATTTTTACAAAGAAGTACACTTTCGTTTCTCGTCTTTTTAATCCATAAAAGTCGAACACAACATCCCATCCATTTAATATGTTTACATACAAATATACTGGGGAAAAATGAATCCACTTGATAATTTTATAGTTGTGACATAAATTTTAAAATTCCATTGTAATTTATATAAAATCAAAAGAAGACACAAGAGATCCTGTTACTTTTTGATAACACATAAGATTATTGATGCACAATTTTAACGCAAATTTTCCACTCGGATATATTGAAATCAAAGTAGGAAATAGTCCATTCACATGCATCATTAACACAGGAAATAAAGACAAAAAACAGCTAAATGCCTCGATCACAACATGGTTATTGGAGGAAAATAAAAGAGATGATTAATACTCATTATAATAAATTGTCAATCGTGGACATGACCCCCAAATAATGGACAACTTTACAGTGGATATTATTGACAGTGCTTACTGCCCAGAATAATCAGTAAAGAACTGTCAGTCCAGAAGGCCTAAGAACAACTGTGCCCAAAAATATGTGGGGAATAACATTAATGGTTCAGGAACATTTTATTTGAAGAAGACTCTTTTAATTCTGCATGAGTCATCATAATGCCTCATGCATCTCCAGTTTTTTTCGGGTGACAAATATTTTTTTTTTTTCATCTGAAGAAAGCTTTGATGGAGTAGTTCAGAATCACTAACAGGGAAATGATATCATTTTATACAAATTTTGATACTCTTAACCATAATAGTGAAACAAGAAAAAAAATTTTAAGAGTGCCAATACTTTAAAATAACTTTAAAAAAAAAATTACAGTCATAATAATAAATCCTATTTAATTTCTTGTCAAAAGGTTAAAAAGCAGGATTGAACAGATTTTACACAAGTTGACACCATGATAACATAACAGATTCTTCCAGTTTATGACCTAATCTTTATTTTCTTCCCTTTTTTATTTTGTTGATACCAGCTTGCTATTTGACCTTTAGATTTATCTGGACCCTGTCTTTATCCTGTTGCTTGTCAGCTTCCGTAGACAGAGCAATCAGCTGTCTGGCACTTCAAAATCCCACACACCATTAATTCTCTCAGTTTTAATTATCTTAGCTTACACATGAAAAAAAAAGTTTCCCCCCGAGTCGCTGAACCAGCACAAAGAACAGTACAAAACACAATCTCTTTTCTTTTTAAGTTTCCCAGGAATTCAAGACATATACATTGTATTACATGTATGAATTCTATACTAAAGCAGGGAATATGGCCATCTATAATCTTCCATCTATAATCTTCAAGTAAATCAGTGCTTCCTTAAAATTAATTTTGACAAAAGGAAGGATGCAGTTGAGAACATGAAGTGTTTTTGGGGGAAAACACATCTGAGAAGCTGCAGATGTGAATTGATTTTTCTCACAAAGATTGCCTGATAACCAAATAATACAATGATGTACCAATCTAAAAAGGGAAGTAAAAGAGAAAGAAAAAAAAAACATTTATCATAAAGATACCATCCCACATGTTCCAGGAAATAAGTAAAAAAAAAAAGTAGCAACATACCTGGATTTCTTTTAGGAGCTTTTGTTTCCTCTCTCGAATGGTTTCCAGAAGCTGTTGCTCTTCAGGTGTCAGATCTGTAACAACAAACATCCAGGAAGAATTACAAATAATTGCAGCCACTCAGTTCTACTGACCACAGTCAAGTTCTAGGCTTTTGAGCTCCCTGCTGACTCCCCCATCAGAACATGTCAATGATGAACACATGTAAACAATATATACTTCTTCTTTCCACAGTATGTGCAGGGCTTGCTACCCACTTAGTTAATCCACAAAAATGAGCACTCTGTTAGACAAATGTACACTTGGACCACCACACTCCAAATGATAAATTTTATGGGAGGCAAATACCTATTAATTATTTGCAAACATTTGGTCTATATATCTTGAAGCTGTAAAGTTTCCCATCAATTAGAAATCTAATACTTCAGCTTCTCCCGACAGCCACTGGATGAACATGGTGATACAACATGAAAACTTTGCTACCAAATGGCTAGAAATGAACTGAGAATCTACTGCTTTTTCTTAACAATCCATGAGAAATCTAGCATATGCTGGATTCATCAAAACAAGGCCCTCGAATCCTTTATCAGTGATATCATGATGAGTTACTGCTCCCTCTAACTAAACCCCCTCAATGCATTGTCTTAAATAACAGCATACATCTTTCTAGTTAAATAAGTAATTCAAGGCCTTCACAGTGGTAATTTCTATTTATATAACCAAATCAAAACATTCTTTTTCTAATCTTAGCAATACCTTGGTCTAAATTGTACAAATGAAACTACAGTTAACCCTGGTTATCTCAAACACCCATATCTCAAATAACAGGGAAATGTCCAAGTGAGCTGTGAGTCCCAATTACTTATTCTTTATGATTTTTACCCTGGCGATCTCGAACCAACGGATATCTCAAAGTTTAATTTTGGTTAATCTTACGTTCGAAATAACAAGGTTTGACTGTAGTTGAGAATGATTCTTACTTGTGAAAGTAGCAAAACTTGCTAAACTGAGAAATGCAATAGGAATCTCTGTTTATATATATATATATTTACTGAACTCCTTACTTACTGCCTAAAATCTGATGTAAATTAGCATGTTAGTAACTATGATCATGATGACAGCTTGTAACATGTTCTTCTTCATGACATTTACACATCAAAATAACATACATGTTAACTTAAATGTAACCATTTGGCAGAATATGGGAAATACTGTGAAAACAATATCTGTCCCTGACCTGACTTAATTAACACTTCATTTCCCTATTCTAACCCAAATCTCTAAGTCTTTTATATTACTGGTATATAAATGAGTTTAAATGTATATAAAAATTTAGAAAATCACTAAGTAATAATGAATTTACATATATTGTAAAAGTAATTTATAAACATGAACACAATTTACAATGCTGTATTCTTTTCAAAAAATATAGCAACATATATTTTTTTTTCCCCTTTTCTAAGACTTGAAATTGTTGTAAATTTGACAGTTTCTATATCAACTTACAATTCCATGTTTTAATATTATAATGTGCTAAGTTAACACAATAATTAAAGTTTCCTACGTTTTACCTTCACCTTCCTTCAGGTGTTACAGTAAACTATTCCTGTTGTATAAATCCTGTCTTTTCTATGTTATGTAGCATGTGAAAATTAAACATGTCACTCACAATACCCAGGCTAAAATTGTGAGGAAATTCTGGGAATAAAATGTTATTAGCGATGTCCAGGATAAAACATTTCAGGAAATGCTGAAAACAAACATGAAGTTTTTTCCCAATTTTCCTTCCTTCAAGTGTGACAACATTAACACTTTATGCATTGTGGAAGTTAATTGCTATTAAACCTGGACAAATGGGAACAATTTATTTCAATCCTAAATGTAGCGTTAGAAAATGTCAGAGGCTTCAGCATTCTAGACCATGAAAATTGTTGCTTTATACCAAGCAAATAAAAAATGACTTTGGACCCCACTAGAAAACTTGGATCCCACCATCACCACCATGAAATAGGAGTTTTTCACGTTTGGGAATTTTTTGTGTGTGTGTTTTTTTGTTTTGTTTTGTTTTTTTTTTTTTTGCTTGTCAATAAATTTTCTGGGTTTTAAATACGTTTCGGAAGGGAATTTATTTTTTTTCCTTGCTTGTCAAGAAATTATAATAAGGACCAGTATCTCATTTAAGTGAGCACCATGATTTAGTAGTCATTTTTTTAAGGCCAACTTGGGCCAAGATTAAAAATATGCCTGTTTTTTCCCAAAAATATATAATCAATTCTGTCTAGTCAATTACTTTAAAGTAGTACAAAACACCTGTGAAATCAGATTTAACTCATTTCTTCTAAAACATGCCTGAAAAAGGAATAAAATCACTCTAATGTTAACAATCAATTATCCTTGGAAGGAAAATATAAACTATGAATGATATGTATTTACAGTATTCTGTAGAAAAAAAAATTGAGACATCATATATTGGACATTCTCAATATGTAGGTGACTTGTGACAAAAAATGGTTGACTCAGTTGTACTCGAGCAACGAACGGCTGTAAAGTTTAACGTATATATTGGAAATTCCTTTGCAGTAGAATATAATTTGTACAAGGTTTATGAAGACCAAAGTCTTACCAGAAGTTCAATCATTAATTGGATTGATTATTTTACAGAAGGCAAGGAGATGGTTAAAAATGATGTTTGTTCTGTTGCCCAGCGGAAGCAAGCCGCAGAAAAGATGTGTCCTTAGATGCAATTTGTTATAAAAGATCGCCAAGTTATAATAAGAAAATAGTTGCATATCTTAACAATAGGTGTGAAACGATACACCTCCTTCATGGTTCAATATGTATTGTATAATTTTGTCTCAGTACGGTTATTTTCGATATGATACATTTTGATAGAAGGAAACAAATTCAACCTTGTTTTATGCTTTCTTTTACTAAATCTAGTCACTTAATTTACGAATTTTTATTTGCAAATTGACTAGAAGAAATTGATTAGAATTTTTTGACCGTCAAAAATTATTTTACAAACTATCAGTCATAAAAAATTTACGTTTTCTATACTTATTTATACTGAGTAACGTGTTTTACCTTATGCCAAACCCGACTGAATAACGATCCCAACCGAAAAATGAACCGAACCGAAAATTAAAGATTTTGCACCATGTATCAAACCGAGAAAAAATACCGTGGTAAATCGATACCGCGGTGAACCGTTTCACTCCTACTTAACAATAATATAATTATTAAATCCCTAAAATATCGTTTACTTTAGACATGAAACATAAGAGATATGATAAAAAGCGGTCGCCCATACTTTATCCACATTGAATAAACGACACTCCCGAGCCAGAGGACTCGAGTTTTGATGATCACCATGCTAATTCTGGGAAGGGATGTCCTTATCCACCAATCCAATTGCCAAGATTTGGCCATTTCTGACAGATGGACTGTTCTTGTTATAAAAAATAACTTCCATGGTAAGAAATATAAGACTCGGAAAAACCTTTTAGCTTCTGTGAACAGACCGCTACGGAGCATGTCACGTGACCGCCTGGATCACGTGATTCACGCATGGGCAGAACAATGGCAGATGTGCATTAAAATTGAAGAGGACTACTTTAAACAATAATGAGCTCTGAAACCTTACTTTATTTCTTTTAAGGAAGTAATTCAATTAGTTCTCGAACTTTTTGATCACCCCTCGTATTTTGTAAAATCAGTAAACACCTTTCCCTTTATGCGCCATCACATTTTCTGCCGTAGTTAGTTTTATTCAAATACAATTAAATACTATTTTGAATCATGAATATAAATTTTTGTTATTTTAGAAAAAAAAAAAAAAGGGGACAAGAAACAAAATTGCATAAAATATTTTTAATACCTTAGCATATGAAATAAACTACTTACACAGGGGCTGACAAATCCCATTGCCCGACTAGTGAATTTTAAGGGTGGGCAAGTGGAATTTTTCAACCACTTGCCCCTGGGCAAGTGACTTGGAAAAATAAAATCCATATGCAAGTCATATATCTAAAGCTTTGTGCAGGGGTTTGCATGATCTACTCAATATTTATATTCCATTTTTTAAATATATATATAAATATGATAATATATTGTTTATGAATGATGGGACAAGCAAATATTCAGGTAGGGCAAGTGAATTTTGACCATGCACTTGCCCTTGGACAAGTGCCTAAAAAAATCTGTTTGTCAGCCCCTGACGTACAGCCAGATAACCAGGTTAAATTCATTTGATGTAATGTACATGAATGAGATACATGTTCAATTCTGTAATGTTATGAAAGCCCATTAATTACACTGATTTCGTTAACATACTAAAAACAAAGTTGAAGGTCACATGTAAGTATTGAATGTGAAAAAGAATTCAGAGAGTAACAATTAGCACATTTTCCCCTTACAGTGATGGAGTTTGGGTTCGCAAGGATCTGTCTATTTCCCACATACAATTCCAGAACAGTTATTTTGCAGAACTACATAGTTAACTAAATTTGAATGTTTGCCAGCCTCAGTAGCTGAGACTCTTGTCCTCCAGACTGTATGACTGTATTAATCAAATTGGAGCAATCCATCTTGTACTATTAAATAATCGACTGTCAGTCATTATTAGTAATGTATCTGCTGATACCTTGAAGCTTTAACATTTGAGAAAGGGCCAGATGAGACATGAGTCTGTCAAAAAGGGATGGAATTGGAAGTACTACCTTATCATTTATATTTCATTTCTAACTTACAACTTTTAGAAATTACTTGATTTTGTCTCAGTCATCACCACACCCATCACATAATCTGATAATGGGTATTTTATTTACATTAAAATGTTTAATATGATTTCTGAAAATGGAGTTTTAATTTTTAAGTACAATGCAATGGTGATCCTCCCCTCTCCAGTTACCCTGGCCTGGATCGATTCAATTTCTTATGGAAAGCATCTAAAAATTGTACTCACCAGAGAGATCAAACATATTGCTGTTGGTGTTCGCCATTGGTTTTTGCACTGTTCACGTTAAATATCAAAAAGTAAATAATAAAAAGCCTAGGTGTTTCTTTCATTCAACTTCCTCTCACGGGCGCCATTAGTTATGCATGACTGGCCGGATATTTTCGGATTTTATCGTTGATATTTGCATTTTTCGAAGAAAATGCTTTTTTATGTTTTCCACATTTTTTATTTGAAAAATTAAACATTTGTTGTGAAGAAGATGGAAATATGCATATTTATTTTTTATTTTTTCCTTTCGGAACTACCTCTTGAGGCAACCTTCGGAATAGAAAGAACCCAAGAGGTTACGTGTGTCAAAATGGAGAAAAATTGAAGAATCTACGAAAACAGAAACGCCTCCCAAATTTCACAATGTTACTGGTTTTAGAACAGCTTAGGGTATGTTTCATTAGAACATCCTGTATTATATGATATGCTTGATTATATAAAAGAGAAATCAAAACAAACCTACTGTGCATATATTGAACTTTGGTAGATCACAAACCTGAATATTATCTGAATCATACATAGGCAGGAATTTTTAAAGTATATATTGATGATGTGATCCATTCCCTTTGAAGAAAATATTCACATAGTATAGTATTATATTTAAGAAGTTGAATTGACTAGCTTATGTGTCATTTGGTGCTATGTAAAAGGTACATACATGATATAATGAAATGACTTTAACATGTTTTACGATTAGCTGCAGAACTGTAGCTCTCTGCTTGAGAAAATTCGGACAAACAAAGCAGAGAGCTACAGATCCAAGCGTTGTAAAAACCTTCGATTTACGCCGCCGCTTTTTTGTTGCTCGCTTCGGTTATTATTTCTTGTATTTAATGCTTTAAAAGTGGTATCCAATAATTATCCATATATTTTACTCCAATTCCTGATGCTTTATTTACCTTTCGACGGTCTCAAACAGTCCTTTATGGTTTTGAAATGTCAGTTTAAAAAATTCCCATTCCGACGTCCATGTTATTGGGGGTTGTGCGAAAAGAAGTAATTCAAAGAACATATACTTGTCAAGAAAATGTAAATAAAAATTTCAGGAGGTTTAAATATCATGTATATTGTCTATAAAGATTAGAATACAACATGTATGTAAAAAAGAAATGAGATAGATAAAACCCGGGCGTGTTGTTTCAAGAGGACACCAACGTCGACGTCGGAATGCATTTTTGAAACTGATATTACGGCTGTCTGGAACTGTTGAAAGGTAAATAAAGTGTCAGGAATAGGAGTAAAATATATGGATAATTATTGGATACACTTTTAAAGCAGGGGAAAGCATTAAATACAAGAAATAATAGCCGAAGCGAGCGACAAAAAAGCGGCGGTGTAAATCGAAGGTTTTTACAGTGCTTGGATCTGTAGCTCTCTGCTTTGTCTGTCCGAATTTTCTCAAGCAGAGAGCTACAGTTCTGCAGCTAGTTTTACGATGTGACCGTTAAGGCCAGTTTACACGGTAATACCTGTCGTATACAACTTGTGGTTTACAACTTTTGTATTATATTCCTTATATGTCTACACGGTAAAACAGGTTTACATTCCACTCTATTGTTATTTAAACAAACAAAACGCTCCTTTGAAGAAGTACAGTTTTTTTTTCATTTTGTTAACATGGAAGAACAGGAAGAGGAAGATAGATATCTTTAATGTGCATTTTGATAATTTCATTTCCACTTGCTGTTGTGCCAGCAAAGAAGATCTAGAGGAAGGCCACGGGTCAGACAATGGATCGGGAGGGGAGTGATCACTATGGTGCATATCAGAACCACTTTTTCAATTCTAGAAAGAAGTATATGCGGTATATGCACATTTTTGCCCCCACAAAAGTCATATTTTGAAAATTTCTTGAAATGTATATATTGTGTGAGAAATCTAAATTAACAAAAAATATTATAGTTTCGAAGTAGATTATTGGCAACTTTTGTTTCTATGACGTCACAAACTATTCGGATTTTGTGTTATTTTTCAGAAAAAGGAAAAAATGGACAAAATTTGTTCAATTTTTACTATAAAATTTATAGAGCGCAGGCCTGCTCAAGAACAATATTTACATATTTCATTGATATTATCATTCTACACATTATATCAAAATATTGAGTTGGAGCAGACCTGCGCTCGGTGATTTTTACTCAAATTATCGACGTAATATACACTTTTTCTGTATAAATCATTGAAATTTTGAATTTACGTCATCTTTCTGACGTCATATTTAACATATGGCGTCATGGCTTATGAAAATATTCAGTGCTTTGAAGTCTGCAGATATCCCCCTGTTTTAAAACATAATTATATATTTCTCCGCCAAAGTTTGATTTTGGGGGCAAATATTGGTCATTACCAAATATATTCCTTTTCTGCGAATAGATATATGGCAGATTTTGATGATCTTCTGGACGTAGTATCCCCGGCCATTTATAAAGAAGCAGGACACATGAATGAGAAATTCAATTTCAGCAGCAGAAGGATTTACTCTTACACTGCGTAAATCTTTTGACCACCGGTCAAATATAAAATAAATCGTCTATTTGAAATATATTTAAGAAGGAATGCTACACCAAAATTTATTTGATGGATCTTCAAAACATCCATTTTAAACTAAGATTTTAGCATTGAAAGATTGATATTCGCTCTTAATTATTTGATGCGATTTGTTTCAAATTTATTCAGCGAAAATGTTAAAAAAAATTACATTTTAAATTTGAACAAGCCATAACGTATAAAAATGTTGAAGTATTCTTTTAAAATATTGAATTGGTCAGTAGAGCATAAATAGATCACCCAAATCCCAGACCACTGATAGGCTAAAGATAGAGAGTCTCATACGACTTGCTGTACAGAATAGAGACACGCTCTATTCGAACGCGTGGAATATATGACTCCGGGAAGGTTTAAATTCCGTATAATAGCCCCGTACACACGGTAGCATTTTGATGTATATGACAAGGTTTATACAGCTTGCTTTACCGTGTAAACCGGCCTTTAGGGTAAGCGCAGTTGTACCATCAAAAACCTTTACACAGCTTACACTTGTAACAGTGCAACTTTGGTCCACCTCTTTAAACTTTAAACCACACAAGATACAGTCTAGGCTATGACGTTGTATGTAAGTTGCATTTCCCTGAAACAGAGTCTAAATGGGCTTTGTAAGTTCATTTCATGGTAGAGTAGATGCAATTTTGTTTTGTTTCTTTTAAGCTCTGCAAGAACTAAATCTTTACGATAACTGTGGGCCTGTTACATTTGCCATTATCACATGGCATGCTGGTAGCAAAGAAATTCTTGGAAGGTACACAAAAATTTGCCTGATGGATATACAGATTGCAATTCAAATTTTCTCTGTTCTTACATGTTAATCTGTTGATCTCACTGCACTCACTTATAAATGCTGTGGACCAAACCCGGCCCCATCAACCCCAAACAGGTGCTATACAACTTTAGCTATCTGGCCACTGGTGATCAAACCTCCATAACTGCTCATTCTTAAATCCCCCCTTCCCTAAGACACCAACTCAGGCTATATCATGGCAGGACTTTCACTGACACTTCTAGGTGAACATAGTCATGGCACTTCATGTCATAGGAATTTAGAAAATGCAATGGACCAGATGGGAGAATGGATTTCTCAATTTTGGGCCTCCAAATTTTAGACCTCTACCAACTGAGCTATCTGACCACCGGCAAAAGAACCTGCCGGACTGCCACATTAATGTCTAAGTTGGTGAATACACATATATATGTATATATATCACAAATTTAACCAACCAAAAGTTTAGAGTTTCCATCACACATTTTAGTGATTAAACCTGTTTGTAATAGAGTTGCTGATCTCTGCTATTTATGTGTGGAGTATTTATGCATATCTGATATATTATTTTGTATGGTGTATTTCATGTGTATTTCGTTGCCCGACCTCACTGCTCAGAATCCTGAACAATTGATATCGAAGAAAAATTAGACTTAATCAGACCAGAACCGGTAGCTTCCAATCACTATCAACATGATTAATACATAACATGCTATATGTATTGCAAGCTATTCATACATTTCAACATTTTGAACATTATTTATAGATTACATGTAATAGAACATGTTATTGGCCTGCAACTGATTTAATCTTTTCACAAATGATATGACATTACATTTAAATTTCAAAAATGAGTTTCCTTATTTATGCAGGTGTTGTTGGGCACTTACATTTTAGCTTACTTATACAATAGAAATTATATCACATTGAATATACCAGGAAATTTTTAGTACTCCTTCCCTTAAATTCCTTTGTCAATGACATGAAAGCACTGTTAAATTGCAGACCTGTTAACAAGTTTTGTTAGTTTCAGTTTATGTCTTTTTCTTGTTTGTTTACTTTGCTCATTGTTAGTCACTGTGAATTTTAGTTATGGATATAACTTTGGTTTGTTTTGCTAATCTTTAGAAGTATGCAAACTACAGTTTCTGTATTTGAACAATGTAAAGAATAAAATCATGTTTGTTTGCAAATTTTTTGTTCTTAAAAAATCACAAGTAATTAGGATAAAGTAGCATATAAATATTAGTAAACTTATTAACTAACAATGAAATAAGAAAAAAATAAATAAGAATAAACTGTGTATTTGGGCTGAATAACTTATGTTAATTTTGTTTGTGTTTGTTTTAACACAAAATAATATTTTAAATTCTGATGCTTGTTATTTTGATGGTTAAGAAATGTTTGTTATTAAGCAAGTTTTTCTCTTCCCAGATAAATCCACCATGACCTGAACAATGTTAGATATAGCAGTGCTGGCTGGGATTTGTCTGAGCTTTGCCTCAGTCCTGCTTGTCTTTGGATGTATTTGCCAGCTGTTCAAAAAGTCATCTCATGAATTTTCAGTAAGTTTTTCACAACTCATGGTCATTTTTGGCCATGTATAGTCTACATTAAAAGCCATTCACAAGGTTTTTGCCTTAAAAATGTGTCTCCATCACAAATGCAGGGAATTTTATGAAACATATAAATGCATACACTTATATGTACTTGTATAAAGTCTAATTTTAGCTTTATTTTGTTTGATATAAGATATTCACATGAAAAATTATAAAAAAAATACTGGTAATGATATTTGTCTTTTCATTGATAACTTGGTACATTGTTATTATTTATTCCAGACTTTTGAAAATGATGTTGAGGCAGGCCATGGCCAGGGATTGTCCATATTTTCTACCCAGAATGCAGTTGCCGAGACTTCAGAGGTCAGTCAGGTTACATTTGAGCCGTTGCCAGATATACTCGCCAAAACTGTGTCAGCTACAGCACTTCGGCCAAGAATCTCAAGCATTGAAAAAGAACAGCAAAGGATCTCTGCTAAACACATCAGTAATAATGATTTTATGATTTTAGTCTTCATAAACAATCAATAATAGGCATACATTTCTCGATTTTAGCTTTAACTGATTGCATATGCATGTAAATTGTATTTCAGAATTAAAACAAACTAAACTTTTTAAATATATGTTATAACATACATGATTGAATTATATAATCAACTTTTCTATCATTTCATACATAGCAGTGTACAGACCATTTCCTCGCAGCAATCTTCTGTATGTGAAAGAGATTGGTATAGGTTGGTTTGGTCAGGTAAGATTATTTAGAATCAGCATAATTTTTAGTTCACCTGAGCCGAAGGCTCAAGTGAGCTTTTCTGGTTGAAATTTGTCCATTGTCTGCCGTTGTCTTTATAATCTTTTCACATTTTCATCTTCTCAAGAACCACTGGGCCATTTTCAACCAACTTGCCACAAAGTATTCTTGGGTAAAGGGGATTCAATTTGTTCAAATGAAGAGCCACACCTTCTTCGAAGGGGAGATAATTACGAATTTGTTAAAAATTAATGGCATCATTTAAAACTCTTCTTCTCAAGAACCACTGTGCTAGAAAATATGAGACATATATATATGTCAATGGAATACAGTTAAAATCATTTGCCCAGTCAGATAAAGCGTATCATATCAGACCTCCTGCAAGGCTGTCAATAGAGAAAATTTTATGTGTCCATCTAATAAATCATCTGAATACAACATATGAAACACTAAAGATGGGGTTTTGGTTAAAGAGACGAGTAGGAGAACATTTCCCCGACAAAGTGGTTGCAAAAATATGATAGGTAACACTGTTAGTACCTTGGAAATCAGCCTCGAAGCGCGGAACCCCTTGTTTGTTTATAATTTTTATTTCTTACCTTTTGTATTTTTATGATACTATATATGGCCAATTTTTAAACCTTATCACAGTACAAACCAATTGCACAGAATAACGTACAGATAGAATTGTTTTAAGGAAAGAATGGTACAAGGCATCGTCGGATACCCACAGGTGATCTCGTCTTTTACTTATCTGATAAGTAAATGACGAGATCACCCATGGGTATCCGACGATGGGTACAAGGCTGACAATGGGTGGCTTCATGTCCTGTGTAGATACTCATTTCTTATTCACATGCTTGTTTAAATAAAATACAGTGTTAAAATGAAAATCACATGCACAGCTCTTGATATGATGTGTCATGAAATGGAAAGACTGTGTGATCAATAAGAAAATTACTTGAATATTTTTGTTTATTGAATTTTTTCTGAAAGATTTCCTAGTTTATATGTCATATGATGATGAAGGATTATACATGTACATTGTTTTATATTGTAGGTGTTACTTGGAGATGCCGAGAAAATTAATGTCAATTCTAAAAAGACTAGAGTGGTTGTCAAACTACTGAAGGATGATGCTACAAGTTCTGAACAACAGCTGTTCTTAGAGGAAGTTGCTGCTTATAGGTAATAATTATCAGTTGGGTACATGAACACACATTATTCATGTAAATAGATTGAATGTTGTTGAAGATGTAGAAAGTTTTTTGGCCGATTCCATTTTATACATTCCAGAATATGGAAAAAAGTCAAAATTTTATTGGTAATGATCAATTTGATTTTAAAATTCTTGGTAAATACATAGTAGATTCATAAACATTTTCAGAAAAGATGCAATTATTATGTGGACTGTGGCTTCTCTTTCAATTCATTTGCACATATCTGTAAACAAAGTCCATCCTTTCCCACTGATCTAATGAAAAAAAATTTTGTTTGATTTGAAACAAAATTTTTTTTTTTAATTTGAAATTTTTTTTTTGGGAAAAAAATATTTTGTTTGTCTTGAAACAAAGTTCTTTTTTAATTTGAAGTTGTTTTTTTTTTTTTTTTTTTTTTCAGGGAAAGAAATGTTTTGTTTGATTGGAAAAGAAATTCTTTTTTAAATTGAATTTTTTTTTCAGGGAAATTGAGCATCCAAATGTGCTTCAACTCCTTGGCCAGTGTACAGAGTCAGCACCATTCCTAGTCATCCTGGAGCAAGCACCATTTGTAAGATCATCTTATTTCAAGCACAACAAAATTTTAAAGATTCATTTTCTTCAAAATTGAATGAAATTGCCAAGTTTAGGATATCACTTATGACTGTTGCATTTATTTCCACATGCTAAAAAGTTAAATTTTCATTTACTGGTAATTAAATTTTTTCTGCTTGTAAACATTCCATATTGAAATTCTATTCTTATTTTAAAGGGAGATGTAAAGTCGTACTTGAAGAGATGTCTTCCAGAACGAGAATCATTTATAAAGCGGGGTATGCCCCTGAGGTTTATCATAGACATGGCCTCCGGACTGGCCTCTCTACACAGACATGACTACCTACACCAGTGAGTAAAATTAATTTAAAAAATATTAAATCAATTGTGAAATTTGGTATTAACTTTAATATTTCGAATACCATGGATATGTCTAAGTGAGTTAAAAGTCCCAACTACTCCTTCTTTAAATGTTTTTTAACCTTGGTATCGAGAATCATCGGATATCCTGTAGTTTTTCTTGGTCTCATCAAGTTAGGACAGGTTTGACTGTATGTTTTCAACACAATGGTAATGTAAGTGTATTAGCAGTTCCAATACACACAAACAGGGTATAAATCCAGTAAAATGTATGACTCTTTAACTGATGTTTTACTGATTTGAGATCAACTGTAGCATTGCCACACAAAATGAAACAAAGGTTTTAAAAATCAAAAAAGAAAATAAGGCTAATTTTTTTATGTTGTGCAGAACAAGTGTATATAAACACTATATTCAGTTGTTGTCAAATAATTTTGTTTTGTTTACAGTGATTTTTCCTGTCGTAACTGTTTGGTCATGTCTGATCTGTCAGTGAAGGTTGGGGACTATGGAGTGGCAGAAGATCACTATAGGGTTGGTGTTTGAAACATCCCTATTTATTGAAATATTATTGATTGTGAAATGAAATATAAAAAAAAAAAATCTTGAGATGGGGATGAAATAACTTTTGCAGATATACATTATTTCTCTGCATTTGAACCTTCTCACACACAATGATTTATTCTTAATCAGTAGAAAAAGGAAATAGTGACAAATACATGTAATTACTAGACTCATCATGTTATGTATAAAAAAAAATGTATGTAACACACATGCATACATTTATTTTTGAAATTGAAAATTTTTGGTACAGGAGGATTATTATGACACAGGACAGAATCTGCTTCCCATCCGCTGGATGGCACCGGACACCCTGGAATTACAGGACCTCATCTGGCAAGTTACACAGTTCTCCAGGGAATCCAATATATGGTAGGTACTTCAGGATAAGAAGTAATGCTACAATGGTATTGCGTGGGCTCTGTTTTTAGAATAATTTAACAGAATATTTTGTGTATGTCATAGAATGATCGTAGACTGTGATATCAATTCTTGAAAGTAAATCTGGAATTTCATGGCCTGGGTATAAACTGGGTATATATATATTTACATAAATCTGCTCTTTGTTTTTTAGGTCATTTGGAGTTGCAATATGGGAAGTTTTAGAATTTGGAGAGAAGCCTTACCATTTCATGTCAGATGAAGAAGTTTTACAGAAGGTCATCAAACTGAAAGTGGTGGGTCTTACCACAGCCCCGTCAGAGGACCAGAAAGATTTGTATGTCCACGGAGAAGCCATATTAAACTAATTCTTAATATATGTTTTCTAATGAAGTAAAAGACAAAAATAGAATACATCTGTTTGAAATCAATCCATGTCTATTTATTTCTGCAAATGAGGAAATATTGTGCGTAAATACTGTAGATTCTTATATATACACAAGGAATTTATTTGCAAATGAAAGTTCGTTTACAGAAGCCTCTTTTAATTGAAAAAATTATTTCTAGTGTTTGTTTGAATATAATAAGCAAAACAAAATTTTCAATGTTATACAGGTCTGACCTTATTCCTATTTGTTGTGCTGGAGAGCCTCCAAGTTTAGAGGACATTCACTCACGTCTGCTTGAGATTCAAAAAAACAGACAAGATCATCGTGCCAGTCTGGAGAGTGAATTTGACTCAAAATGGGAGCAGGCCCCCACAAAAGTGGAGCCAAAGGTTGTAAATGTTCAAAAAGACATTCCTCCTGAGCCTTCAGAAGCCAAAGATGTCCAGAATATGGCAGCTAGTCCCAAATCACATTCATCTCTGTCATCACCTTCCATTGTTAATGTTATAGCAGACGTTCACCTTCCACCAAAAGATCATTTGATGAAAACAGATCTTCATTCAGCTGAGTCAGATTCTTCAAATATACCCATAGTTAGTGAAAGTACATGTGTATCTAAACCTGTGAGTGCAGTTACTCGTCCTGTAAATGTGCCATTGAAAACTGAAGAAGTGGAGGATGTCATAATGAATGGCCATGTGGTCGAGGAAATGGAGAAGCCCTCTGATGCCAATTCTGTTCAAACAATTTCTAATGAGAGAATGAAAGAGGTGGAAAAGCCTCCTGTGAAACAAATGCCTACAGATAATAGTGTAAATGTAGAAGAATCTTTTGATATTTTGGGGGGAAATTGTGATATTCAAGTAGAAAGTATGACAAATTTTCAATCTCCCCTGCCAACACTTAACTCCCCTCTCAAAATAAGGAGTTCTGATTATTTAACAAGTACCCCGGTAGAAAAAAAGGAAATGTCTGATGAAGTCCTACATTCAGAAGATCCAGAAATCCAAATGGAAGAGAATCAGGAAATTGAAGTGGAGATGAGGAAGAAAGTGTGTGATGGAAGTGAAAGTCCCACTGGAAGGGGAAGGAAACCTGTAAAAGCCATGATACCCAGAGCATTATCTGATGAGATGGAGGATGATGAGAGTATAGGACGTTACTCTGCTGCTGACATAGATAAAGCTTTAGACTTTATGAATGAGAGTGAGGGTAAGGATAGTGTTCTAGAGGCCCAAAACGAGAGGGATTCCGTGAGTTCTGCCATTGAGGATGACATCGATGAGGAGGAAGATAAACTGAAGTTGCTCAGAATGACAATTGCTAGTGCTCTGGGGCAAAAGGAAGATGAATCTCAGGTTGATGAGGGTGGTCATAGCAGTGACACAGAAAACCCATTCATGGATGATTTAGATATTGCTAAGGAAATCTACAGGTCAAAAGGGACAACTATTCCTCCTACAAATCATACAACATCGAGGACCTTAAATACAATTCCAGAGGATGGCATTCCTGTAGAAGACAATTTGGTAGAGACTGCCAGCAATGCCAATACAAATTCCACAAAATCCAGTCCCATAAAAAAAGCTTTAAAATTTAATCCCTTTGATGAGTCCATTTTTTCGAATTCAGCACAAGACACTTTCGAGTGGGATGATTACATAGGAGATGAGCTTGTGGGGAAAGTGAATGATGATGACTTCCAGGATTCCCCAAGGCAGTCCATGGAGTTTCCCGATTGGACTTTAGAAATGGATGCTTCATCCAGTTCTGGAAATGAATCATTAAATCATTCCAAACCAGGAAGTGAGGCTTCCGACAGTCGTCCTGGAAGTCGAGCTAGCAATCATTTGTCAACCTCTGAATCAGAGGTAAAAAGTCCGGTCGGATTAGCTGCTCGCTCCTATGTCAAAGATCTCCTATCTAAAAAACGCTCAAGTGCTTCGCCATCTCTCTCCTCTTACATATCTGATAAATCCTCTTTCTATGCTTTATCTCACAATTATGACTTAGATTCGTCTGAGCATGTCACCTCAGACTCCGAACTATCCAATTCTCCGGTCAGCATATCCAATGGAGATGGTGCATTTATAGAGGAATGGGATCTTGTTTAATCCAAGACTGATATATCTTTATAATCACATAATCAGGTAACTAAGCTATTAATACACTCTGCATGTGCTCATATTTTCTTTGTTTCAAAGTTTGAATCTATCTGGGTTTTGTATAGATTTTTCATTAGGCTTTGCTTGAAGTCTAACAACATTTTTTTCTTATTGTTCTTGGCTTATGTAACTGTTATGTGAAATTTGGTATTTCGCACAAGAACTTGGAATTTTTTTTTGCTTTATTCCTGGAAAATTACATTTAACTGTTTAAGATAAAAGATTAATTTCTAATGCACATTTGTGTAAAAGGTGGTGTTTTCTGAGTTTAGTTTGAGCACAGTGCAGGTGTGTACAACTAGATTATCATCCTATTTACTGGTACTGTGATAAAATTTTATAAAAATTTTAACATTTATACATACATGTACCTATACTTGTACTAGTATTGTAAATGCATGAAAGAATAGATATGAATAGATAAATTTAGCATGCTAAATTTGTACCTGAAATGTATATATATGCAGAAGTGCATCTTGTAATATTAGTAGATGCTATGAATGAACATATGCCCTAATCTATTAAAGTTTACTATTGATTATGTAATCCTTTACTTACCTTTTGGATTAATTACTGGGACCTTTAGCCCTTACCTTTAGGCATAATTAAGAGTAATCATGGCAGTTGTAAGCTACATATAACATTGTCAAGTGTAAATAGAAATTAGCTATGAAATTTGTATATATATCTAGTAATTTATGTGTAGAGGATATTTTTCTACAGAATGAAAAATTTTATTCAGTAGGTATCAAAAAAAGAGGTAATAAAATACATAATTAATTTTGATGGTAAAATCACATGAAATATCTTGAGTAAAATATGGAAAGTGCATAAACCATAGAGGTAAATTTCTTCCAGATGCTTGAAATCTCCAACAAAATTAAGACAGTATTCCTTTTCACATTGTAGGACTCTGATGAGGACCAAGACATTGATCTCAGCACTAGTACTCTACAAAACACGGTCAGAGAGGAGGACAGTACCTTAGTAGCAGATGACCAAGTCGTGCCTCAGCTGTCAGAGGATATGCATGACTGCACAACTATTCCAGAGAAAAATTCCACAGAGAATTCAGAGGAATTAGGAGAGGAAGAGGTCAAAGGTCAATTGCAATCTGAAGCAACTTCTAGCATTCCTGTTTTAGAGAGCCAAGGGGCTGACATAGAAAAACAAAAGCTTTAGATTCTAAAAGTTATATTAAAGGAAATCTGTCGAGTATTTGTAGATATTTACCTGTGGATTTCCTCATGAACAAAAAAATTACTTTCATGTAAAATGAAAGAGATTTAGACTTTGAAGTCACATTTACTAATGGGCGAATTTTTTTTACAGCTGTCACAAATTAAATATTATTTGACCTGTATGTAAAGATGGATTCGGAACATCTTATTTTAATTAGATCAGTATAGATGTGGTATTTATAAATATTCATGATGCTAGCCAGAATACAGAGTTCCACTTTATTATTTATTTAAGATTTTTTGCTTAAAATGTACTTATCATGTTATTTTTTAAGCCTAAAACTGAGATTTTATTTTATATATTTCTAAGATAAAGGAACTTTACTAGCAAATTTAATTTGATTATGTGACAGAAAGACTTGTGGAAATTATATTCAATGGTGTAGGTCTGGAAAAAAAAACACAGGTGGTGCTGCCATTTAAGCGAAAGTGTTTTTATAAAGTGCTTAACTATGATACCTGTGAAAAAAGGAGATTATGGTATTGCATTTTTTTAAGTGCTGCATTATTGAGAGTTGGCAGTTTGAAGTATTTTCTTGTGTAATATATACATATATCAACAAATAATTTTTTAATCTTTGTTATTGCTAACTTAAATTTGTATGTATGATTATACCTCTGTGCAATAATTATTTTCTTATCTACTCTAGTCTGTGTAGAATTTGGGCTTAGGATATCAATAATTTAGTATTTTAAATTAATTATAAAGTATTAAGCATATCTGAAATTTGCATTAAGTGTAACAATGCAGTTTTTTATGTTAAAATTATTCTTAGCTTCAGCTCTTTTAAGTTTATGCTGTAACTTTAAGTATAGGAAGTTTAATATTAATCAATTTGTAATTGCAAATCCATTTCACATTAACACATATCAGTATTGTTGATTTGTCATATATTTACAAAAGAGTTTTCATTTTTTTTTATATGATGTTTTCATGGACAAATGGTTCTGAAAGAATAATAATTTTGTACAGGTTTATCATGCATTGTGCTTTTGAATAAATTAATATTTTTATGCATTTTTAAAGCTTTGATTTATTTGGGAAAAAATACCTAGGTGTTATATACATGTGTAGTTTTTTAAAATTTCAATGACCCAGTCCTCAAATTTATATTCATTCTATAGCCTGGTGCATTTTATCTAAAACAAGACCTAATACAGATGTTTGCTCAGAAATACCTGTATAAACAAAAACATAGGTAGTCAAAGATTTCACATCAGTGACTTTTATCTTTGTAAGGCAAAGTCACATATCAAATGTTCTGGTAGTGTGCAACATTTATGGAAGTTTGGTCTGGGTAGGATTTTTACTTAGGAATGGATTTACTCCAAAAACTTTTTTCTATGCATTCATATGGAAAATGTAAGATTCAGCATCTGAAGCAAGTCTGGTAGTGTGCAACCTTGGATGCATCAACCATACAAGTCTGGTAGCATGGGGCTTAAAGGAATAAATTGCAATCTGGTCTTTCATCCAGGAAAATAGAAGTCAATGCAAGTATGGTATTTTCATTCCTACATGAATCTTCCATGCAGGTTTGGTCCAGGTAGGGCTTATAGTTACTTTGGAATGGACCTGCTCAAAACTTTAACCTGGACACTCATTCTCAACATGTAGGTCAGATCCAGCATCCGAAGCAAGTCTGGTAGTGTACATCCCTACAAGTTTGGTCCAGGTAGGGCTTATAGATCCTGCTCCAAAAAATCTCATCCTGTTTGGCTGAGAATGCAGCATTTGAAACCTGAATGGTACAATGAAACATAACTTACTAGATGCATCATCCAGGCCACTATGGATCAATACAGGGCATAGAAATACTTGGAAAGAAAACTGGTCTGAATAGGTGTGATAAAAGCAAAAATAACAATGGGCAAAATACAGTATTCTAACATTCAAATCTTGCATACCATAGGTTGAGATCAGATATAATCTAACATTTTATATTAACCTTGAACTTTGAAGTAATATTTTAATCAAGGCACATAATGAGATTTAAATTACTTCAATCACAGGTTTAGTCAAGATAGTCAGATATAGACAGATATTTGCTGTAAAAATTTCCCAATTTGCAAAGGGAGCCTTGACAGAATGAGTTGGATATCTGTTTTAATGCACATTTAATGATGTAATGACAACAGGGATAATTAATTCAGTCACATATCAAGTTTTTATTAAACAAATTATTGTTACATACCATAATTCTGAATACCTGGATAAGAGATAAAGAAATATTGCACTGACATTTTTATTTGAGCAGCAGATTCTCTCTCTCCCTCTCTCTCTTTTTCTCAACATAATTATAAATGCTGGTAGCGAAAGAAAATAATATAAATGCAACTTTATGAAGAAAGCACTAATTTCTACAAAAATGGGAAAATGAATGAAAGCTTAAATAATTACTTACATGTATAAAGTACATGTACATGACTACACTTAGATATTACACTGTACTTTGATATAAACATGTTATTTTTGGGTTGACACCATTTGAATATTGTCACCTTACTGATTTTGGGCAATCGTGCACAAAAGATGACACTTCTGTTGTGAATGGCTGCTCCATTTGGAAATGTCCTCAGTTTTGTCACAAACAGTAAGTAGTATTGCTGATAGAGATAAATATATAATAATTCCCAATAGTCCAGAAAATCAAAGGGGTATCATCACACAGAACATTGAATTTTCTTTGGCTTATTACACAAAACATCTCCTATTTAGCAATATACCCTAACAATTTAACATGTTCTCTGTATATGTAATACACTTGTAATAATTGATATGTATTCATTAAAAGCTGAACAATTGAAGATTCTATAAAGCCCCTTGCTTTCCCTCTCTTTTCCAAATGATGACCAGTCCCTGTTCATCACAGGAAGCTAACAAACTCTCATCACAGTTGAAGCAGACGTCAAGCACTGGAGCGGAATGACCCAGAAGTTTATTCACACATGGCTTGCTGTCCTTTCCAATATCAAAGAAGTACACACACATATCCTCACTTCCAGATACTGCAAAACAATTTATTTGGATACAACATACATAATTTTAAAGAGTGTAATAATAAAATATATTTTTTTTATTAAAAGAAAAATAAGTAATATCAGGTGCCTGTGGTTTTATTGTACATGTTTGTGTACTAAGATTATTCTCGACACAAATATGTTATAGTGATAAATTCTTCAATTTTAATGAAATGCATTCATCAGATTTGATTTTTGAAAGCCAGTAAGTTAATCTTATCCTTTCAAAAGTTTTAATTTAGGCATGCAGTGTTATTTTTGATGTACATACATGTAGTTTACAATAAAATCTCAATAGAGAATGTCCATACATGAATGTACATGTAGCAAGTTATGTCTATCATTTTTTTTTCCTGGGACAGTAGCATTGTATATATTTACAAAACATAATTTTTATACATCCTCCATATGTTAGGTACTTAAACTTACTTTTTTTATAACTGAAGAATACTTCATTTTCTCATCAGAGCAATCTTGTAAAATTATTCATTACTAATGTTCATGCAAATAAAATGAATCTAATGAGTTTTAAAGTCTATTCATTCAAGCGTGACCAATAAGACACTTACTGACACAGGCTCCCTGTCGGAAAGACATGAGGGGACAGAATGTACTCCTAATGTGAGATCTTTTCTGTTTTACTGGGAAAGTTTTCTTTAGTTGTAGTCCACCATCATCTGTGATGATTCTGCAGAATAAAAATGGGATAATTAATCAAATTATGACTTCTTATAATCTCATGATTTTAGCAGTAATCATATTTAAGTGCCTTTCATACTGCTTCTTGTTTGCTTGTCAAGTAAATTAGTATACACTAATATATATGATTAAAATGAATACAGGTCATTTGTAAGGCTATAATGTGATAATTTAGGATAGCACTAATCTATTGGTGAGGAAGAGTCTGCAAAATTTTGATTGCGCTAATTTATGTATGTTCATAGTAATCAAGTCTCTTAAACATAGATACATCAGTTATATACACATTCACCTGTCACTGATAAAATCCTCAACTCACCTGAACAGACACATTGCATTGATACAGGAGTTGATTAGAAGAGAGGGGTCCCTGGCCTCTCTGCTGATCCAGGCCCGGGCAGAGATGCTGGTAATGGGGTGACCTTCTGATACTGTAATCCTAAAAATAGAAACAGCTATTCTTGGTACACCTTATAAAAATACTTGAAGGGGTGACCCTGATGTTGTGGTGAAAAGAAAAATATCTAATCACAAGAGCTAAATTTCCTCATGAATGCTAAAGGTCATACTGAACTTTTGAGTTACAGTCCACAATTTGTGTATTGATCCAAAAAATAAAGGCATTTAAAATAAATCAAAACGTAATAATGTAACATAATGACAAGACCCAAGCTACTCAGAGTCACAAAAGTCATTTTGGAAACATTCTGAAAAGTAGCAGCACTTTTCTTTGACCACATTGAAAGGATTACAGAGGTTTTTAAGACTTAATGCTTATAGATGCCTGGTGAACAAAAACTTAGAGCATTAAAAGTCATTTGGAACTTTCAGTATAATTGAATTTAAATTGCAATGAATCAATTGCTTATCTGAATTGTGCTATAGTGCATTGTTTAGATTATTTGTAAGTAAAGAAGTAGATTTTAAATAATTGGTATTCAGTCATCCAGTTATCTTGGTTTGTAAAAAAAAAAAATATGTGTATATAAGTGGGAAACATTTGTATACAATGATAAAGTTTCCCACTGCATTTGTACTTCTATGCTTTATCAAACATTTGTACACAATGATAAAGTTTACCAATGCTTTAATAATTCTACACCTTATCAGAAAAAAATCCTGTTATTACCTCCTTGTCTTTGTTAATTTTCCAGTAGCTATGTCTATTGTGAATGAAAATATAGATCCTCTGTTATCCCCTGCCCATAAAATCCGTCCTGTGGGGTCAAAAGTAAGAGCTGTAACTCTGCCAGTTATTTTGCTGCTACCACCCTTAAATAATAAATATTTTCAATGACAAGGTATACTACTGATATTCTATTCTAAATGCTGATGCTTAAAAGAATCAAAATTATGTTGGTACAAAACAAATGCCTCAGGCTGCAGAAAAATAAAAAAAATATTGAATCTGTTCCTCATCAACACACAACCATACACAATAATCAAGTCAATGCCTGCAGGTGAAATTAACAACAAATTTAATAACAGGAGTAGTTTTCTATCAAACTGTCTAAATTAGATATATGTAATTCAGTTAAAACAAAATACCACCCAACCAAAACAAATATAATTCCTATAAACAGAAATCAATCAGAGAGTAGCCCCATTTGTTCTTTTGAATATCATGGCTTTGAAAGAAAAATCATGGACTATATATCATTACACAGGAAGTCTGATTTATGACGTTATGTTTATTCTTGCACCCAATTTCACACTATGACATTTACATACAATGAAGATCTGAGATTTTCTCTGTTTTAACTGTAACTTTCTCTTTAATTAAGGGTACCGTATATACTCGCCTATAAGTCGGTCCGACTATAAGTCGGTTGTATTTTTTAAGCTTATATTAGAGGGCTTGAAACTCTAAAATACCAATCTTTTTATAACTCGCCTATAAGTCGGACATAGAGTTTTGGACCAAAATTTAACTCCCAAAAAAACGACTTATAGGCGAGTATATACGGTACTCTACCTTAACTCCTTTTCCAGTTGAGACATTGATTACTTGGACCATGTGTTTACTGTTGCCAGTCTGGTAAATGTGTTAAGATCAATAACTAAACAAGATCTTTTTGTGAAATATTGATGCCCCTGTATGGCAGCTCATGGCAAAGGTTAAAGTCTTACAAAAATAGGTCAAACTCCAAGGTCAAGGTAAAAACTGTTGGTACTCAAAGAAAGGTTTTGAGAAAAAAGTACCAAAGTTATTCTGAATATTGTAACTAGAGTTGTGTTGTTAAAAAATGTAAAAAAGACTCTAGTTGAAGAGCAACTGAGGAAGTTTCCAAGTCTTTGTAAATTGTAAAGTGCATAAAATCCAAAAAAAGGATACAACAAACATATTGTTGTTGAGAGGTTGGAAAGCACAACAGAGGAGTTCTCCCCCTTGTTCATCTTCAATAGTCCTGATGCAACTTCCTGCTGCCACATCCCAGATCTTAGCAGTGCCATCTAGTGACACACTTAAAATGATGTCATTGGATAAAGACCACACAAAGTCTACAAGAAAATTGATATGCAGTGAAAGAGCCAGTCAAATGGAAGCAGATATCTATTTATACTAGATGTACTATTTAAATCAAATATTAAACACAAAAGTAGAAATAACTGATCATGTAGACTACCTCTGACCCCAGCCTTATGTCCCCTCAACATACAGATGACTGTGGCTGGAGGGGGAATCACCTGACATATAGAGAGGGTTCCATCCAAAGAGGAGCAGGCCACACGAGATCTGTCATCATTGGCAAACTTTACACTGCTCACTAAAAACAAAAAAACCCATCCAGTTATTACTTTGTTTTTGGCTTTTTTTTCAGCTGAAATTGAAAGCGAAACAAAGCTGCCACAAGCAGACATGGGTCCTATTATTTTAACTTTAGTATTCAAAAGTACTTGATTAATCTCGCTATATCTGTGCACTTTTTATATATTATAAGTCAATTTAAAACATTACATGTAAACCATGATCACATCTGATAACAATGAATTTTAAAGTAAACTCCAATCATGATTTACTTAAATAAACCTTTTATGAAAATTTCTAGTGGCAGACTACTTCTTGTACTCTTTTTCCCTCTGTGCAGAGTTCAATATAAAGACAAAAAAAAGATGTGTCAGATATAAGTGTATTTTTGACATATACCTGCAGCTGTGTGTTGGTCAAAGATGTGATGCATTCCAGCAAAGGCATAATTTTCTGAAATAGTCTTTCCACCTGCCATTGCCCTATATTAATATTTTAAAAAACGAAAATAAAACACAAAATTTTGTGTCAAATTTCAAAGACAGTTATTCTAAATTAATTAGTTCCTGGGATATGTGTACCTCTACTATATGCAATCTTACATAAAAAATAACATGCACAAATTACCTGCTAGCATCTGCTTCTTTTGTTGGAACAAGTTCAATGCTGTCAAAAACTCTTTTCATTGGTCCATCAAAGGACAGTTTCATGGACCCACTACTAAGATGTCTCCTATGATGCTTTTTCCCATCAGAGATTGCCAAATTGTCAAAACTCTAAAATCATGCAGACAAAGTTCGTGATTTATCAATCATTCTATTTATTAGCTTTAGAGCTTCTTTTTCAGTCAAGACATTTTAGAACTAAAACTCTTAGTTCAGAAAGAGTTCATAATACTAAACATAAAGTCTAAGAGAAAGAGAAATTCTTAATAATTTTATACACATGTATCCTGGGTTTTATTCAAAAGTTTTCATGCAGATTAGATTTTAAACATTATTGATGAAGGGAGAAATATTTCAGTACTTTTATATTTTCACATTTTTGCGAATTAATTATTGCTACATTAGTTAAGAAACAATTTCAACTTTATACCTCTAATGTGTTCCTGCCTACACTTCGCATGCTAAATGATCTGCTTCTAATACTCCTGAAAAAAAAAATCTTTAAATAGATTCCCATTGCATATTCCTCTTGCCATTATGCAAATTACCATGTACTCAATCTAATGTATACAAACTCCTATACACCCCAAAAACTCTGAGCGACTTCTTTAAGAGTAAATTATTTATTATTAATGATATTCTTCATCAGTACCCAATGGTCTTTCTTCTATATTTTCACTGAATGAAATAACGTTATAATATGAAGAAATTAAGACTTTGGGTTATCAATAACATTAAGAAAGAAAAACCTAATTTTGGAGCAGACAAAAATAGCCTAAAAAGAAAATATTTTGATGGTGCAAAATTACCCTTGATCTGAGAATGCAGGGCTTCCATATTTGGCTGTTAGAAGTTGAGCTCGAATGGGAAGAAACTCCTTCCTCACTGCAGGATCCCTCTGTCACAAAAAAGGTTCAACAGTTTTATTTCAGAATGGCTTACAAATATTCACAACTACAATACATTATATATATGTCCGAAACTAGTACTCTTACATGTATTGATTTGCAGCATATTGCTGGTATGCTAGGATAGCACATTAAATAAAATAGATATAAAAAGCTGAATTTTTATAAATATTGGATCATTGTTAAGGATTTCAGGTGCAATTCTCATTGAAGTCACAGCTGTGCTTTAACTTATTAGTACATGTATAGTCAAGCAAAACATAAATGGATACCATCTGGCTCAGTGTAGGAGGTACATCAAACAACCCAGAGTACTGTGCACATGGGATATCTCTTCACCCAACCCCCTCCCCTCTTTGTTAAAGGAAAAATGGGTTGATTTTATGTTAACATTAATGGTATCCCTACACTAGTTCAGAATCATTTCACACCTAGTATCTACCAGTATTATCTACTGTCTTTCAGTCATTATGGTAAATAGACTGCAAATATATCACCTTTTTGTTTATTTCATTCCAAATATTTTGATTTATATTTTTAATTTGTATCAATTGCTTTCTAGGTAAATTGTGGTATTTATTGAAAACTCAAATCTTCTTTATGTGGGATTTCACTTGTATTCGACCAACCCTAGTTTAAATGCAGTCGGAACTATCAAAAAAGTGTACGGTAATATTCATAATGTGTAATGGTTTGGGCCGTGGTTATAGGCCTGGGTAGCTTAGTCAGTAGAGCACCTGACTAGTAATGCAGGGGTCTTGGGTTTGATTCCTGGTCCAGCCATACATTTTCTCCTTTCCTGTTACAGATTTGGTGCAGTTGATCACCCCTGGACTTGCAGGTGAAAGTCCTACCAGGGGCTAATAAGAACTTGGGTTGTGTCTTCGAGGGTGAAGACAATTTAAGGAGGGAGGAATGTAATGGTTTGGGCCATGGTTATCAGCCTGGGTAGCTAGTCTGTAGAACACCTGACAAGTAATGCAGGGCTCCTGGGTTCCATTCCCAGTCAAGCCATATTTTATACTTTTTCTCCTTTCCTGTTACACATGTTTTATCTACTAAAAAAGTTGAGGTAATTTTTTAATATGTTTATTAATATATTAACAGTCCTGCTTATTATTGACTCTATACATATGCATTTACTCCTAATTTAGTAGGGCTGATTATTGGCTAGAGATTTTGTATTGCGATATATTGTAATATTTTTAACTGTATTGTATTTCAACAAAATTTAAATGGTATTTTATTATATTAACTTCCTTTTACATGTAGAATGTACATAACTATGATAAATAACCAATAAATTTTAAAGATATCTTGTTGATAGAATTACAGTTATGCAACTAAATACACCCATACAACTGCTTTTGTCTTACTGTTTGGCATGATCGCAAACCTTTCTGACAACTTTTCTTTATATTTTTTGATAGAATTCCTGAGTCCAAGCATTTTGCCAGTATATCGGTACATGTATTACAAAAACGTATTGCAGTACGATATTTTTGTCAACATACCGCAATATACCGGAATATCGGTATTATTGCCCAGCCCTATATTTTAGCACTAATGGTCACACGGTCTTAATTTTCACCATGCACAAGAATGTAAATGATCTCTTTAAATTTACCAACAATGCAGAGCTCGGCTGTCAACATTAGTTATGTTCCACTCATCAGAGCTTCCTGTGCCCATGAACTCCTGGGTACAAATATATTGCTAAAAGACAGACTTTCTCACCATAAATTGCCATAAGACTTTCTCACCCTTGCCGATATAGATTAGACAGTTTATATGTCCATTCAAACTACTTTTTGTCTTCAGAATGTCAACTATAGATAGACTAATATCATAAAATAGGTGTTCAAGGTGACAGTGATTCTTATCCATGAAAATTCACAAGAAAAAACTCTTAACACATGTTTTTTCGTATGGATTTCACTGAAAACATAATGGCCAAGTAAGGTACTATGGATTTACCCCCGATTTGGCACTCTCTCGAAGAAGCTGGCTTTTCCTCCTGATGTAAAGAGTCTCTGAAAATATATAAAATATCTTAACACTTTTTCAGTGCAATACAAAGTGATAATGTATATTAGATAGTAATGTTTACTGAGATCAGCTGTAGGAAGAGGCTTGTCCAGTTGTCTACTGTTCAAAGAATAAAAGTATAACATTTCTTCGCGTATTCACTGTTTTAATTACTCAAGCTTCTTTAATCGTCATAATAAAGGGAATAATGTTTCTTACTAAACTGGGGGTTGTTTGGAGTTCTGTAAGCATTGAATTTGGCGTCTAAAGCAAGTGCTTGTTGCCACACAGCTGTCATGTTTACATTTTTTTCACTTCCGGACCTATGTCAACGATAATTCGTTCTTATGCGAATTCGCAATAGTCAGGACGTCATCAAGCTGGATAGAAAAGCATTTAAAAAAAATATTATACATATTCTTAAAAATTTCTACATAAAGTTTTGACCAGATTGGTAATTTAAGGGTCATCATGTGAACAAATATCACTTGCACTCTGTCACACACCCCCACCCCCACCAAGCACTATCGGCCGATCCCTGGCAAAATAGAATTTTTTGAACTGAAAAGATCTACAAAAAACAAACCAAAAAAACAAAAACAAAAACAAAAACAAAAACAAAACAAACAAAAAATGCGAATGCTTGTTTTCTGAACTATTGCACCAACGGTAAGATCTTTTCTTTGGCCGGACTCTTAAAATTACAAACCTCAGGTGGGCACTTTGTCCATGATTTTTGCATCAGTACCTTTCAAAATATATATATATATATATATATATATATATATATATATATATATATATATATATATATATATATATATATATATATATATATATATATATATATATATATATATATATATATATATACGCAATGAATTTCCCCTACCATACTATCCAGAGTATCATGCGGTAAATGGAATGAAATTATAAATATATGCGTGTATACCAAAAAGAACGCTTTTTCATTGGAATAAATGAAACATCATTTGAATAAATCAAACATCTTAGTATTCTGTTAAAGTCTTTTTGATGAAATGGGGTGAGGCATGCTTGTGGATTATGCTGTGGCTTCAGACTTCTGATCCACCAGGATTCAGTCCTGAACCTCAGTGCAAAAGACATATATCACTTGCACTCCCCCCACCCCCACTCCATTGTAACAGAATCATTCCTGGTATGGACTTTCACTCAGCAGAAAGGACAGATATATGAACTAGGCCTATAGTTACTTAATTTGCTGACACCCCTCTTTCATTCCCCATCCGCCACCACACACCACCTACCCTCATCATCTAAATTTCAAAATGTTGTTTTTTTTTTTTCTTAAACAGGTGTTTCATCAGCTTTTAACATATAGTATAAATGAATAAACGGGTAAACCGGCAGCTAGTCATTTTTCAGATATGTTTGGTTTATTTGTTTTTATTTGTTTTCTTTGTTTTTTGCTAAATCACTAATTATTATGTAACAAAAAAAATCCTTGGAGGGGTTGGGGTATTTACATTCAACTCAGAATGAGATGTAAGGGGTGTATAACTATTGATTCACACTCTTTTTGCTGATATTGTTTAGACATGGGTGTATTGGTAATGCTTGCTAAAAGAGTTGATGATCCAATAACTTATTTCAAGTTTGATTTATGTGCTTTCTCATATGAAAATTGTAAACATCTATATATTGTCAGGTGCTTAAGGTGCTTAAATTTTCAACGGTAAATAGTGCATATATAATATTGGGTAAACAGCCAGTTATGTCAGCAAAAATATAACATGCACACCATTTATAAACATGGGCAGTTTTAGTAATGGAGGATCCAATCAAAATGGTATTCGTATTTTATTTTGCCTTAGCTGTAGCATTTTATGTACATGTATATGACTAAACCTGATAATAAAAACATACAATAAATCATTTGTTCAAAATATACTCTATAACTGATTCTGGAGTCGAAAGTTGAAAAATGTTTGATAAGGATGGGTTACAAAAATATGTGCGCTGGGAAGAAAAAGCAAGCAAACAAACAAAAAACTCTAGGATGAAAAACTATTTTTGAATTAAGAAAACATAAATATTAGTATTTTAAAAAATGACCTGAAAAGACGTAGAGAGAGCAGGGGTGGTATGCACTAATTGTACATGTGCAGTTGAAGCTGAATCACCCAAGAAAATTTGCGGAGATTTATTTTGTACTTCTGGAAACACAAGTCATGAAAGTATGCTTAACTTGCAATTGTGACACCAATCGCATCTATTTTAGGGGGAAATCATACTTACTCATTATTCATCTGTTTAAAATAATGTTGCTAGATATTCATACCAAAAAAAAAAAAAAAAAAAAAAAAATCATCGCCAGATTTTTCAGTGCAGAGGGGGTTAATTGTATCTTTTTAAATTGTATTTTTTAAATAATATTCGTTTCATCAAAATTAGTTTATGTAATTTTTTCATTATTATTATGATTTTTTTTTTCATTTATTTATTTATTTATTTTTAATACACTGTTTGATGGGATATCATTTTCAGAATTTTATTTTCAGTCAAGATAGGCTCTATTTTTTTTTTTTAAATGAGAAGACAAAGATTGAAGTCATTATCTATATTTGAGTATCTCTACTTAAATACAATTTGTGAAAAATCAAAAATAGAAATCAATATAAGGTATAAAAATAGAGCAAACAAGTTACGGAAACTTATGGTCAACGCCAGTTGGTTTTAATCTTCAGTTTTTGATACTAAAAATACATTTCTAAAATTAGAGTAATTAATTTTCTGTCAATAAAAAAATATTTCAGCTCATAATATCAGCAAAAAGTTTTAAATTGATACATACTTTCTATTTTAATCTTAAAAATAGGGAGAAACACTCACATTTATAATTTCAAACATTATTTTTGCAAGACATTAAGCGGCCAAAGACTTTACATCCGGGAGTTCTCGTTTATTTTCGGTCGTCTAAAAATAGGACAGCGAATTCGGGCTATTTATTCGACGACAGCCATATTTCAGGAGAGTAAAAGGGAGAGGTCCAAGAAGTTTGCCGGGCCAAAATACTTATCTGATAGATAGATAATTTAACATTTGATTAATTATGCAGGCGATCAAATGTGTTGTTGTCGGTGACGGGTAAGTTATTTAGAAGTTTCAAATCGCGGCAGGTGCCCGTGTGTCGAGAAGAGAAGCGGACTTTGAAAGAAGTCCTTTCTGTACATGTCGACATCGTTTTTTACACTAAATGGTGCCTATTTGTTTTCTATAAGTTCAAGCACATGTAAGAAAAGCCTCTATGAATTTTAAGTATATTGTAGAAATTTGTATACTGGGTCTTTATTGTTTTGCATTGAGAGAGAAAATAACGGTATTTTAACTAGGAAGTTGGGGAGGTCAAGAGTAGAACTTGCATAAAATGTCAAACTTCCTGTGATTAAGCGTCATCTACACGATATGTTTGGATATGTGTATACTGTGTTGAGTTAACCTAATCTTCGTCCATATTTAAGACAGTGGTCAGTGATTCATGTGTCCACAAGGGATTAAAGAATTACTGGTGCATGGCCTTTGGACATGTGCGTGAACTAATTAATGTGACCGGATGACTAACATGTTTTATGGCATCACAATCAAAACATGTTGTTCTATCTATTTGTTTATTCATTTCATTTTTTTAATACATAGCCACATAAGGCAGAGTTTATGAAATGGATTTTTAGAAATATCCCATTTTAAGAGACCACATGTAACATATTTTTTTTAAATATAAAATGGTTATAGTGTATTATAAAAGATCATATTAAAACAAATTCTTTTATATTGATTTCTTATATATCTTTCGTATTTCAGAGCCGTGGGTAAAACATGTCTTCTCATCAGCTATACCACAAATGCTTTTCCAGGGGAATATATTCCAACTGTGTAAGTACCTGCTCTATTGGAATCAGGCACATTAAAAAGTCAATGGGAGCACCAATGTCCTTTACATAGCTTTAGATACAAGTCCTTGACACCAGCCAAGACCTTTTATCTTCTTAATTTATTTTTTTTCAATAATTTTTTTTAAATTTTCCAATTTAAAATTATCATTTTTTTTGAGAAAGTAACACTTTCTTTTAATCTACCGATGTCCATAAAAATGTAAAGATGTAACACATAACCATAATTTAAATTGAAACTCAAATAAGGTATATTAATTGTGACATTATTTACCCCTTTGCACTCCAAATTTTTTTTACAATAAAGAAATAAAGATGATCTTGAATATCATTTGTGATGCAGCTGTGTAGCCATTATGCAAGGATACTGATGGAAAATCAAAGTTCAAATATTTAACTATCAATTATTGATTTTTCAGAATATAATCATATAATCAATTAAAAATAGAAAAGCCCAACTTTTTTCCTGATCAAAACCATCTGTATTGTTAAACAACAGTATCCTAACTTCCAAATGTCTTAATCTTATTAGAACCCAACTATTAGTCACTGGTTCATCACAAAAACATGTTTCAAGCATTGAAGTAAAGAAAATATCAAGTCACATGAAGTTATTTATTTTGGTTTTTATATAAAATATGTGTAAATTATAAATGACATCTGGATACCTTTAGAGAACAGCTTTTTATTGTTAGGGACAGTCGTCCTTTTTAAAATTATGAAATTATATTGTAACCGTGGAAACTTTACTTTGGGAGGGGGGTTAAACTCAATTCAAGATAAAGATTTTGCATAAATATCCCCTGCATATCAATGCCTTTATAAATGTTTTATTCAGATTTAGTAAAACATATTTCTTGTGTCGCAGAAATAACCCCCATGCATAATGTGCTTGGTACTTGTTGGCGTGATTAATGTCCACGATTACAGTATAATATGTTCATGTTTGTGGTTTTTTTTTTTTTGTTTTTGGTTCTGAACTATGTTAAATGTTTGTTTGCTATTTGTATTTAAAGTTTCCTTTAAAATATGAAAGGGAGGGATAAATCTTCAGAGATTTATGCTTGTAAACATCTTACTTTTCTTGTGCATGCATATTCTGTGATATGGATTGTATCACTTGAATCTTTCACAAAATAACATAATATCTGTTAATCAAAGCATCTGTATTAAGTACTGCTGTCATCTCTTATGTCATCTGAATCGACATTTATGAACATTCTTTTTCACTGCCAAGCTGTTCAGCATTTACATACTTATTGTGTGCACATTTTGGAATTTTACACCTCATTGCCAAAGTAACATTTCTTGATCAACGATCATTAAAATTGAAACACAAGTAACAATGCTTGGACGATGACTTCAAAATTGCTTAAGTGTTTGCCTTGCATATAAATGAGAGGGCAAAGGGACAGGATATAAATACGCATTTCACAATCTGCCCAATAATGTATGAATGGAAGTGAATGTCCAATTCGAGATTTACCATGATAAGAAGAAGACAGAATACCCAGTACCCATTTTCCTTGAAGATGAGCAAAGCACTTGGTAAGTAAAGAAACTGTGAATCTCTAGAAGTGAGAAATAGTGGATTTACTAAATGTAGTGGTATGGCTAAATTGGTGTGCGCTTTGAAGTGTAAAGCTAACTCTTTAAAGTCTGAACGCTTTCATTGTTAATTGATTTTTAACTAACTAGCATATTAGAGGTCTTCTGTAAAAGGAATTTAAAATTCATGGTACCTGGCTGCTTTAAATATACACTCATAACCTGCATCGACCCTCTTCACCACTGCACATTATAATTATGAAATGAGAGAAGATTCTTATCATTTGATAGATTTACAGTTAACACAATAGAGAAAAAGGGGCTTACAGTGAAGGTACTTTATAGGGATAGGAGAAATAAGAAGTTGCATGGGACAAGAGTGTTTCAGGAAGTTGGTATAAGTGGGGGGATCAGCTTGTATTCCACCTCTTGTGTTCTTGTATTATTACGTTTCTTCCCACTGTCTTTACATGTTATCCTGTATGTGTAAACATTATCACTTTGTCCCTGATCAGGAGATTTTATAAGTCGCATCTGAAGTGATATGTGTAAAGTCCACTCTTATATTTTCTTAAAAATTGGACATGTATGTTTTTAAGCTTAGGTGAAGATTGAAATTGTCAGAGAGCTTTGCCTCTTTGTTTCTATATATATACTTGGTAAAATCTATAGAAGTAGGTGATAAAATAAAAAAAATTTTTTGGTTCAATAAACAGAGAAAATGTTGATGTGTTTTAAATAACAAAGTTAGGTATGTACATGTATTATTTCCTGTTTGCCTAAGTTTAAGTGATTAAAATATATCCTTCTTAGAAACACAATCTTAAGATAGTGCTTAACATGTAGTCTAAAACTTCACTTAGAAGATGCAGAGCTACATGGAAAGAGAGATATACATAGAAACCAAAAAAGCCATATTTGCATACACATGTATACAGTCAAATCTGGTTATCTCAGACTTGATGGGACCAAGATTAAACTTCACGATATCCAAAGATTCAAGATAACAAGGTTAAACAACATAAAAGAAAAGTGGCCAACTCACTTCTATATATCCCTGGTATTAGAGGTATCAGACAGTGTTAGAGATAAAGAGGTTCATCAGTAGTTTAACATTTCTTACACAGTCTTTTTCGAATCTTGGTTTGCTTGTTTTTAAATCTATCAAAGTAAGTTCTGTGTTCTGTTCATTCAGATGTGATTTCTATTAAGAACATACTGAAGTTTATACTATTTAAAAGTCCAGACTCTGAGATTATTAAATAATTGAGATGTAAACTCAAAATCTATAGATTTCCCTACAGTGGTGAAGAGGTTAAATAGTCCAAAATAAAAATGCTTGTCATCAGCTGCAGGGTGATGCTGTCTGCAATTTCTTAGGTAAACTTCATAGGAAATAATCATTTTACAGGAGGCTAAGTTTGAGTCTGTTTCATGATCTTCAGGCCCAGATCTAGTTTAACAGAAATCTTAGATGAAAGAAAGTTTTAAATTAATATGTACTTTGACTTCCATGTAAAATGCATTTGTATGTGCAGGTGTACAATTTTAATGTAAACAACAGGGAAATGCCCATCATAATATTTTAAAGTGATAAGTAAGCAGTTACACTATCATGATATATTATGTTGCCCTAGCTGTAGGAAATTCAGGTTATCAAAAAGCAGGAAGTATAACCAGTCAAAGTAAATATGTTTGTTGTCATAAATATGTACCTTTGACCTAAAAATTTCTACAGATTAGATCTGTAAAGTATTTCTTTAAGGCCCGCTGTCAAAAACAATGGGGCTTTATACATTGTTTTATGTGAGGAAGACGAGAACCAATGGTTCTTGTTTTAATTCTGTACTCAAGTTACCATATTAGATAAGGAGAGTTTGGTAATGAGAAAAATGTGTGCTTTGTTTCCCCTGCGTCTGAGGCATGATTTTATAACCAATAAATATATTAACATCAAATATGCAAAACTCTTTTCATAGCATGCAAATATATGATGATCTTGCTAGACTTTTTGAAATTTTCCACCTGTACAACAAAGGGATTTCTGTCTTGTCATATATACATTCTTTGCATATTTACAAAGGGGTTCTGAATGTGTTTTAATAATGCACACAACTTTTAAACATCATAAAATATTACAGATTTGACAACTACTCAGCAAATGTGATGGTTGATGGGAAACCCATAAATCTAGGATTATGGGATACAGCAGGACAGGAAGACTACGACAGGTTACGTCCCTTGAGCTACCCACAGACAGTGAGTAAATTAACATCTGTATTCTTTACCCTGTGATGATTAAGTTCAAGAGTTTCACTAATTCTTGTTTCCTTTGGATTTTTATTTTATGTATAGTTGTAGTTAACAACACTGTAGAGATTTTGTAGCAAGTTTTATCATGGAATTCATCAAAAACTAGTGCAAGTTCATTTAAATTATTAATTTAGTCATAGGGAATACTAAGTCTTGATGTCTATATAGAGGAAAGATTATTGCATTGTTATTGACATCTTTTTGTTCATTTTCAGGATGTTTTTCTGATGTGTTTCTCTTTGATCAGTCCAGCTAGTTTTGAAAACATCAGAGCTAAGGTATGTATAGTATAAAGTAATACGTACTTGGGATTCACAAGTTATGGGGGGGGGGGGGGGGGGGCTAAATAGATGAATCTGATTTAACATGGAAACAATGGAGAAAAGGATAGACAAGAGAGAGATACTGAAGTGTATGAATCATTCATGAGGTCAGAATCTAGAGAGTGGTACATCTAAATTATTCCAAGTAAATATTTGCACATTGTATTGTTACACTTGCTATCACGGCAATCTTTTTATGATATATGCATGTCAACAGTGGTATGATTAAATTTGGAAAATAGTGGTAAATATTTACGCAGTAGGATTCTTGCATAGGCTTTATAATGGAAGTTGATTAATTAATGTTAGACATTACCAGATATGTACTTTTTATGCCCCCCCCCCCCCATGTCAGAAATGGTGGGAAGGATTAGGATTTTTTTGGCCGTAATCACAAAGATTGGACTAGAGTGTCTTTCCAAGCTATTACATATACATGTACTTTCTAAATGCAGGGATTCTGAGACTTGAATAAAAATTGGCTTAAACAGTTAACTTATAACAAGATCTCATCAAATTTAAGATTTAAGGATAAGTGACTATGGTGTTAGGAAGGGTAGGTCTTCATGTTTTTGAAAATAATTAAAAACCTTTGCAAGTATTTCCCCTGGTTTTAGTAGTTTGTGTATAGACATGAATGGAAATTCAAGTATGTCATTCTCATATTTTTAAAAAGTCTTCCTGTTCAAATAATTCAGCTTTGAGTTTTTTCTTCCCTTTTTCTTTTTCCTTGGTTTATATTTGTGTATCCATTATGTTCCAGCTAGAACTAACAGTAACGAAAATTAAGTGTGGTTTCATATTATATACAATACATGTCCTTGATCTGGTCTAGGTGTTTGATAAAGTACTTTTTAAGTTTATTATACCTTGCATTGATTGCTGATGGAAGGAAAAGTTGCATTTTAATTTGTTAAATAGTAGTTGTTAGGGTGTTTAGGGTATTATTGGTGGTTCATGGTTTTTATGTCAGTATTATTTTGACATTCTGTATTTACCAGCAGTTAGAACCTAATTACATGTAGTTTTAAACAAGCACTTGATATTAAAACCAAAGGATAACTTATTTGTCGTATCGTAGGTGTACAATTTTGTTACATATAATATACATCCCGGTTCGTGTACTAATGTACTCCTCTAAAAAAGGAAGTATATTGACTGATTTGTAGAGCTTTCTAGTAAATTATTACAGATATATGTCCACTAAATAACTGTTTACTGAAAATAGATCAGTGTGTTTTCCGCTGGAAAGGTTGTACTCAGTACTTTTAAGGATGTTATTAATATTGTATTTTGTTAAATGTGGGTCAAAAATTTTATTTAACCTACATTATAGACAGAATGATATAATAATGTGTGCAAGAAATTAGAAGATTTTTACAATTATTGTATTTTATTATGAAAAAAAAATTATTATGAAAACAAAAAAAAGATTTAAAAAGGGGAGGGGGTTGCCAGGGGTTCCTCCTTTCCTCTCTTTTTCATTGATGACTACATAATTAGTCCTTACATTTAAAGATTTTCAATTAATGTTTGCTTAACTGTCTTATTTGTTTATGCAAAAGTATGTTTCCATTTTCTCTCTCTCTCTCTCTTTCTCTCTCTCTCTCTCTCCTTTTTTGGGGGGCTTTTGAAAGTTTCTTAATAATGGTAACTCTTTTATGATTTTTTTTCAGAAATTTCTTGATGCACTACCAACAAGATGTTACAGTGCATCACATGCTGCAATATAATTTGCTCAGATAGTAATTAATAGACACATAGATTAGTTTACTGTATTTTGTTGCACAGTTCATCAGTGTTTAGGAAATATGAGAGTCCTTAATTTTATTTCTTCCAATAACTCTAATTTTTAATTTATTTCTTTCAGTGGTACCCGGAGGTGAACCACCATTGTCCAAATGCCCCAACCATCCTGGTGGGAACAAAGCTTGATTTGAGGGATGATAAAGATACCATTGAGAAGCTGAAGGAGAAGAAATTGTCCCCCATTACTTATCCCCAGGGGCTGGCACTGGCCAAGGAGCTTGGATGTGTGAAATATCTAGAATGCTCAGCTCTCACCCAAAAGGGTTTAAAAATGGTTTTTGATGAAGCAATACGAGCCGTGCTTTGTCCAAAGCCAAAAGCAAAGGCAAAGAAAGGATGCGTTTTACTATGAGAAGGATATAAGACTAGAAAAAAAAGTTCAAGAACATTCCATTTTGCCATGATTGTTAGCATTATGATTCAAGAGTTATCTAGATTGTTTCTCCCCTGAATTTGTCTTCATTTATCACAATGTAGCCTGTGTAATGTTTTTTTTTTCTTTTAAAGATAAAGATGTCATTTGAAAAATGAATGTATTTGAAATACCCCGGTAAGCAATCTAACATTTTGGAATAAATGTTAAAGTAGAGGTTTATACCAGGTAAAAATAGAATCCATGTCTACCAACGGATATGTACTCGGAATTCAGACTCAAGTGTGAAAATTGTGTTTCTGCCTAAAAACATTTTTTTAGAAATCTTTGTTACTTTTTAATAAAACTTTGAAGATAAAATGTATATATTGTAAATAATGTACTGTATATTTTGTCTCAAGTGTATAAATATCTTTATATATAAATATAATATTAAAAAAATTGAACTTTTTGTATATATTTGATAGTTAATCTCTTTCTTTTTCTTGGAAGTGACTATCGATGTGAAATCAGTGTTTGATTAAACTGTTTGTTATATGTGAACTGTAATGGTCAGTCTGTATGGTAATTTTGAAGCTGAAGTGACTATAATTTGATTTATAACTTATTCAAGAAAAAAACTGCAGTATATTTATTCCAATTTTAGCATATTATTTGATGTGTCATTATTTTTATTTATTATTACTATAATTAGGTATGTGGTTTGTTTTTTAAATGAAATACCCAAAATATCTTTGCTTGAATTTATGTACAGTGCTTCAATCTTAAAAAGAAATTGCATCTTTGTATATATTGATTCATATGACATTTAATAAATATTCTTAAATAAAATTTTTTGATGTTTTTCATCATTTTCTCTTTATCAAACAATATTGTTCCATTGCAAAACTAGATTTCTCTTCTGCACACATTAAAATGTTGTGCGTGAAGTAAAATATTCCATGAAATTATTCTTAAAAACAATAAGACTATCAGTTGATATACATGTTCTTATATTCTCACATTTACAGAAGTACCTGAAAGATTTAATCTTGATTGAGCTATATTTTCCCCCCAACATGATGGATATTCTTGACAGTGGGCTTCTGCATTGATGTGTAAAAAAAATGTCAATATTTTATTACAGATTTGATAACTACTCGGCAAATGTGATGGTTGATGGGAAACCCATAAATCTAGGATTGTGGGATACAGCAGGACAGGAAGACTATGACAGGTTACGTCCCTTGAGTTACCCACAGACAGTAAGTTTGATAGTAGTTATTTTGATTAATATGTAATAAATTTGATTACAATTGATAAACAATGCGGTATGAATGTAATTTTATGTTTTACTTGTAGCTGAATTTGATCAATTGTTTTTTTTCTTTCAGGATGTGTTTCTCATTTGTTTCTCCTTGATTAGCCCTGCTAGCTTTGAAAATGTTAGAGCCAAGGTAAAGCCAGCTTTCATTGATTCTGTACATTGATCAAAACAAAACTAGGATTTACAAGTTAATTCAAACAAAGATATTGTTTACATGTTAAATACCTAAATTTTGAAACACTTGTTGATTTTTGACATTTGTTATTTATGAACAGTTGAAATAAGAATTCAGTATATAAAAAGCAATTTTTCATTAGAAATTATGGTGTTGCATTAGTTTGTAATCCAGAATATTTGTAAATGTGTGAGCCAAGCATGTTTATTTGGATTTTCAGTGGTATCCGGAGGTCAGCCATCACTGTCCCAACACACCTATCATTCTGGTGGGGACCAAGCTAGATTTACGAGAGGACAGAGAAACAGTAGAGAAGCTAAAAGAAAAGAGGCTGGCACCCATCACCTACCCACAAGGCCTTGCTATGGCCAAGGAAATCAACGCTGTCAAATATCTTGAGTGCTCAGCACTGACACAGAAGGGTCTTAAAAACGTTTTTGATGAGGCCATCCGAGCAGTTTTGTGCCCAAAAGCCAAACCGAAGAAGAAGAAGTGTAAAGTTTTATAACAGGACAGATTAATGACAGACTTTTTATCCTAGAGGACATCAGTGGAAGGCTGCTACAGGATTTCTCCAATTTTTCTCGAGCTATACAGAATTAGGGATTTGTCAGTCAATGAGAATAAGAATGCATAATGTAGCATGCTGTATTTTAGGGTAGGGGGTGATCTTGTCTTTGTAACTCTTTTTTTTTTTTTATACCTGACCAATGGGTATTTATTCTATTGAGTTACCATTACTAATGATGTAATCCATTTGTTGTTTCACTCTATTCAATTGGTTTTTTTAATGTGTATATATTATTAAAATCATGGCATTGAATGTTTGTTACTGAAACCCTGGCATTGAAGATTAAAACACCCAACCTTAAATGATCACACACAATTCTTTATTTTGATAGTCAGGAAGTTGAATGCACACCACACAGTTTTTCAGTAAGGTAATTGATAGTCAGATGTCTTCATTTATTACCTTCTGCCAAGAAAAAAAGTGTCTATAGGTTTATATATTTTGTGTTTTTTGTTAAAGATGTAGCATGTGATGCATTAAAAGTTGTTTAGGTGTCTTCATTTAACCCCCATACACATTGGAAATTAACTAGTAGAAAAGTAAGGGTGGGGTTAGCATCTCATTTTTCAATCAGGGAATTGTAGATAAGTTGCTTCCAACAATGTTTAATAAAACAGTAATTTTTAAAGAATATAATGTGGCCTTTTTGTGAAACTATTTTGTTGCTCATAGTAATTTAAATAATCTTACTATGAATAATTTTAATGTAAATTTTTCAATCCTGTTTAAAGCCAAAAAAAAAAAAATACCTGTAGGTCTTGGAATTAAAATCTAAAAATTAGGAACACAGATTTTCTCATCATCATCATCGTAAGAAGTAAATTGTACACAATGTACACACTGTAAGAAAATGCCTTACTGATCCTCTTATAATGCAGCTATGCACATTCTGTATAGAAGAATTGATTGTATGTGTACATATATATATATATGTGTGTGTATATATAAATATGTATGTATTTTCTAATTTGTACTAGGTCTTCTTTTTTTTTTTTTTTTTACTATTGAATTAAGTTGTTATAGAGTATAAAAATATATAAATCTTAATATAAATTTTATTCAAATATTTTTTTTTTTATATTTGTATATAATTGGTATTTGTTGATGAGAGTGCTTTATTGTGTATTGGTTTCCATAGCGATTCAGTTTGTATTCAATGTGTCAGAACAAATATTATTGGAGAACAACATTTTCATGTAGCTTTAAGGTGTCACTAATATTGTCAGTCTCAACTGATCTTAATTGTTAAGTTCAACTGCAGTCTTGTAATTTTAAATCCATGTCAACTGACTTGCATTACCAGATTGAGCTGATCTGTAGTTGATTTCAACTGAGTTGATTATCAGTTGGAATATTTTTAGTTTTATTTCAGTACTAGTTGTAAGAAGCTTGATTGAATTTATTTTCTGGGCATTGTATACAAAAGGATTTTTTTCTGTGTCAAAAATAAGTGATATTGTGTATAAATAAGGCTTCCAATCCTATTGAGTGAGGCATATTTTGTTATTCACTGTTTAATTAGATATTTTTTTCTAGCACACTTTCAACAAATAAAATCCTTGTATTATATTCAAAATTTGTTAACATTTTGTATCTGAATACAGATTAATTTTGGTGTGATTTTAGTGAACAAAGCTGTGGCAAGTCTTCAGAAGATCACATTTTCCTTGCTGTTTAATGTAAACATGTACTAAATGTTATATAATACATCAGATCCAATAATAAATAGGTAAAATCTGAATATCCTTGTCATATATTTCAACCATTCCAGATACAGTTATAAAAATTGTAAAGCATGTGTAAATTCAAAACAATTAAAGATACAATGGTCAGTCTGATTTTGATGTAGGTGGTCAAATTCAACCCCTCTGGAGTTTAAGGGACCATGATTCAAATTCTAGTCTTGTATACCTTATTTCTTCAAGTACAGTCAGATCTTTATCTCGAACTCAATGGCACCAAGAAGAAACGTCGAGATATCCAAGGATTTGAGATATCCAGGGTAATATACTTAAAGAATAAGGCATTGGGACTTCAAAGTCACTTTGAAATATCCAGAGTATTTGAGATATCAGTGTTTAAAATACCGAAACTCAACTGTAGCTTTCACAAAAGCTTCGTCTTTTCTGGTCCAGGAGTTTGTGAGAAGAAAATTTACGAAGAAACCATACAATTTTTGACTTTTCTTGATTATCTCCCCTTGAAAGGGGTATTGTCCTTCATTTGGATGAACTTGAACCCTTTTACATCCAAGTATGTTTTGTGCTAAGGTTTGTTGAAATTGGTCCAATCTTGAATGGTTTTGGAAAAGAAAATCAACCAACAAACTTTTATCAGAAAAGCTCATTTGAGATTAAATCATAACTCCTGGGGCGTTAATAGGGAATATGAAATTTTCTTGGGAATAAAGAAGAAAGCAATCTTAAAAATCCTCTGGAGAACAGGAGAACCAAGGTGATTCTTTTGAGTATTTTTGCCTATGAGCTTTTTTTTTTTTTTTTTTTAATTCTGCTATTTATATGTAATTTTTATTAAGACTTTATAAGACTTTAGACAGTTAACCTATTGAAAGGAAAATAAAAAAAAACTTTGCAGGAGAAAGTGTAACCTAACGCATGGACTATGTGTGATAAAAATTTCATATGAGGATGTGCTAGAATGATACTCTAGTTAATTAATCAAAAGGCCAATTTTTTTCAGAATTTTTTACAAGTTAAAAGTTATATGTTACAACAGTGGAACAATTTTTTTTTTTATACATTCTGTCCACAGGAAGTTGATCGGAGTTTTAATGCAAGAACCACCACAATTGAGGAAAAATTCAATTAATAGCACCATTGCCTCATTATTTCCCCACTCACAATCCATCTTTCAGAGTGAAGCATTTCAATTCATATACATGTATAATTTCTGAAAATCTCAATTTATATGATGGAAAACAAACCCTTTACAGAAGTGGTTTTCTGTTTTTCTTTTTACCTGATATGCTACTTCCATTATATATCACATTTATTACCTAGTAATAAACTTGTATGCATTGAAAGAAGGTAAATTTGTCCTAGAAATAAATGATTTATTTTCATAACGAGCAGACCAATCAGGTATGCTTATGGAAAATCCTGTAGTTTGAAACAGTGTAAGTCATTAATCCATTTCATTCCTATTCTCTTACAAATCCCCAATTTTTCCATCAAGAGTGGGTCTTTACTCCACTTTCTTTAAAGTATATCTTCAAAATATATAAGTGCAAAATTACACATTTTTAGTTTAGAAAGGATCCACTACACCTTAAAAATACACTTTTAGGACACAACATTCTTATTTTTCCTAAAAAATATTTAAAGTTCCATTATTCAAGGTTCATATCACAAAGAAGCTACTGCTTCATATGATTTAGTGGTTAAGTCACAATGACATAGCTGCGGATCTTAGTTTGCTGGTCTGCAAAACTTGGGATGGATAACCAGAGAGCTAGAGTGCCACCAATTGAAGAAAGTGTATAATTATTTATTGCACTCGTAAAAAGTGTGCTGTTTTCAGATAAACTTGTCCGTATGTTTAAGCTGTCATCAAAAAAAATATTTCTGTGTGTTCCAAACAATTCATTTACAACAAAACATTCACAAAAACCATTGCTAATAGCCCTCCTAGGCCTGAAATCGATATAATCGAAAACTTTGCTTACTTATCCTGCCATTTTGGGTAGCAAGACAATTTGGTTCAACCCAATTTTAATTCATGCATGATTTGTACATACATTTTTTTGTGGAAGTAGTAAAAGAATATGTTAAAAACACATGGTTAGTAATATTTTGAGATATAAGGAGAAATAAATCGAGAAACAGTACACTTTTTTGTGCGCAATAACTACACACTTTTTCAATGTGTGGCACTATAGCTCTATGGTCGTCCATCCCAATTTTTTTCAGACCAGCAAGTAACAGATCTGCAGATAACAATGCACAGCTGATATTCAGGATTTTTCTTGCTTTGGTTCAATCATCAAACTACAAATTATTTTTTTGTACCACAGAATAATTTTTGAGAAAAAAAATGGTTCATTATAGTTTATATATCTATTAAGAATAAAAACATTCCCTAATACTTATTTCATAAATTAAATTCGTTTATTTATATGCATTTCCCATGCCTTAACCCCCCCCCCCAATTTTCTTAGCATGGAAATTTTCATTCAAAGGTCCCCCCCCCCCTCCCTTCCCCAATTCTCTTGTTGCAGAATAATCATCCGACATTAGTGTATTAAAAATTTAAGGTGAATAAATATACAACTCCCTAACATAGTGATAATAAACATATGTAATAATAAAAGCACAACACATATTGGTTTTTTTTTTATTATTGTAATATCAAACATATACAAGTAAGATTTCAGTCTCTTATAATTTCAAAGTCTCTAAAGAACAAGTCCTTATTTTTCTATTCCAGTTGTGTTGGTCTTTAAAACACAGAAATGGTAGTCTGTAATTCAAAAAAAAAAAAAAAAAAAAAATGATTGAGTAACATCTACAAGGTGTGTGTCTACATTAATTTTCAATTCATAGGTCATATCTATATGATGCTTATAACAGTCACTTCCAAAATGTCATTTTTATTTCACATTATCATCATCATATAGTTACGAAATTAATTACCCCTGAGTAAATTCCTAAATACCTCTATTTAATGTAATACATAATATAAACATGTACATGTATGCTCTTTCATTTGCGTGTTACAGTGCAATGTCAACAAAATTCTGTGAACATCTTTTAACAATCTGATGAAACCAACCTGTAAGTTTGACTCTATCTTGTCATATACAGTATAAAGAAAATAATCATTTTGTTCACTTTACAGGTTTCTCCCTGTAAGTTTTTTTTTGTTATGAAGTGGAATATTTGACTTTATCTGAACTTGAACTTATTGCCTACAGGGCATTTACATGTATAAATGTTATACCTTTAACGATTTTTTTCCTCCTCTTGTTCATTCATATACATCTTCTTTATCACATATATATTGTTTAATCATAGCTGCTGTCATTAATTGTTCTCCGTCATCATCAGGAATTTCCAAGCCTGTAATCAGATTTCAGAAAAATTTGCTAATTTAATTTCCACCAGATTGATCTTTTTAAAAAGACTCCTTTTCTATAAATGAGAAATCTTTTTTCATATTCTTGATGGATGCATTGTACATGTGGCCCCTTTAAGTACTGATGAAGAAAAAATCACATTTGCTTACTCAAATGGGGAAAATACATGCAAATAAAGTTTTCAATTACACTATCATGGTTCCATATAATGTTTAAAATACTTGAATTAATTACAAATTTTGATACAGTGCAGATTGCAAATTACATGTATTCTATTTCATATCATATGCTGGATCAGACTAACAACAAAAAAGTACCCTGAAATTAGTGTACAATGTACAGAGGGTTCTTAAAGAATTCAAAAGTTCAAACACATTTATGAAATATTCTTTCACAATCATACTGGTCAACCTTATCACATTAAATTACATGAATGTATCAATGTTTTTCCAGACCCCAACATCTACACTATATTTATTATTCAAATAATGATGGCCTCAGGAATATGTACATGTTTTAAAAAAATGAAAAGGGAGCTTTGTTTTCTTTCTTTCTTTGTTTTTATTGATAAAAATTGAAGAAAATTTGTGGCAAAAAATTACCAATGCAGGTCTGTAATGTACCTACCAAATTCATCCTCAATAGCCATAATTATTTCTACTTGGTCAAGACTGTCTAATCCCAGATCCTTCATAAAGTGTGACTCCAATGACAGCTACAAAAGATAAAGAAATACTTTATAATGACAAAACTGGTTTAATTTCCCAATTGTTTAAAATACAAGGATTTTGATTCAGCTACATTAAATTCCTGATAATAAAGCTGCATGCTGTTTCAATAAAATATATGTAAATATCCATTGATTCTACAAATTTTAAATAAATAATATTTATCTGACACAAAACAAAAAAGATATTTCCTATCTCAGATTTCTTGAAAGTGTTATTCATTTAGTGTACAAAACAATATCTTTAAATAAAGTCTTAAATAATACATAAAAATTGAATCCAGACATTTGAGGTATGTAGTTTAAACTTTTACATATCATTACATAAATAATAAAATTAATATATTAATATTACAAGTACTTAACAAGAACAGTATAGAAAAAATCTTGTTTACTGTGGACCAAATGCATAGTTATTTTGTGAAGATGTGTGGAATATTTGATACATCAATATTTCAAGCTACCATGGATACAGTCTGAATGTATGTCAAAGAGGAAAAGAAGTCATAATTGCCCACTTGTCTTGATTAAATTTCCTAACAATGCCAGAGAGTAGAACATGAGACTTAAGATTGGGCTTTACAAATCAATATCTAAACATTAAAATTGATAAAAATGTTTTTAAAAAAAGATGTTATCACTGTTTATTAGTGTTTAATAATTCACCTTTTCTGGGTTTATCTTATCAAATAACTGTAAGGTAATCATAATCCTCTTCTCCACTTCATCCATTGTGTACACAGGTTTCCCTGCAGCATTTCGCTTCTGTATCTGCAGTGGCTGCACCTGAAATTTTATTAAATTAAATATACAATTTTTTATGCAAATTGAAAACATAACGCAAGTAAAAGTTTCAAACGCTTTGGTGATAAAAAGAAACTAGTTCTCAATCAAAAGAAATCGGTCTACATACATAGAAAACAAAAGTAAACTGTCGTCAGGCAAGAATTTTTTTCTGGTCTGCTAGTCCAGTGGACTATTGTTACATTTAAATAAGCTAGCCCGAGTCTTAAAACAATTAGCCCTGGAGGTCTGGCTACTGTGTATTTCAACCCGTCTTATAAAAACTTCTGTTTTAAAAATCTTTGGAGATGACATCTTTCTACTCAGATGTAATTCATTACTCCATGCTGTGCAATAAATCTTGGAAACTTTCCGGTTCTGTCTATTTTCCAGCAAAAATTGTATATTGTCCTGCAAAGTTCAATATTGGCTGGTCTTCGTGTACGACGTTAAAAAAAGCAAATCTATGAATTTAAATTAATATCTTCTCAATCATTTACAATTTACTGTTTAAAAAAAAAACTAGATGCTGTCATAAGACAGTAATAACCGCACTATGGTGTTTGCCTCTAAATGCACTGTTACTATATGAAATGTAATACATTTTGTAACAACGCAAAATGTAATAAACTGGGATTATTACATTTTGCATTCCTACATTTTGCATTGGGATTAGCACAAAATGTAATAATGGACTTTTTGGTTGTTACATTTTGCATTACTTTTTTTTTTGCATTGAGGACAACGCAAAATGTAATAAAACAAATATAATTATTTTTTTGTATTGTTTTCAACGCAAAACATTACAAAATTGATTTAAACATACAACAAAGGGGAAACTCGATTTACTAAACAGACAGACCTATGATTATGAGACAAACGTTACGGCTTTAACGGACATTACTAAATCTAATTGTATATTTGTAAACTCTGTTTCTAACATTTCTATTGAATACTTAAAAAACATTAACTTAACTTTGATTGACATTATGTCTGTTTATAAATCAGTCTGTATTATATATCCATCACTGATATTCTTGATTACCTAAGATTGACCATGGGTCCATTAAAAGCTCTTGATATGCATGTACAATGTGCATGTGTACATTGGTTAGCATATTAGAAGTGCGTGTGTGTGTGTCTGGTGAGGAGAATGGGGGGTAGGGGTTACTTCATATGTTGATCATTGTATTTTTATGCACATGCAGAAACAATCCATTTTATTATTGGAGAGAGAGAGAGAGAATTTTATTTTTGCTGGTCTGCAATGCACATGATTTGTAAAACAGTGTGATATCTTAATTGTCAAGAAACCCCTTTCCCGCTATATTTACACTTGCCAGTAAAAATAAATAGATTTCTTTTCTAAATTTCGTGCATGTGCCTATGAAAAAGCAAAAGCAAACTGATACACTAATCCACGAAATAACCCCGCCCACACTCACACACACACACACACGTGTGCATGCAGGTTTCTAATTTGCAATAATTCTTTAATTTACACAGTACATGTATTTGTCAAATTGAGCATAAAATGCTCAATTGAACATGTGGACCATGGGCTTCTTATGTAAGTATTTCATATACTAAATTCATAACCAGTCTGAAATACAGAATTTACAGTAATTAATGATGTAAATTATGTTTTTTAAAAGAAGAGGGGGGATGTAACTTTTTTAAATTTATTTTCAAAACAACAAATATTATCCTTTTAGTGCATAACATTTTTGACGACCTTAAAAAAAAATAAACTTATTAAAATGCCAACTTTCAGAATTGATCAAATTGTACAAATTGTGCATAAAATGTAAAGAGGAGTTCTGGGAACCAGGGTCTTTTTTGTATAAAAATGTTTTTTTTTTTTACCCCCAATTGACCTCCAGGGCGAAAATTGAAAATTCCAAAACCTTATTGCACATCTACAGGATACCACCAATTGTCTTCAAATAGATGATAAGGCTACTGCATAAAATATAAGAGAAGTTCTGGGAACCAAGGTCTTTTTGTATAAAAATGTTTTTTTTTTCGACCCCCAATTGACCTCCAGGGCTAAAATGAAAATTCTGAAATTTTATTGCACATCTTGTAGGACACCACCAATCATCTTGCAAAAGATAATAAGGCTACTGCTTAAAATCTAAAATGCTTATAAGGTGAGTTCTGGGAACCAGGTCATAGAAAAAAAACCCCATCATATTTGACCCCATTTGACCCCCAGGGTGAAAGTGAAAATTTTGAAACCTTACTGCACATCTACAGGACAACATCAATCATCTTCCAAAAGATGATTAGGCTACTGCGTAAAATGTAAGAGGATTTCTGAGAACCAGGTTTTTGTAGAAAAAACATAATTTTTTGGCCCCTGTTTTGCCCCTGGGGTAATATTAAAAAATTCCAAAACTTTATTGCACATCAACACGACACCACCTATCATATTCCAAAAGATGAATTGGTTACTGCTTAAAATAAAAGTGGAGTTTTAGGAAGAAGAAAGTGTGACAGATGAACTGATGGATGTAACAACAATATACCCGAACTTTCTTTAGAAAGTACAGGTATTTAAAAAATCAGGAACAGATGCAGAGTGCATGAAAGAGCACCTGGAGGAGTAAATGATATACTAGTAATTAAATCATTTTTAAAAATAATTGATCTTGAATTGGAATGATTGAGTGACATTGTAATATATATTGACATAATCCCAGTTAGTTGTTTTTTACTCTAAAAAAATTCATATTTGTGCCTGACAACAAATGAAAATGTCCTAAGTCCTGCAAAACTGTGAAAGTTGCAGGCCAAAATGACTGTCAGAATTTTTCAAGTTTCACAAACTCACCAATATCCTACAGGGTTCAACACTAACGGTGGACTGGCAGCCCGAGTCCACCAAAAAATTGGAAGGACCACCAATTGTTCTGGACCAGGTGGACCGTCGGTCCACTTAAAATTTAAACACCGTATTGAAAAATACACAGTAAAATTCCGTTTTTTCTATAGATCGACATCCGTAAATCAAACGATTAAGTTATCCATACTTGTATTTTACAATAAATAAATGGTAAAATTTGTTTTAGCTTAATATTTAGCTGAATGTATATTTTACATGTAATATTGATGACCACAATAACATTGAGACGCAAGGACATTCAACACGGACTTCGATAAAGAAGCATGTAAAATTCGTGCCAAATTAGTCAGTCTGTGCTTTGTTTATTTAACGCACAGAAAGGTGTGAAAATGTATCCTGGGTAACAGGAAATCACTTCACGTCTGAATGCACACTGATGGCCAGGTTTGGAGATAATAAAAACTGATTGACAGCTGCATTGTTTATTTTTTTCGATCTTCAAGCAAGCATGATTTATATTTTATGAACACGTTATCTGCAGTTTCTTTTTTTTCTGCTATACATTAAATCACATTTAAAAGAATCAAATGATTGCAGTTTATTTGAATAAATAATAATTGATTAAAAAAAAAATAAATAAATACATATACTTTTGTTGTTTTGCATCGTAGTAAAAAATTGTTCTAGCCATAGATACACGAAAAATTCACTTGTTTATATGTACAACTTAATTATTGGGATTTTAAATTTTATCTACCATTGGAAGCAAAATAAATGTCCAGTCCAGTCAGACTAATAAAGTATAAGTTTAACCAGTCAACTGAAACAAATCAATTAGACAGGAGTTTTTCAGCAATATTCTTTATATATATTTTCAATATTTTAAAAAAGAACACAATCTATATCCTCAAACAATTTGTCATTTTAATGAATTCAAACATTTATGAAAGTCCACCAGAATTTGAGAAGGTCCACCAATAATTTTTGACAAGTGGACCTGCGGTCCACCAAGGTAAAAAAGTTAGTGTCGAACCCTGTCCTAGTCATAAAGGAAGCGTATGTCAAATCAAATGAGAGTTGAAATATACATGAAGTTTTTGTTTATAAGAATGCTTATTCTACATATCTGGAGAATATTTGAGAACTTTTTCAATTTGTGAAACAGTTTGGAGATGTAAACAATCATCCCGAATTTTCTCCACGATTCCTGGCTGCTTCCTCATTGATAGCTATTAATTATTGTCGCCATATCTCTTACTTATCTTACATAAGACATGTAAAATAACTAACAAAATCTTCTTCTGTTTGATCTTTAAAATATACTTCATTGTGGAAAAATAACAACAAAATTCGTGACCTACACACTTTGGCAAACCCACCGGCTTTGTTTTTACGTACTTGACATAACTGATTTGTTGTGAATTTAGGACATCTGTTTAAACTGGAAGAGTGTCTATTATAGACCATGGATACAGCACTCGCTCTACATGCCGTGTTTTGTATCATTAAACGGCTAATATTCATTAGAGATCTCACGTTCCTCGCTGCAGCAGCCATTTTTGCTGTGTACGACCTTTTCCACTCGGAATGCCTCGAACGTCTATCAAATTAAATTAAATTAGAGTTATCTTTCTTGCCAGTTGGTAAGTGGAAAGGCGGATCCAGTAATTTTTTTTTTTTTTTTTTTTTTTTGCTCATAACCCAGATCCCTTTCGGTAAAGACTTAGAGAGTAGAAAATGTTAAGTTTCTAACCACTTACGACAGACCGGATTAAGGGGACGACAATTTGATTTCTAAAAGGGGGATGAAAATTTGAAAATAAGTAGTCAAGATGATCAGGCACCTACAAATTCGTTCATGTGTTGATATCTGGAAAAGTGTTTTCCATTTACCATGATGATATCTGCGAGATTGAAAGAGAGACCTTCACAGAAACATATAGAAGGGAATGAAGAAAGGCTCTACGGACAGATCAGTAAAGGACTTGGCAACAAAAACAGAAGAGGCACCCACCATCACCACTACGAAATAGGTGTTTTTCACGTGTTGGAAATGGATTTTACGTTTGTTTGTTTGTTTATTTGGGTTGTTTTTTTTTACCCTAGGCAAATGTTAAATTATTATAAATTAAGTAATATTTTTAGCATAAATTTTATATAACAACAAATGTTGCCCGAGACCCCGCTATAAGTTTGTTCTTTTATCGTATGTGAACCCCACAATCCCCACCATCCCTCCCCCCTCGCGTCAAAAAAAAAAAAACTATCGAATTATTTGCCTGCAAGGAAAATGTATTTGAGATTTGATAATTTTCCCTATATAATATGATTAACTATAATGAAGAACTTTGAAGAAATTCCATGGGTAAATTCATGTTACTATTTGAAACCAAAGACATTTTTGTGATTATTTTCAATTACTTAAAAGCTGATTTTCAGAACCTGAGGATCGGACTACCTTAAGAAGAAATACTTCTTTCTTCGATTTACTCCTTTCCTAAATCCACCAATTTTCGTCATTATTGTAAGATTTATGCACGCTAACTCTCGATTCCCGCCTATTTTACTATTTTAGTAAGGGATTAATAATTTTAAAAAAAACTGTGTCAAAAATTAATTGTTCTTATTTACAACTCCTTTCATCAGGGAGTAGAAGATTTTACCAATTGAAATCAGGCTTTAAAACATCACCAGCTAGATTTCTAATACTCATGACTCTTAAATATCTCCGTATGTTTAACTTATGTAAAATTTAAACATATGAGATTGAATAGATAAAGTTCACTTTTTTATTTGTTATCTCATTTGAAATTGGTAATAAAAAAAATGACTATTTTCCTGTATTTAATCTGTAAACGTACCCCCCCCCCCCCTCATCTCCACGTAAAACAACAGTACCTTTGATATGATTTTGTGAAATAACAATTCATAACACTTGTGAGAAGGAATTGTTGTTTCAAAGAAGGGGTGGGGGTTGAAAATAAATTTCCGTTTTCCGTTGATTTCTATAGTGAAAACTATGGAATTCCATACACGACAGCCAACTGCTTACTGCTAACTGCCCACTGCTTACTGCTAACTGCTTACTGCCAACAGCAACTGGTTATAGATGATATTGCCTGTTTTGTTATGTTCAAAATTTTAATACGCATGTTTGAATAAATCCTATGCAAGAAAAGAACAGAGCAGCTTTTTTCAACAAAATGCATCGTATGGTTGACTGTTCTGCATATTTCCAAATTCTATTTCACATATTTTAGACTTCACAGATTTAAAATCAGCTTTGAAAAATATTTCCATGTTTTTGATATTTGGGGCGGCATTTTTTTTATCCTGTTCTGCTGACTAACATGGGTTAAAAACTGAGGTAATTATCAACTCAGGTCTCCACCCTTGACAGTCACAGTAATTAATTAAATAAACTGTGAAAAACCAATCAAAACAAATCGATCGTTATACGAATTGCAAAGTCAAGACGAACGGTATGTAAAATTGTGATATATGTAAGTTTACATTTATAAACATAAGTATAGTAAACATTTTTTTTTTCTTATTTACAATGTACCTCGTAAAATGTCTAGATATCTGAGTAACCGAGTAGCAGTTTTACTAACCGATACTCGCATCGTTCGGGTATACTAGTTGACAACATTAGAATTTTCATAAAACATAAATTGTTTGCGAAACAAAGAGAGATAAGTCTTTAATTCTGGTAAAACTTGTGTTTTTCTCTATAGAAAACAACGGATCAAACGGAAATTTATTTGAAAGACACCCCCCCCCCCGTGAAACAACAATATTATGAATTGTTATTTAACAAAATCAAACAAAAGGTTTTGTTGTTTCATGGTAAGGAGGGGGGGGGGGGTATGTTTACCGACTAAAAACAGGAAAATAGTTATTTTATTACCAATTTCAAATGAGATAACAAATAAAAATTAATGTACTTTATCAATCTGATATGTTGAATTTTACTTTTAAAAGTTAAACACGGAGAGATTTAAGTCATTTATCAATTTCCACGAGTATTTGAAAATCTGGTGATGTTTTAAAGCCTGATTTCAATTGATAAAATTAATGGCCAAATTGCCATTTATATTTAAAATTTTAAATGGATGTAAAATGTAGGCTGGAATCGAGAGTTAGTGTGCGTAGTTTTACAATAATAATAAAAACTGGCGGATTTAGACAGTTTTAAACTGTGAAGGCGAGGAAGGAGTAATATTTCTAGTTAAAAACAAAACATTAAATTCCTGCATTTCCTTGCAGGCAAATAATTCAATAGTTTTTCGAAGCGGGGGGTGGGGGTGGGGTTAAATAGCCAGCACCATCTTTTAGTGTTTCTTTTTACCTATGAAAAGTACCTGTATTTTAAAATTTGATATGTGTCTTATTTAAATCGTTTTTATGGCTAATGTCAGATCTGTAAAATATTGGTGGTGGTGGGGGGGGGGGGGGGTTCGGGGGGGGGGGGGTGTCCCCAATAAATTGCCAACATATACTATACAGTAGTGCATCCTCAATAATGACGCTGATCTTTTTTATTACTTATCAATGGATTTCTGTTGGGTTGTGCCCCCTTCCTCAACCTTGGCACTTAAGGTATTCAATGTATAAAGAAGGGATTTTGAACAATTTTGAATCGTTTTAAACTAGTTAAAAATACATTGATAGATAACGATGAAAGTGAAATGAGCCAAATTCACATGACTGATGATAAGTAAGAAGCTGATCATCTTGCACCTGAAAAAGTTTAGAGAGTTATCTGCCCTTGATGAAAAGAAGAAAATTTTAATTTTATCAAAATATCTGTGGTAAATGATTCATTTTATTTCATATTTTAATAAAAAGAAAGTCCCTGCATATTTTCACCAAGAGAATTGTATGAAATTCACATTACTTTTTACAATATCTTAATAAAACATGCGCTGCCCATAGACGTCAATGTAAAATTTAAGGTGCAAGTAATTGGACAGTAATTAAAATTTTGTAAATTCCTTTGGTGGGGTATGTTTATTTCATAACACCTTCAAAATGTTACCATGATTATTCATTTCGGACCATTCATTTATTAGGTACAAAATATGGTCGCTATACATTGAATACCTTAAATTGTTTCCTTGCCTAAGATAAACTGTTTTAACATAGAGTAAAATGCCTTTGATTATGATTTTTTAAATAAGTATTCCTAGTATAAATGCATATATCAACAAATGTTTCCCAAGATCCTACTCAAAGTCTGTCCCCCTCCCCCCCCCAAAAAAAAAATGTTTTCTGACCTTATGTAAACCTTTAATCTATCCCCCCGTCAAAGACGTTATTGAATTATTTGCCTGCAAGGAAATGAGAATTAGATGTTTTGTACTTAAGGGGAAATACTCTTTCCTCCTATTAATTTCTTCCTCGCCTTTGTGGTTTAAAAATTCCTGAATCCGCCAATATTTTGTAATTATACTAATATCCTTGCTATCATAGGGTTTATTCAAGCATGCTTATTAAAGATATTAAAGATAACAAAACACGCAATATCATCTATAACCAGTAGCATTAATTTTGGCAATAAGCAGCTGACAGTAAGCAGTAAGCAGTTGGCAGTGAGCAGTTGGCTGTCGTATATGGAATTCCATAGAAAACACAAACTATACCAAATTAGAGACATCTCTCTTTGTTTTCCCAAATAAGTTATGTTTTATGAAAATTCACATTAATAGCTATATACGTAAATATGAAAAACCATTCAAATATAATAAATTTCAAAAACTGACTTGGAGGTAGTATACAGAATAATACTATCGTTCGCCGTTCTTTTCTTGCTATCTTAGGATTTATAGGATTTTTTTCTTTTTTCAAGCACGAGTATTAAAGATATTATATAACAAAATAGGCAATGTCATATATATGCAGTGAGCAGTTGGCAGTAAGCAGCTGGCAGTAAGCAGTTGGCTGTCGTATATGGAATTCCATACCATCCCAAACATAACAAGCATTCTGAGAGTATTGCATTAGCAATACTAGTCCCCTACCGGCAAGTGTAATCTGGTTCCCGTTAAGAATTGAAAATGCCATAATTCCGTCAAAAATTAATGAAGCGGGACGAAATGCAAACTTGATCGATAACTAATCAAGGTAAAGCCACATACGAAAAATCAGCTCAATATCTACAAGCGTTTAGAAGAAAATTGCGGAAAACCCGTAAAAATTGAAAAGGTCGTAATTCGGTCAAAAATCAATGAAGTGGAACGAAATGCAAACTTGATCTGTAACTCATCAAGATACACTCACATACCAAAAATCAGCTCAATATCTACAACCGTTTAGGAAAAAAGTGCGGAAAACCAAGTGGGACAGACTGACAGACAGACAGAGGGACAGACAGACAGACAGACGGACGGACAGACGGACGGACAGACTCAGAGGAAACCTATAGTCCCCTCCGGTTTCACCGGTAGGGGACTAACAAGCATTCTGAGAATATTGCATTACTAGTCCCCTACCGGCAAGTGTAATCTGGTTCCCGTTAAGAATTGAAAATGTCATAATTCCGTCAAAAATCAATGAAGCGGAACGAAATGCAAACTTGATCTATAACTAATC